TCTAAAGCAGGTGCCAGATTTCTTTGAGTAATTGTTTTATCAGTTTTTAAAAGTCGCAAAGCAATGTAAGATTTAAAATCTACTTGGAAAATCTTATGTTCGTTGACAATATTATACAATTTCCATGCATTCACTACTAAACTATCCAGTGAGTTGCAAAATAAAGGCCACCACAATTTTTTTCCAAATACCTGGCACCTGTAATTAGCAATTCCGTTGTCATGTAAATCTACCCCACCCATATATCTATTGTATTGGGCAATTACATAAAGTTGGGGTATATATTTACATCTTTCCTTTCTTTTCTATTATAGCGTTTTACATTTTGGACAGGATCTACACTAGAAACATTACTTACCACAGTTACAACTGAATTGTCGTGCCAACGGGCAACAGAAATTTTTAAATCAGATTCATATGCTGAAAGATAAGATAAATGATTCACAATTTTCCATTGGACATTTATTTGTTCTATTTTTCCGGATAGTACCGGTGGCAAAATAACCATTAGTTCTTAAGTGTACAAATAGTTTGGATAATGAAAAAAAATTGACAAAAAAAAATTGGTGACTTACTGGCTTATCTGCAACAGAAAGTAGACTCATGACAACCTCACCACCAAGACCAAGGTCAGAATGAGGTTTATTTTGAGCACCACCATATGGAAGTGAATAAAAGAGGTACCCATCAGATGAACAAAGGCACCAAAGCTTGAAGCCAAAACGAACTGGCTTACCCCCTATAAACATTTTGCAGGAATTGCGGCCAAAGTAAGGTACCATTTGTACATCTATGGATTAGTTGAACGAAAATATGCCAAACTGAAGATTTTTTTATTTATTGCATCAAGGAAGGGTCTAACTTTTGAAAATTTATCATTTTTATCCAACAGATTATTGTCAGATAAGTTCAAGTTTTGCTTTATCAATTGGAATCTATTGGAGCTCATACATTTTTTTATAAGATCAATTCCTTTGTCTCCATCAGTAGGCCAATAATGCTAAATATTTGGCAATGAATGATAACCCGAAAACAATAAGATGCCTCAAAAATTTAAAAGTTCATTTTTTGTCGTGAGCATATTTTACCGAAAATTTTAAAATCAAATCAATCAGTTGTCATAAAAAAATATAACAAATATTTTAGGCGGAGTTTTTTCAGAAAGTCTATTTTTTAGTTCCTCACATGATCTAAATTCATCGGATATAGGTGTGTGAGTGTACTCAATCTGACCTTTCTTCCATTTCACAGTAGAAGCAAGCCTGTCGCTTGCAGGAAGCATACGTCTTCCAGGGTTTCATCATCTGATGAGTCCCATTCAAGTTCAATAATTGATGAATTACAGGACTGTTGAAGGACAGTTGTATCATTCGATGTATATAACTCGAAAGTTCCAACTATATCAGTTGGTTCCTCAAACTCTTGAAGATTTATGTTATCGTTTATCGTTAGTCAAGTTATCCACGTCGGGTGGAATATAGACCGCGTCAATATGTTCTGTAAATATTTTTTCACGTTATTTTTAGCATAAATTTACAAGGAATGGAATGCTACAATACATAAGAATACGTAAATCCAAATAATACTTACGATTTTCATTGTTATTGTCCTTATCCATTACGATCTCCCTCATAGCCTCCTTTAATTCCTTTTGGGTCAAATACCTCAGAAATGCCATATTTTACGAACTGTAACGTTCACTGGACAAGGCACAAACTAATACTAAAGCACGCGCTCATTGTTGGATGTTTATTCTACATGCGCTGACTTGTCTAGACTTGCAATAGCAAAGTTTTGTTTCACAGAAAAACCAGTTTTGGTTAGTTTTGGTTAGCATTCACGCACCAGTAAATATTTTCAAAAAATAAAGCATAAGCAATATATTACTTTCAATATATATTTTCTGAGGTGTAATCTACATGCTATAGACTTAACAAAAATGACAATACAAATCCAAAATATTTTTTTTTACTATTTTAGATTTATATTTTTTTTAAATAACAATGCTCGGTTATTTTATACTTATAATAATTTAAATAACAATAATTTAAATTAAATAAAAACTGATGTTAAACAACCGTCTTGACAACAGAATTAATAATGCAGAGAAGAGGTTTCTAATTTTTAAAGCGAAAACTAAATCTAATTGAAAAAAAATTATGACATTAAATTTCATTAGCAATGATTGGAGATTGTAAGAATAATTTTTATTTTAAGAGAAATCAGTGGCGTACCACCCATGTGTGCCAAAATAGACAGGTGAAATTTCGTAAGCCCGCCTTTTAAATCAATTGTGATTCACCAAGTAGTCCCTCTTTATACATGGTGTGCCAAATTTTATTAAAATATCTAAAGCGCTATTACAGATATTAAAAAATATATTTTATTTTTGAAAGCTTTACCACCCTGTATCTGAAATGGACCCCTTAATTATTGACATTCAATTATAAAACCCCCTGTACAATCAAAATTATTCTTAGAAACAAACTGGCGTCGTTGTACAGGGTTATTTTTGCTATTTGCGGACTCCCAAACGGAAGTCACCGACAAAAGATTTTTAATACAAAGTATATTTTTTGCAGCATTTTCTTTTAGACTTGCTAAAGAAAACGAATGCGCATCGGAAAGTTACGAAACAGTAGCGAGCTTTTAATTTTTTAACGGATCATCCTATATATTTATTGTTATGAGGAAAGATCTTATACTCCTGATTTAAAAAATATATATTGGATTGTTCGGAAAGTCATTTCGTTTTTTTTGGGGAACATGAAAGACAGTTTTCGTATAATGAATAAATATTTTATTAAATTATATATTGGCCATTCTGGTCCAACACCTTTTGCCATCTTTCTGGCAGTAACATAATTCTCCTCTCATAAAAGTTTTGGTCCTTGCTGACAAAAAACTGGTTCAGGTGGTTTTTGACATCTTCATTTGAGGTAAAGGTTTTGCCATCCAAAAAATTTTGCAGGGACCGGAACAAATAGTAGTCGGAAGGCGCCAGATCTGGAGCATATGGCGGATGTTGAAGTACGTCCCATTCAAGCTGTAAAAGTTTTTGGCGAGTGACCAAACTTGTGTGAGGTCTCGCATTATCCTGGTGGAACACTACACCCTTCCTGTTGATTAATTCGGGCCTCTTCTCTTTAAGTGAATCATTAAATTTGTCCAGTTGATGACAATAAACTTCTGAATTAATCGTTGTATTGTCCGGCAAAAGCTCAAAAAAAAACGATTCCTTTGACATCCCACCAAACGGAGAGCATCACCTTTTTTTGGTGAATGTTGGCTTTTGACACGCTTTGAGCCGGTTCATCTTTTCTGCTCCATGACCTCTTGCGTTTAACATTGTTGTATACAACCCATTTTTCGTTCCCCGTAATAATCCGCTTCAAAAATGGATCATTTTCTTGACGTTTGAGGAGCGAATCACACAGGTCAACGCGACGACACAAATTTCGCTCCGTAAGGACATGGGGCACCCACACATCGAGCTTCGAGGTTAAGCCCATGCCTTTCAAATGGCCATAAACAGTCGAATTCGACAAATTTAATCTCTCACCGATCTCTCGTGTGGTTATTCGCCGATTTGCATCAACTAATGCCTTTATCGCATCTTTGTCAGCTTCGACCGGCCTTCCAGACCGTGGTGCATCTTCGACATCAAAATTGCCGGATCGAAATTTTGCAAACCAGTTCTGGCACTGGCGTACTGTTAACACGCCTTCTCCATACACATCCGTCAATTTTTTTCTCGCTTGGACAGCATTTTTACCTTTTCTGAAGTAAAAAAGTAAAATATGACTAAAATGCTGCTTATTGCTCTCCATATTTAAAAGGGCACCAACCAAAAACTACTGCGTAGAATTAATAGAACTTTTTCACACACAAGCCTTGCAAGATCAGCTCTCAAGACATATAATGGTTATGCGGCTTAAGTGTGAAGTTGGTTTCGAAAAAACGTAATTAAGTCCTCTGACGGGAAAAAACGAAATGACTTTCCGAACAACCTTATAGATCATTGATATTTGGACAACCCGTTCTTGAATTATTTAAGTTTCAATTTTTGATTAACTAAACAGATGTTTTTATTTCAATAAATATTAATTATCCAATAATACTAAAAATTCTAAAGAACATAAACAATATAACAACAATAAAACCGTCTGTCATTGTTTTTTTTTTAATCCCCATACGAACATACCAACAAGGTTTAAATCCGGCCACGGAATATAAATCAATATTTATCTATTACAAAAAATTACCGAACCCATATTATTGTTGGAGATTTAAATATAAACAACTCATTTACATAGCTTCAATTTAATGTTTTGGATTTTTGGAAAAAAGCATACAATTTCAAGTTAAGTGATATCTTACAAGTGCACAAAAGATTTATCATACTTGGTAAAGTGTGTAGGCCATTTCAAGTTCAATGGCGAAAGGTCAGAGAAAACGTACTACTCATTAAAATACAATTTTGATACCTTGAATTATTTAGAGTCAAAATCGGAGGACCCCTTGGATGGAAAAAAAGATAACAAATAAACGGCCTACTTATAAAATAATTAACACCCAACTAAAACTTTCCCCACTTGACGTTTGCTGTGTATTCTTGGAGAGAAATTTTAAGTCCTTTTCAATGATTCAAAAATATACATGGTGTCCCATATAAAAAATGTTTTTTCCGTCAATGACTAAAAGATGCGAGTTTTAACACCATTCAATTTTCGTCTCGAAATGTTTTCATAGAATGACAAAATTTTCCATAACGAGAAAGTCACAGCGATTTTTGAGGAACAGCCCGTAGCTCTGAAACGGTCACTAGATGTCATGTGAAATTTTTACGATTATGTGTTATTGAAAAAATTGCAAAAAATTGTTTTCTGTCGAGACCATTATTAATACCCCGTCTTAGTTTTAATGCGTAGATTAGATAAAAATATATTTCTGTAATTCGGGTTATTGGTTTTTCATTTTTATTTGTTGTATTATTTAAGGATCTCCCGACCAAATCGCATAGTACCTGTAGTGATGGATCCTTACTTAGTATGGACAGCTCGGAAATGGACGAGGTATGCGATCTCCCAAAAATAACCCAATTTATGTTATCGATAATGATGGGTTTCAGGATTCACTTGGTTTGCAGTCGAGGCACTCATCTAAAGTATCACTGCATGAAAAAAGGACAGATCCAGGTAATACTATAGTACAATACAGGGTTGCTGATTTTTCAAAGAAACTTCCACAGGCTACTGTAATACTTTTTATAAAACTTCTGGATTCCTCCTGCGTCGGTTTTTGTTGACTCGAACTAGCTGACGTTTCGCCAATCATCCAGTTGGCTTCTTCAGAGCTTGACTGAAACTGGCTCGCATTTTACTCTGTACCTGCCTTTATATCGTTTAAGGGGGGTGAAGATGGTGACAGGTAGAGACCTAAGTGGCGGTTAAGATTATTACGTTGCTTACAGATTTCTATAGACTCTTACATGCAAGAATTTTGTTTTAAAATAGAAGGTTTCACGTTTGCAAAAAAATTACGATAGCTCCATTATTTTTAAAGGTGGATCACTCAAATTTAATATTAACGTTATAGGGTGTTGAAAATAAACGAATATATTTGGATATATGAGTATATCATCTACCTATTTTTAATAATTTGCGATTTATTTTAACTTTTCAAATATTTACCCCTCTTCTTTAACTAAATTTAAGGAAAACAACTAAGATAATTTGATGATGATTGATTTGATATTTCTATTCCGAATTTATGATCCGATTTGCACGATTTTTATTTGCATTGTAGGTTGCTTTCTTGACAATGTCATAGTTTTCGCTCATAATTATAAAAAGTTTATTTTCGATTTATACCAGGTGTAATAAAAACATATAGCAGTTGACATCTTTCGCCAACATTTTCTTTTTTAGTTTACTTCATTATCCCCGTTATTAAAGGAGATACACCATTTTGTAGCGTAAAATGTTTTTGTAGACTTTCTACATATTCACTGCGAAATGTTTTCAAGTAGGCTCTGGAATTTTTCTGACATTTCAAGCGACTTGTCAACTGATGTTGTGTTTTAAATTTACAAAGGTTAAATAAAATTCGCCATAATGATAAAAACTGTTTGGAAAATGATTATTAAACGTTCTTTTCGTTTGCCCAGTTGCCCGACGATTATTTTATTTTTGAAAAATGAAAAAAATTTATTTTGCAGAAGAATCAATAAGCGCTTTAATTTTAATTTTTAATTTTATTTAATTTTTATTCCTTTCATTGTGGATTTCTATAGAGTCTCGGATTTGTCATTGGTACATGCAAGAATTTTAGTTTTATCGAATAAAATTGAAGATGTTGAGAGATTTTTGGACAAGTGGTAAATCTTGTTTTGACGTTATATTCCTTTAGAACTTTTGATATCTGGTCAGTGATGTTTATATAAGGAAGGACAACAGTGGCAAGTGTGGGATTGCTTTCGGCCTCATTGCTATTGGAAGGTTGTGGGGAAGTGTATTTTGTGATGGACGCTTAATATCTTTAATGTGAAGATTATTAGAGAGAAGAGCAGAGTTAAGGTGTTTTAATTCTGGGTTCAGTGACTCGGGCTGACATTGTATTACGACTCTATAAACAAGAGAGTTGATAACCGATGATGCATTAAGATATGGGTCTGTGTGCGCAGGTTTTCTGTAAATACAATGACCCAATGTTAGGTCTGGTTTTCTATTGATAAGAATATCTAAGAATGGGAGGTTATTATTAGTTTCTCATTCATTGGTAAAATGTATGTTAAGGTGTATAGAATTTAAAAGTCTAAGAAAATCTATTAGGGATGCCTGACCATGAGGCCAAATAACAAAGGTATGATCGACGTAGCGTTTCCATAATTTTGGTTTTAGCTTCTTCCTCAAAGGCTTTCACAAATATAATCGCGATGACTGGTGACAATGAAGAACCCATAACTCTTCCCCTAGTTTGTTTAAAAATTTGACCTTTATAAGGAAAATATATTCCAGATAAGAATTTTCCAATTAAGGTGAGAAGGTTTGGTTCCATATATCGAAAATTCTGAAGACATATAAGTCAAAACAAGGCATTTGAGATGCCAGGAGTTTACAGCAATCGATGCATATGCGGCAAAGAATACATTGGAGAGACCGGACGAAAAATATCAATTCTTGCATGTAATCAATTCCTCTACCGACGAACAATCCGAGAGTCTGGAAATCTATAAACAACGTAACAATCTTAACCGCGACTCAGGTCTCTACTTGTCACCAATATGGGAATCAGTCATCCTAGACGGTGTTTATGCCCCTCATTTAGCTCCGCCCCCCTCAAACAATATAAAGGCAGGTACAGAGTAAAATGCGAGCCAGTCTCAGTCAGGCTCTGGAGAAGCCAACAGGATGATTGGCGAAACGGTAGAAAGTTCGAGTCAGCAGGAGAAATCCAGAAGTTTTGTAAAAAATATAATACAGGGCTTTCGGAAATTGAGTTCGGAACCTTAGAGGAAAGATTCGATGTGGTAAAATACAAATTATTGCTTATCAATTATCTCTTTTTTATTTTGCCTGTATTTTATTTATATAGACCGATATTGCAAAATAGAACAGATTGCCTTAAGCAGAATCACAAATCCTCAAACATTGTTACTCTTGTCGATAAGTGTTGTCGTTTAGCCACAAATCGATTTTTTATTCTCCACTTGAATTTTTAAATGAAATTTGAAAAAGTCATTGTCACAATCCGTTAAAAATTAGTTTCTCTTAAAATAGTTTATTATCCAATTTCTACTGTGATAGGCCATCAAGAATATTCAAATACTGAATATCGCGATATACATTTTTGCTACGGAACAACAAATGGAAATGCAGATCAAGCACAACGGCTTTATAACGAACTTATCCCAATAGAAACGTTCCATCTGCTACGACATTAATCAACATACGCCGAAGACTTGGCGAAAGAGGATCATTCAAATGAATGAAGGCAGGCCGAGATATAAAAGAACCGCTGCAAGAAAAGAAAGAATGCTTCAAAATGTCAACGAGTACTAGAAAACTTGCTGCTCAGGAAAGAATTGCTTGCTCTCCAGTCTGGGTAGTTTTGCATGAAAATGATCTTCGACGCTTTCAGGTTCAAATGGTTCAACCACTGTATGAGTGTGATGAGCAATTGAGAGTAATTTGTGCAATAAAATTTTAGGAAAAATTCAAAATTACCCGCAATTCTTAAATTTAATTTTGTGCACTAACGAGACTGAAATTTCTCCTTTGCTGGAAGAGGTACCCTTGCAGTGGAGATATTACATGTGATTAATGCAAGATGGCGCTGTATTCCATTTTACATTGACTGTACGAAGATATTTAAATCGAAGGATAGGTCTGGGCGGGCCTCCATCTTGGCCGCCTCGCTCACCAGACTTTAATCCGATGGACTTCTTTTTTTGCGGGCACTTAAAGTCTTTAGTGTAAACGGTTGCGAAATCATTAAAAATAGGCTAGGCGTACTTTTTCTTGTTCGACAGCATTTTTTTAAATCTATAAGAAAATGTTTAGAAATGAACGGTGCGCATTTTGAAAATAAACTATAATTAGCGTTGCACACTGTTTCGTTCTCAATTATTATTAATATTTTTTTTTCAAAAATGTTAAATGTATTTGTGTTACTTAAATTAAACTTGTTACTGCGTTGACTTAGACCATTTTTTCACTTTTTTAATTAATTTTTTAATATCGTGATATCTGTAAATTAGGGGTATTCTGGTCGAGAATAAAAAAGTCGATTTGTGACTAAGCGAATAACACTCATCGACTCAAAACAAGAATAACAATTTTTAAGGATTTGTGATTCTGCTTAAAGTAATCTGTTCTATTTTGCAATATCAGTCTAAATAAATATAATACAGGGAAAATAAAAAAAATGTTCTAGGTAAAGTGCCCTCTAGTGACAGATTCCTGAAACACTTTTATTTTGTAACGATAATTTTACTAGATCAGGACTGCTGTTAAAAATAACATTTGAAAAAAAAATCTTTCCTCCAAGTTTCCCAATACCCTGTATAATGTTATATTATTATATGATTTATTCGTGTTTGTCTTACAGACTCTGAATTAGAACTAGGACCTAGTTTTTCTACAACGCCGCTAAACCATAGTGCGGCGCACCATCGAATTTCCGTGAGGCCAAAGAGAACGTACGGAGCGCCTAGACGAAAAAAAGGCCCACCCGTAAGTAGAAGGACTATCGTTGTTCTACGTCCACCGCCCTCTTATCAAAAATTACCCAACCAAAAAAGGATCCAACCACTTTTTCTCGCAATTCGTCTTGGTAAAATGAAAACGATAATCATTTTTCTAACCATTTTTAGTAACAGCTTAAGCCACTGAATAAAAATGTAAATACATTAAAGTAACAGGATTTTTCAACTTATATTGAGTAGAGTAGCCTGTGGAAGTTTCTTTAAAAAATTATAAAATTACCGGCTATATTTTTCCGAATTTGCTCGTGAAAAGTGGCGCATACATTTTGTTTTGATAAACCTATATATTTAGTTCCACTAACTAAATAACGGGGAATATCGGGTGGGGAAAATCTAACTGGAAAAATTGTTCAAGAAGCAACCGTAGAACCTCAGAATGAGGAAATCCATTCCTATGTCGTTTTTGGCTTATTACTTAACGAAATCCGTTTTTTACGCATTACGCTCGTTCCTTCATAGCAAGTCTAGTCACCTTTTCGTCCCTTAACTCTTATAAAAAGTTGCCATAGTAACTAGAGCTTAGTATAAAGCTATAAAACAAATTTTTTAAAAAACTGTTTTTCAGGCTAGTACTGTAATTAATTCAATTTATAAATCTTCTGAATCTGCTTCGGTTATTGATCAGTCGCACTTGGTGTCGTTTCGCCGATCATCCTGTTCACGTTTTCTACAACTAGTTTGCATTCTGCTCTGTACATGCTTATATACGGTTTGGGAAGGGGGGGGGGAGCTTAAGGAGGGGCATGAATACTGGTCTCCGATGACTGGTTCCTATATTAGTGAAACGCAACCTTAAATCTGCTGTTAAGACTCATCAATGGTTCTCTAACCTAATCTCCAGCATGTAGCTTCTTACATTAAAATTGAACACTGATAGTTTCGTATTTAACGTCCGAACAATATGCTGGTTAGTTTCGTCGTAGAGTTCACCTCTTTATTAAACTCTCAACATAATTTCAGATATATTAAAATCAAACCCCATCTTAATTGCTTGATTGCTTGTCAGGAACATACTTTCCTTGTGACGTTAACATTTATGAACAAATATCAGGAACAGCTATGGATTTTCGATTATCGTCAGTCATCGCGAATATATTTTTTGAGAAGAAAGCCTTATACGCTATACTTCTTAAAGTGCGTTTTATCCTTAAATTAGAAACTAATAATAATCTCATATATTCTTAAATGTTCTTATTAATTGAAACTCAGACCCAACATTAGGTCATTCAGTTTCCGGAAAAACTACACACACATACCCATACCCTAATGTTTTTTTACATCACCATCCGACCCAGAAATCACGGGCTATTAACTCTCTTAACAGTACTATCTCAACCCAAATCACTGGACCCAGAATTAATATAATACTCTCAAGAACCCAAAAAGCCTCCTTAAAATTAACACGAACATAAGCAAGATCAGGAGTAGGACTTAACCGCGACTCAGATTATCAGTCATCGGAGAAAATGTTCATAATACTCCTTTAGCTGCACCCCCTCAGTTAAGCTCTGAAGAAGTCGACAGAAAACAACCGATCCAGAAGGAACCTAGAGCATTTGTATATTGCATTTTAGTTGGCCCTAAATGACGCAGAATTTCTCTCGCTTTTAGGTATGAGTTTATTGAGTTTCGTTACATACCCACGGGTTGTATGCGTGGTAAATTTTTGCATAAAACTTAACCATCTCTTTAAAACCTCAAAACACTAAAAACTATGGTAATCTTAAGTTCCAAAGTAAAAAAACAAACGTCAAAAACAAAATTCTACCGAAATAATAACGCATGTCGTGTTTACAAAGAAATTCCTGTCATTACTGAAAACGTTTGATGGCTGTATCGTCTAAATTTTTCGGTACTTTTTTTTTTCTATGCACTAAAGCTTTCTTCGGCGCTACCAGCGACGCCGGAAGTCAATGAAGAATCTTCTACGCGGAGTATATCGCCCGAGGGTGTTTCTAGAGGTAAGTTTAGTGTTTAAAGTGTTCGTGCTTTTTTTGTGACTAACCTATGAGCGAATAACGTCACATTAATCTGCAACGAAAATGGCCTTTTGGGGACCATTATAAAAGGAAACGAAATAACGAAAAAAATGTAGTTTGTACAGCAACGGTTCAAATTGTTTCCGTTTTTCTTCTGAAATAATTAATGCAGTATTGTGAAAGTTATGTTATCTATCTTCAGAGAAAGGATGTTATGAAAAACATTATCATTTAAATTTACGAAGAACCGGTTTATACTCGATGTTTGTCACATTTTGTGAAAATTCCTGTCAACACTATTAGGTGTCTGTCTAAGACAGATGCATAGCCTTATCTTTTCTCACCATCGTGTTTTTCATATAATAATCTCTGGTACTAAATGGAATACGAAATTTAATGCTCAACGAATAGAAGAGGAATTTTATAATGGCTTACCATAGTATGCAAGAATGGTACAAAATTATTTAAATCTTGACTCTTGGGATTTTTTTTAAACTGTTACATTTGACATTCAATGCCATACCTTCTTTAATCAATAAGAACAAGACGTGAAGATGCTGAGAAAAGATAAGGGTAGGCATTGACTTTTTCTTAAAATAACTTTAATAAATAAATTTCATTATTTCTAGCAAGTCTATTACTTTAGGTATAGTCCGATATTTAAGATCCATTGATTTAACATTCAAAGATTATTTATAAACTTTCATTGGTGAATATACCCTCTCTTTGAAGATATAAAAAAAATAAGTGTCCTTTTCAACGCTTCTGCATCAAAAAATAAATGTTTATAATTTTTAAATGCCACTCAGGGATGAATTACTATTGAAACTTACCTACCTACTGGAGAGTATTAATGCAGGTTTTCAATACTACCATTGTCAATCGAACGTTTCCCAATATTGCCGAAATCTACTTCCACTGTTCTCTTGGGACCTGAGTGCAGTATGATTCACTTTTCCCAACACCAATATCAAAGACAAAAACCCTGACCTTGAATTTGGTCGAAATTTCCAATACCCGATATTTTACAACAGCTTGCAGAATACATCAGTTGTAATTTGCCTCTTCACACAACTATGGTTTTAGCTCAACTTAGACTAACGAAAAATTAAACTCAACTGTACTAAACTTTGCACTGATAATCTGATTACATGTACTCTTTATATCGAAGTTAGAACTAACCTGTTTGCGTTTTGTGCAGGGGAACTGGATTTATGTCCATTCTAAAACATATCTTCTTCTTCCTTTACTGTATTAGCAATTTAAAGCAAAATTAAACAGCTCAACTCTTTCGATGATTTCTCCATCGATTAGCCGGTCTTCTCGGGTCACGAACGTTTTGCTTATCACAATGAACTTGATTCTTGCGACATTGAGGCCCTGACTTTGTGTTGCCTTAACATTTATAGAACCTCTTGGCAATTCTTGCAGTATTGGAGGATCACTGGGGTATTTACAACCCATTGAGTGCCACCTGACTGATGGTAATTTTTGAAAAAATGTTATTGTATTTAAGTAGGTGTATAATGTTATAACAATCTCAAAAAGACAATGAATATTTCGGAAACACTTTGCAACTTACGCTATATTTTGTTGTACTGCAGGTCGTTTGACATTGCTCACGTTGTAATTCTCGGGCCAAATCTATTTACTTTTGTCTTACGTCTTACCAACCCACTAAATGTGAACTTGTTGTGGTGCAAGGCCGTCAACATTAAAGAAACAATATATCTGGTTGCATCTCGTTAATAATATGAAATATAGGTGAAAGAGGAAACGAAAATTGTATATTTGCAACAAGTGCGGTAAACGGTATTTCACGGACTTACGAATTTATTTGACACGAGCGGAGCGAGTGTTTAATAAACGAGTGAGTTAAAAAGTTTACCGAACGTGTTGCATACTATACTTTTTCTACGACCGTTAGTTTTCGGGTACATTTTCGCAAAATATGAATACATTCACAGACATGATTGTCAGAATTGACAAACGTCAAAATTCAAAGCGTGGGAAATATCTCCGAAAACATCCGATTGCTCCCAAACCCGTGCGGTAAAATCCCTGACGTGGTAAAGCGACGCTTCCCGCACGCTAGATCGGTGCGTAATTAGGTATTTTACAGACGGGAGTAGAAAAACATATTTTTGATATCAAAATTGCTTGTTCTCCTTGTCGTGTGTTTATAGTCTTGTTTCACCGCCTTATTGTAAAGGTGTGACTAGCGGAGTTGCGGGTAAATTTGGGGTTAACAAGGCTGGTTTCGTTCGTTGATGTTGGTAGTCATGTTTTAATTTCATTGATTTAATGACACTGCCACCATTGACTTTATGCATTTTAATTGTATAGAAACAACCATTTGGTTAGTTTTGGTTAGTTTCTATTATTCTGTAGAGTTGATAGAGAAGAGAGGACTATTATTTAAAAATACGTACATGGACGAGAGAGTACCGTGTGTTCAATTTATATTGATGACATTTTAATTGGCTGTAACTTTTTTGTTTTTGGAGAAGTGACGTCTAAAACAAAACTATCAATTTTCTGATATATAAGCTACATGATTTTTTTAAATTGGAACACATGTGTTTAATAGAATATCTTATTCCGATTACAATGATTACACTTTATATTTTAGTAAACTCGTTTTTGACAAATGGGAAAAAATAGGAAATTTTTATATAATTTCAAAGAGTGTCCTGACTGACAAATAAGAATATGTTTTACGTTTGACGTATTAATAAAAAACGTTAATGGTTGAATTATTGTGCCAGTTATTATTGTTAAAATGGTTTTTCACGAATTTAGCATCCGTGAAAGGAGTGATGTGCTTTCTGAATAATAAAAGTACAACCGCAACAGATATTTCCAAGGCTGGCAAAGAAATTTACAGAGATCAATCATCAATCATCTCAGTCTTGGTTAGTGTATACATATAATGCATTTAAATTTCGTAAAACTCAAAAACTAAGTGAAGAACAATGTCAAAGGAGTATGTTTGGATTTTTTAAATAGACATAATGAGAATAATAATTTTTTGAAAAACATTTTATGGACTGATGAAAGTTCGTTCACTATAAGAAAGTGTTTTAATAGACAAAATACGCGATATTGGGCTTTAAATAAACCTAGAAAAATACATGAAATAAAAACCCAGAGGTAAAGTCTGTTCATAGATATAAGAAAGTGACTAGCTGATACGATTAAGGAAAGACCCGGGCAAGCTGTAAGAATGAAATATGGCCGAGCAGGTCCGTACCTTGCTTAGAATTTAATTATTTGGGGTTTTGTTAGGAAAGATGCTAAACAATATTTATTTATTTATGTATGTATTTATGTTTAAATCAAAAATAAAATTACAAATTATTTTTATTACGTACTTAAATTACTTAAAATTATTCACATAATACATCAGTATCACTGTCGCTATCATCGCCTGTTCTAATTATTATTTGTTCTATATTATTTGCAATATGGATATACGATTGTTCTGCTTTTTCTATATGTTTAACAGAATTTGTCCAACTTTGTGGAGGGATGTTAAAAACTTCGGTTTCCATAAGTTTGAGGACATTGGAGTTAACACGGGGAAAAAAATTGTTACGACGAATTCTAAAAGATTCCATTAAAACTTGCCTTTTGTCATTTTTTTTTAATCTAAAACCCATGTGTTGAATGCACTTCCATAGTTTTTTTTATTTAACGCCGGTTTCATCTTTTTCAAGCCTCCTAATTCAGATATCTAATGTAGGCACGCTTTGTTCCTCGTATAACTGGTAAATTTTACGCCGTATTATATCTTGATCACTTTCATCTACACTCGTGAAAATGTCAGCATCGCTTCTTTTTTCCTCGCCGAAATGAGATTATTCACAATTTTCCATACAGTTGATGTTGGAATTTTCGTCAATGTGGCCGTTTCTTCTAAAGATGCTTGCTGGCACCACGTTCAATGAGAGTCAAATAAACATTGTGTATAATTTCCTTAGTATCAATAGAATAGTGTTTTCTACATTTGGGCGGGAGCATCCCTTAAACTAAGTAGTATACCAAACCAAAGGATATTAAACACAGGTAGGTATAAAATTATTTTCTATTACGGACCACAATTTTACCTAAATTTAAATTCCGAAACTTTAGGTAATAATTTTGTTGCATTGTATGATAATGACCACCCTTGGATAATCCCATTCAAAAGCATTTGGTCACTGGAGATCATGATTTGCAAGTCTTAGAGCCCCAAATAGAACAATATATATATATATATATATATATATATATATATATATATATATATATATATATATATATATATATATATATATATATATATATATATATATATATATATATATATATATATATATATATATATATATATATATATATATATATATATATATATATATATATATATATATATATATATATATATATATATATATATATATATATAAATATTATTTCCCCCTAAATATATCAGCGCTGATTATATCGCAGCAAGACGATGGAATATCCCAGGGGTTGGATACAGCAAACGATTTCAGAGGCAATCAATCAGTTAAGAGACAATTAGAGTGTATGATAAATGTGCTACATTCAGCAGTATTTAGAACAGTTAAAGAATTTTTTACTTTAGCGTGTCTTGTCATTTTTAGTGTTTTTGTTCTACTTTAATTTGTAAATAATTATTGTTGTTGCAGTCAGCCAGGATTTCTCTTTGAAATTTTATAAAAGTTTCCTATTTTTGCACATTGGACTAATTGCAATCGGAATATGATATTCTATGAAAAAAATGTGTTGTTGGCTCATATGTCAGAAAATTGATAGTGTTTTGTTGAAAAAAAACTTGGCTACTAACCCTACATTTTGATTTTTTTTTGTTTAGCTTGATTTCTCTAAAAACAAAAAAGTTACAGCCAATTAAAATGTCATCAAGATAAATTGAACGCACGGTACAACTAGGCAGCAATGGCTACACTCCAGCCAATCAATTAATCTTGTTATATTATCAGATGAAGAATTGTTTACTTAGTGGAGTTGTTTCATATTGGTAGTCATGTTTAATTTACAAGAAACTTGGATCTTGCACAACCTTTTGACCTAGCAATTGCTTGCAAGCTTTACTGCATAATGTCAAACGGCCTTATTGTAAAAACAATCGTAAGTAATTTGCTAAGCACGGCATGTCTGCATTTTAATTTATGCCGTTTTCGCTTTGGCATCCTTATCTATTCCAGACCAAATAACCGAGCTTTATAGTACCGCCGGCACTACCAACAGCGCCCTCACCGCCAGTAACAGCGGCCTAACCGAAATTAAATTAAAATCTTCCTCTTTACCAGCCGGTGTTATGTTGTCCAGTTCGGAATCGTTCCGTCTGAAACGGAATAAGATTAATTCGGGTAGAAGTCAAGACGACGCGTCTTTGTATGAAGAGGAGCGGGAGGAAAAACTGTCGCTATTCGAACGTATATTTCCTAGGAGGAGCGGCAAGAAGAAGAGAAAAGACGAAAAAATTAAGGAAGATGCCGCTAAGAATGAGGAAAAGGTGAGCACTTTGCCGGTCAGCAATATATTATGGCAAAATACAAAGTTTTAAAAAAGTTTTGTATTTTTATGAAAATAAGATTTTGGATACCTCGATCGTTGATTATCAATTTATATAAATGGAACACCATTGAATGGTGTTAGGTTGTAGGACAGCTAACTCTGTGGTTTTTAACGCTATTTGGAGATTTCTAAATAAAAAGTTTTATAGCATGGGTCAGTTTTGACTCCCATAGTGTTAGAAGAAGTCCACTTAAATATTAGAACAACGATGTGGCTTGAGCTAGATGGAGGAGTACACATTGATTGGAAAAATCAATTTCAAAACTGCGACCCCAGATTCCGACATAACACCACTACATTTCTTTTTATTGAGATATATAAAAGGAATTCTTCGCAATGCAAGTTTAACCACAATAGATAGTATAAAAATTCATATTAGAGACTGCTTTAACACTGTAATCAGAGTTAGCAATCCTTTCAAGAAAAGAATATGTCGAAGTCTGTTGAAGTTTCATAAAATTTTGAAAAATTTTATACATTATAATTGTTAATATCGATGTTATAGTAGCCACCTAGTTACAAAATTTATCAAGTCGTAATAAAGTATCATAAATCATAAATAGAATAATAGATCATAAATAAATAGAATAAATTATATGTCATTTTTAAATACCATAGGCAACTATAGGTAATTAAAAAGTACATTTCCTGGTATGTTAAAAAATATGAGGCTTCATCAAGTTATAGTCAGTTAAAGTTGTTGTTCGATTACCACACATTTGGCCACTCTGTATAAGATGCGACGTATTTTATAATTGAGATATGATCTTAAGGTTTGGCATAAATCTTATTGAAAGGCACATTTATTTGGGTCATACAATCCAATACAAGTTTGATACAATTAACACTTTTGGAACAACCTGTATGGATGAAACTAATTTTTAAAAGTTAAAATAACTCTGTAGATCAGCGGATCAAACACCTTTATATCCCGCCAAAACGAATTTTTTTTACGGTTGTCACGATTTCCCAAGTTATGAGTTTTAATTTATTAAACTTCTTAAACTCGAACCCACCTACGAAAGTTGTTTCAGAGCTTTCGTTAATTTTCAAAGTTTTATTCGTATATGATTAATATATTAGTATCTCGAAAGAGGGCAATCTGTCATTAAAATAAAATCTTCAATCGGAGAAATTAGATTTAAAAAATTACTTCAAACTTTGGTTACATTTTGGTGCTTTTTTTTTTTTTTTTTTTTTTTTTTTTTTTTTTTTGATAAATTCAGATGAAATATAAAAGAAATATAAATTAAATTTTCAAAAATTCAGGTGGTGCAAGAAATATAAATTAAAATTTCAAAAATTCGGATGGTGCAAGAAATATAAATTAAAATTTCAAAAATTCAGATGATACAAGAAATATAAATTAAAATTTGAAAAATTCAGATGGTGCAAGAAATATAAATTAAAATTTCAGAAATTCAGGTGCAAGAAATATAAATTAAAATTTCAAAAATTCGGATGGTGCAAGAAATATAAATTAAAATTTCAAAAATTCAGATGATACAAGAAATATAAATTAAAATTTGAAAAATTCAGATGGTGCAAGAAATATAAATTAAAATTTCAAAAATTCGGATGGCGCAAGAAATGTAAATTAAAATTTCAAAAATTCAGATGAAGCAAGAAATATAAATTAAAATTTCAAAAATTCAGATGGTGCAAGAAATATAAATTAAAATTTGAAAAATTCAGATGGTGCAAGAAATATAAATTAAAATTTCAGAAATTCCGATGGTGCAAGAAATATAAATTAAAATTTCAAAAATTTCCACAGAATACATTTAGTTTTTTTTCTGGCGAAGAAAGAGTGTGATAACAGTATATTGTGTAATTGCTCAATTGTAAATATGAAGCAATGGTAATTAACTATTATCATGTTAAAACAGTAGAAAATTTTAAAAGCAATTTTTAACTATTTTACTATTTACAAATCTTCTTTATTCCTCCTGCGTATTTTTAAAAAACTGTGTTTGCAAGGGTCTAAAAAAAGACTCGTTAATCGAAAACTGTTAATGCAACCGAAAAAATTATTGAACGAGAAGAAGTAGAAGATTCGGCTCCGCAACCTTTTATTCTTGAAATTTTTTAAAAAATGTATGCGCCGCATATTCAAAAGAACTGAAAAATGGGTCCCCTTATTATTGAAAATTGGCAATAATTTAAAATTTGTGTTTCAGATGTCAGATTCTTTTACATGAAAACATAGCTCGTCTAGACAGCTAAAACTTTTGTATTTAAGGTTTTTAACTATTGTACAGCGTGCTCACGATATTCCGTGCAATATTAAAAAACGTAATAAGTGCCCCAAATTTGCAGCTACCGACTTTAGACTTGGCAGAGATGTAGAAGTCCGGACCCTCATTTTTTACAAATTTTAGAATTTTTTTTTGCTTATTTTGAATTCCAGAAAATAAATATTTTCTCGAAAACTATTAACCCGATCAGCAGGAAATGCAGGAAATCGGGAACCATAAATTTTATTTCAGGCACTTTTTCCATTCCAGTTTTTCAGTTATAGACAAAAATCTAAAAGACCCTGCAAATCGTTCTTTTCGCTATTAAATTATTGGTCGTAAGTCAAAATTCGTGAAAAATATGGCCAATTGGTTTAAACAGTGTTATAGGCCACATCGAGAGCTACAATTTTTCTATTTACGGTTTTCATCTATCACATACGCTGTTCAAGATATTTGAAAAAAACCAAATGAAAATCACAATTTCTCGCCCTAGACGCGATGACGTCATTTACTATTACCATGTACTGCATGGTTTCACAAAACAATTATTTTCTTGAAAACCGTTTACTCTATTGCAAAAAGTCATATGCCAGGAAACATAGGAGATCCAGGGCTATAACCTCTATTTAGAACATTTTTTTAATTATATACAGGGTGTGTCGTTTATGAGCAAAAAAATCTAAAACATTCTAAAAATTTGGGTAAATTATTGGGGATAAATGAAAAACTGCTAAAGATGCGATAATTGTGTCGAGAGAGAGTTTCAGGTTTCGTCAATTATACAAAGCGTGCGAGATATTTGAAAAATATCATTCGACAACGCTATTATTTGCACAAATTTTAATGTTTAACAAAGTTTGCCGAAACTTTGAAGTTCGGCGAGCCTTGAAAGACACTTTATACAAAGTGTATGCACAATAAAATTACATCGATTTCGCGAAAGCTCAACAAAGGATAGATTGGAGAGACGGGAGGAAAAATATGAACTAGGCTCAAACAATATCAAAGAGCCTTATCACTACGACAAATAAACTTACCAGCATTTACCGTACACAATTACGAAACTGGACATCAAAATTTTACTCGACAAAACTAAAATTTTTGCCTGTCATGAATTCTTTTACCAACGAAAAATTTCGAGAATCCTTTTACTAATATGGGAACTAATCATACGAGACAATGTTCATTTTAATATTTCAGTATTCATATGAGGTACATGTTTTTCTATTTTTACATTTATACTGTTTTGGCTTGCTATAATGTACCTTGCACAAAAATAGTCAATACATTTTAGCTAGCTAGCTAGTTAAAAAAACCTTAAATTTATAGAGTTCATTAGATAATTTTTGTAATAAACCCTACAGAATCAAATCACAAAATTAGAAAAAACATTTTTTCGATGGTCATTTTCGCCAGGTCAAAACATGAAATGTTGACCACATCCACGGATCCATAATAAAAATTCCCAATTTTGGTGTAAAAAACGACATTTTTTCAAAAAAAAATCTCATACGCTGCGTAATTCAAAATCAAGCCAATATTCATAATAAATATAAAGTGTAAAGTCTGTTCAGAGGTATAAGAAAGTGACTAAATAACTAACTGAGTAAGAATGGCCGAACAGGTCCGTACTTTGCTTAGAACTTAATTATTTGGGGTTTTGTTAGGAAAGATATTAAACAATATTTATTTATTTATTTATTTATTTATATATATATATATATATATATATATATATATATATATATATATATATATATATATATATATATATATATATATATATATATATATATATATATATATATTATATGTTTATATTTAAATCTAAAATAAAATTACAAATTATTTTTATTACCTACTTAAATTATTTAATAATAGTAATATTTTTCGCAGGCAGAGAAAGTCCATTTGGAATCCAACCATCTTTAGAGCCAGCATGCAAAATAGTTATTCTTTTACCTCTTTTTGATGGCGCATTTGTTTTACACTTATCAGTTGAATCAACCCAACCGTTTTCCGGGGTATCATAAATGTCGAACCAGATTTCATCCAAGTAAATAATTGGCCTTTGTTATTCTCTATTAATCCTAATTTTTTCTAGATATTCCAGTCGCCATTTCCGAATTCTAAAAGATTCCATTAAAACTTTCCTTTTGTCAAATTTTTTAAATCTAAAACCCATGTGTTGAATACACTTCCATAAGGTAGTTCTGCCACATTTAACACCGGTTTCATCTTTTTCAAGCCTCCTAATTAAAGTATCTAATGTAGGCACGCTTTGTTCCTCGTATAACTGGTAAATTTTACGCCGTGTTATATCTTGATCACTTTCATCTACACTCGAGAAAATGTCAGCATCGCTTCTTTTTTTCCTCGCTGAAATGAGATTCTTTACAATTTTCCATACAGTTGATGTTGGAATTTTCGTCAATGTGGCCCGCTGGCACCACGTTCAATGAGAGTCAAATAAGCATTGTCTCAATAGAATAGTGTTTCCTACATTTAGGCGGGAGCATCTCCTGAGATACACTAGACTCGCACATATATTGCATAATTCGCACACGATTCAACACACGCTGTGTTACAGACGGAATAAGAATGATTACTAATAAACTTAAACTAAGTAGTATACCAAACCAAAGAATATTAAACACAGGTAGTTATAAAATTATTTTCTATTACGGACCACAATTTTCCCTGAATTTAAATTCCGAAACTTTAGGTAATAATCTTGTTGCATTGTATGTTAATGACCACCCTTGGATTATCCCATTCAAAAGCAATTGGTCACTTTCTTATATCTATGAACAGACCATACCTATAGATTCCGCAGCCCGCGGAAGTTTCTTTGAGAAATTGTTTTGCTCTGTTTGCAGACTGTTCAAATTATACCAGTACCGTCGGTTATTTCAAAAACCTACAAGGAGGCGTCGTCCTGTTCGGTGACGACCTCGTACAGTCACACGAAACGAGACGAGACGAAACCGGTACCGGCCCCGCGGATGGGCGCCGCTGCCCGACAAAGGATCCAACCCATCGACATACCGGAAACCCCGAAGGACCCGCCACTGTCGCCGGACCGATCGTTCGGCACGTCGCCCATCCAGGCGGAACTGGAGAACATCTTCAGGCAGAGGCAACTGTCCCACGCCACCCTCAATACTCCGCCCCAGTCCCCCAAAAGTCCCCGATTTTCCTCTGTGATATCCAAATCCGAATTTACTTCGTTATCGACCGCCAGGTCGAGCCACACGGAAACCAAACGCGAGATGATGCCAAGAACAACGACCGAAGACATCAGGAAGAAGATAAAGATAGCGAAGTTGTCGCCGTTGCAGCAAAGGGTGATTGATTTAAACCGGGACGACGGCTTCAAGTCGCTGACCGAGTTGTCTTCGAAGCCGGGAAAACCCCTGGCCAAATCGCGCAGCTTCAAATCGTCGGAAGATGGCGCGGAGAGCGACGCAACAAAGTTGGTGACGAAAGCCGCGTCGCTGGACAGCGTGAAACACTTGGACGACGATTTCGCGTCGGAACCACCGATAAACGTCGAAGAGGAGGAGCACGCGATAGACGTGGTCGAGATTCGACAAGAGACCATCGAGACTGACGTTAAGGTGGCCGAGGCTAGAAGTAAAGTTTTCGAGCAGGACGTAGAAATGAAAAACGCTGTCACCATTTCCGGCCCGAGTCACACGGCCATAGTGAACGTCAAGAGTGCCGACGATGACGTCGTGGAAACCGAAAACGCGACGAAAATCGTGCAGACCGTGACGAAGATCCACCTGACTCACGCTGTGGTGCCTGAGTTTTTGAGCAAGCAACTGAACAAAGTAGAAGTGTGGCCTTCGAGCAACATAATCTTCTCGATGAAGTCGCCGAAAGCGCCGGAAGAACAATCCAGGCCTAAGACGTTGTTTAATTTCCAAGCGGACGACCCGGACATCAAGAAACCGCCGTGGTCGTTGGGCAGGAGCGTCAGCAAAGAGGAGGAGACGGTCAAAAAGATCGACGCGAGAGCTTATTCGAGAAAGTCGTCGTCTGTGTCGATTATGGCGGATTCGCCGGTCACAGAAAAACCCCTCGACAAAAGTCGATCCGCGAGTTTGGATTCGTTAAAGAGCAACTCGAGCGGGATCACGGAGAAAACTTCGCCGGACGGGTTACATAAGAAGAAGGGTGCGAACGACGGCGTGGTGTTGAGGCGAAAATCCCTCCAACGACAGAAGAACGAAGACGAGCCCGAACTGATGAAGGTTTTCGCGAGGAGATCGTTGAAGCTGAAAGATACCGAAATCGACCAGCTGCAGGAGGCGATCGTCGACCAGAAGCAGAGGGATTCAGACAAAGAAAATAACGGTAGCGTCGATCTGCCCTCCGGCGACGAGAAAATTATAGAGGACGCGTCGAAGCAGCCCCTGGCGGTTAAAAATGAAGAGGCAGAGGTTCAACTGAGGAAGAGTTTAAGTAATAATATATTTCTGGCTCAGAGGGCTGTGAGTTTGAACCCGCCCAAGGTGACGACCGCCGAGTACGTCATCAAGAAGCAGGCGTCGTTGAACGACAAACGAAGAACGGACCATTGGGTCAACGGTAGAAAGGAAGACTCGAAGAAAACGAGTGACGTATTCGGCAACGAAGACGACGAGGAAGTCGAAGCTAAAACGGCGAACAACTTTAGTCAAAGGAAAGCGGAATGGGAGCAACGGGTGCGACAGGCGAACAAGTAGGTGGTCAAAACGAGTCAACAATTTTTTTGTGATAAACCGCTAAAAACACGTTATTTTTGTCATTGGAATACTGAGCGGGTGTTTGTTTTTGTACATAGATTGCTTATGTGGAAAATTTTAATCAAATATGTTAAATATCGGGTACCTACCTATTCTTGCGCGGAAATCCTATGCCAATAATTAATTCATATTAGTAGTAGGCTACTTGCATCAAACGCGTTGGACGTGGGGCCGTAACCAGTTTAAAACGTATTACCTATAAGTTACATAAAGCGGTAATAAGAACAAAGCAACCTGTTCCCCGTAATTGCTGCCTTCATTTACACAATTCCATCAAAAAAGATCTACCAACCGGTCCTTAAAAAAACCTCTTTCACTCATAATCGAAATTGTTACTGAAACTGCTAGAAATAATAAAAAAAAACTTGGAACACGCAATGTCAACAATACCATAGAATCCATAGAGAAAAGAGATAGGTTAGCTTAACGATTCACACCGGTTGACATTTGCATCGTAACGTCATGTCAATTACGAAGTCGACTTTGGGGATGTTTTGCCTGAAACGTAAAATTCATGCAATGGGCCTATTACAAATTTGTACTTATGAGATATTATATAAGTTCCGACGCAAACGTGTATGTAAATATTATACGTATCTGTAGGATCACGTGATCACCACTTTCTTTTAATTTTTAACATTTGATGGAGACGTACCAGTAGAAGGATTTGCCTACAATTTTAAACCAGTTTTGGGTTCTGGCGCTTGGTTAACCACTGTTAAGAATTTTTGTTTACTGATATTTTAAATATTATGTATAAATTAAAATCAAACTGTTTACCGTTGATCAAGCAATCCCTACTAAAAAAAAATAGAAATATTTATTGAAATTTTACTTATTTTATTTTTTCTTATACTTTTGCCTGAAATTAGCTACAATGTGAATGTAATTATATTAATTTTTATATTGTATTGTTTGTATGCGTCACCATTGTGGCTTGGGCCAGTTAAATTGTCCGTTCAAGAAACCGATGACGAACCTTTGATAATTAAATTTGTCTCTCGAGAGAAAACAAATAACCTTGCCTTCCACATAAACTAATGATTGGTTCAAGTTCCGTTGTAGTCTTCCGTAACATTTTAAAATATGTTAATTTTTCGTAGTCGCAACTGCTTTGTAACGATTTTACGTTAATGTAGATAGTTAAGTGCCTTTTTAACAGTCTAAATACTTCGAGCGGTATTAAGAGAATGTGATTAAAGATTCATTGCGAAGCAATGATGTTGAGAGACCCCTTGCCTTTTCGAGAGATATTGGTGCTTGATTGGAAAAATATTATATGTATTACTGAATGTAGTAAATAAGAGATTTAAATGTCCCTATGAAATAAAACAATTTCTAATTTTTATATGTGACCTTTAATTTCCTCGAATACCAAATTGATTCCTGTAAAGTCTTTGGGTTTTCGACTTCCCATTTTTTTCCCAATGTCTTTCATGGTTTCGAACTTCCCGATTCTGCCACGTGATTGCAAAGTGACTTTACCGTAATGCAACCAACATGAAAACGGTTTTTACACTTAGCACATCTTACGCTGGTAATCAATCTTCTTCGACACCTTGCACACGAACCTTAAAACAGAAAACACATTTCAATCTCTCACTTCTAAGGCCAGCTAAAATTTAGACAATGGCAATTTTGGCAAAATGGGTCTGATATTCGTCTAGTCGTGCAATTGAGCTTTTTAAAATAACCGCCAGAGGCCGCAATCGAAAAAGACGTATTATACAATCACGGGCTTTGGCATTATGCCACCTTTCGGTCATCTTTGTTACATTGAAGTTTTGTCGCATATTTTTCCGCAAAAACGAAGCCTATTATTGGATTAAACTAAATAATAATTGATAAATATAAAAAATCAATCATTGATGAGTAAGGATCACCCTTCAACATAATAAGTTGATGACTATAATAAGCGATATCGAAATGGACTGTCGAGACATTCGGATAATAAAATCTGAAGTGCGTATTATTTGAGAAAAAATCTTCTAGACATTGACAGGCACTCTTATTAATGGTAACACGCCATAAAGTCGTCAACAAAAAATAAAAATATATGTAATATGAAAAAAAATGAGAGCGTCCATTCAACATGGCATGCGCGAGATTCAAAGTTTTGCTTTTAACCAATGACCTTGCGGCATTAACAATCAACATGGCCGCTGACTGATCGCCAATAAGTTTGGATGCGGCATTTTTACGGCAATATTTTCGCAAAATATGTCCAGATCCCATTAAATCTTCATGCAAAAAGGAGTTAAATGGCGCGAAGTGCAGATTGGTAGGTGAAATGTGGAAACATGGTCCGCGGATCATTTCCATCTCTAAGAAAATATCATTTACCGTTTAATAGCCGTGTGGGAGTTATAATAGTTATATGAGGTCGAAGCATCCCAAATTCTAATTTGGTAAATGTTGAATAGATTATAATCTAATCACCTGTGGTAACAATTATTTACGCCAGATAATAAATTATTTATGAATTAAGCTGAGTTTAAGCTTTAAAACGTAAAATAATTGGGGATGACCATTTTAGCATTCTTATTACTTAGAAAGTCATACTGTCGACATCGTAATACACTCCTCCATTGTAATTTCAAAATTTGTGACGGTATTACTCATTTACGACATTCTGTGAATAAAAGAAAGGGACAGATAATTAGTTTGTCATTTATCATTTCCTACTTATGATGGCCAAAAATTTCTAAGCATTTTATCAATGAGTTATCTGGTCTCCGGTAAATATTAAATCAAATTTTTCAAAAAGTGATTCCTTTTTAAGTATCGACACATTGCTTACCAGAGTTAACTGTAGGATGACTCCTTTTAACATGCTTCTTGATCTCTAAGTAGCTGCTGCATTTATAACTGCATTTGTCGCAGTAGTGCATTGTAATTGTATTATTGAGGTGTCTTGCCTCATGAAGGTGTATACCTAGCTGCATTTTAGTTTGAAAGTCACAGTAGAGACACCTGTATTTCTTTCCTATTCTAAAAATAATGTATTCATTTATATAAAACACATTTTATAAAAAAAATTACTAAATCATCAATAACCGTTTACTAACTTCGCTTTTCCCGTCTTTAGCTTTCTCTTTAGTTTACTTTTAATTTCTGCATCACAATTTGACATGTTTACGATCAGTTGTTTGTTCATATCCAACGAGCAATTCTTTAACAAACTTAATTCTGCATCTATTGATGGGATTCCTTGCACATCATTGCAAGCATTGCTTGTGTTGATCTCATTAGTTGCAATTTGGAGTTCGAGCTCTGGAGGACCGTCATCAATCTCTTCTATCATTTGAATATCATATAGATCGAGTTCTTCTGGTTCGTTTTTGACAAAGGACTCCAAATTAGGGCATTCGTCTAAAAAATTCGGGATATATCAACCTTAATAAAAAATATGCAAGCTTACCAAAGTTTTCAGTGGAATATTCTCGAATTTCCAGATCGCGATCACTAAGAATTTCTGCTTTAATTTGTATATGTTCAGTTTCTTCTTGTCCATGACTACTAAGTCGATAATTGCTGAAAGATGCAAGTAGCTGTTCAACAGTTTGTTGCCCATTAGGGCAAGCTTCCAGTGAAACCTGCTTTTGCCTAGGCTTTTTAATATCAGAAATTGGATTTGAACCAGTCTCTTCTAAAACAGGAGGCTTCTCTCTAAAAGTTTTCGTATTCTTTTTTTGTTTCGCACCACTCAAACTAACCGGATCTATAATTTGTTCTAGGATGGGTAGTTCGTCTCTAATAACTTTCGTTTTGCTTCTTTTTGCAGACTTATATTTTCGCATATTCTCAATTGGTACTATCTCTTCTAAAATAGGTGGTGTGTCAAATGTTCTGGCACAGTAATTTGGATGTTTAGAACTGCTTCCAATTGAAATTATTTCCTTGTCTAGCACAGGTACGCTTCCCCTAATCATTTTTACCTTGGATGTTTTTATAGCTTCTAATTTCAACATTTGCTTCAAATCTGATCCATTATCATATTTGCTAAAAAGAACACACATGGTCTGTAAATCTTCCTGTGTTATGGTTTTCCTCGAAAAACTTTTGCAATACAAACTGACTTTTTCGTTTACTTCCAGCAATTGTCTTCGAAAATTATATGTTATTTGAAGATTTTCCCAACATTTATGACATAGAACAGGGTTTACGACTTTGTCACAAGCCTAAAATATAAAAAAATTCGGAAAGGAAAAATTAAGATATCTACACTTACAATATATATTTTGCATCCTCTTAACATACTAACGATGTATTCCACAGGAAGAATATTTTTCGGGCTATCATATAAATATAAAGCAACTGAAGTGGTTGGCTCCAAACACAGTCTACATACTAGAAAGTTTCCCTGTAGACTCTCATACCTCTTTAGTAGTTTTAAATTTATGGTTGGTCCTTTCCTTTTTTTTAACTCGAAAAAAATTAAGCCATTTGCTCTGTTGGCTAGTATGGCAAGACATTTGCTGGTTTTCAAATTTGCAATGCATGTGTCACATAAAATTTGATCCCTGAGTAATTTTGCTTTCTGTAAAAACGATCAGTATTAATTATTGAAGTTCTAAGATTAAAATTACATTTTTTGTTGAAACATACCATGTTTGGGGAAAAAAAATACTTATTTAGTGATTTCATTATATGGGATAATTTTATTTTACGGGTGCTATAATAATCATTTTCCCTCAAGCAAAATCTGCAAATATCTTTTAATCTGCTCATCTTTGCAACTTAATTTTATTCACTTATTTATAATGTAACCTAAAGTTAGTTATTTTAGGTTAAAAATATTCGCATAGAATTCATTTCGACGTTGCCAACGAATCAAAAAGTTCAACAAGGTTGAATGGTTTTGTTACAACAAGCCAATTGCTTGTGTTTCCTTTTAAATTCCAAGCGCACTGAAAGGTCGTGTATTGTTTAGCAGAATTTGCTAGGTGCTCGTGCTTAACAAATAATTTTTGTTATGTATTCAAAAGCATAAGTAAGAAATTTTATTCATTAGACGTCATCAAATTGTTGCGCACACAGTACCACTAAAATGATATTTTTTTTAACTATGGTTTGAAAGAAATGTCTTTTCAATGTGGCAACGTTAGTACGAACAAGCGCCTACGCCAATACCGTAGATTATAAAAGTAGTTGGAGGGGAGAGTTTTTTAACCTCGTTTTCATGTTCGTTTGCTTTTGCTTATTTTTTTGTGAGAAAAGTGACTTTTTGAAAATCACAGGTTTCTTTGGACATTGCCATTACAAAGGATGAAGCAATACTGTGAAATTTGAGGATAACATATCGTTTTGAATACTGTGTGTCGAAAACGTGTTTAATAGGCAGGTGTACTTTTTTTTCTTGTTTTGTGTATTTCTGCTTCGTATTATTTATTGTAAATTCGAACGTTCAAAGGTATCAGTTGTGTGCCAAAGTGGTTTAATGTGGCCTTTTATAATGTAATAATGAAAGTTTTAATATTGTTACGTTATAATCTCACGAAAATTATTTTCCCGTACCGTATAGTAACCGTGTGAGACAACACTCCTCATCCCACTCGTCCCTTGCCAAAATTACTATATTGTCATCGCAACAGAATTTTGATGAATGATTTATGTGGTTTCTTCTAGTTGGGCGTCTGGGGTTTTTAAGTGAACACAAGTGCGGATATTTTCTCAGAGTTCGAATGTCAGTGCAACAATTGTGATGCCCCTTTTTATAATTAAATTGACGGCAGTCGCAGCTACAATTAATAATTAATAGAGTCATTTTCGGCTGACGAAGATGCTGAGTGATGTTAGTGGTTTTTGGAAATCTCAACATTTTAGAAAAAAAGAAGGTAGATTTTGGGTATCAAACCTCAACAACAATGACAATTTATATACTAAAAACGGAAAAAATTTCACCAAATTGCAGTAGTTGAAAAGCCTAGAGGAAGAAGTTTAGACTTGAGAGGATGTTTACCAAAACGCCTACTAAGTAGGTAACTAAACAGAACTTACTACCATAATCTGGTGAAAAGTATGTCATTCCCAAGTGAAAAATTACTCATTGCAAAAGAGATATTTTGCTGAAAGAATAACTGCATCATGACATGCTTAGGGAAGCCCAACCTCTCTAAACAAAATATTTCTCCAAGTTTGGTTACTATACACAATGGATACCAGTACAATGATCATGAACTCTATGATTGTGTACGGCTCTTTATCAGTCTTTCTTTTCCAAATAGAGGTGCATTATACAATAAAGATCAATGCTGGAAGCATTTTGAAGGCATTAGTTACAATTCAGTGCTCCTCCAAGGTTACAAGCAAATCGAGAAAACGAGAGAATAATAGGTTCAATATCTCAATCGTCAATAAAATCAATTGAACGCAGCAGAGCAGCAGAGAAAACGTGCTCTCGCACCCTAAGTGTGAAACTTCTGGTGGGTACGTGGTCCCAACACTGTCACCTCAAAAATCATAATCACAAAATCGGCATTGCTAATGATGATGAGTATAAAGAATCAGATACCAGAAGGCTGACTTGACGGTCTAAGCAATATACTTCCGAGAATCTGATTGGCGAGTGAATAGATCCTATTTCATATTTGGATAAAATTGAACTATCATCTGATTTTACGTTTGCTGCACTTAGTTTTAATGAAGTTAGGGAAATCATAAATAGTCGAAACGTAACACTTTTCCAGACATTAAAAAAAGCTATAGTAATACCAGTATAAAGTTTTGCGCGAAAACTGTTATAACTCATATTTATATAGAGTAAACACTGAAGACATACAGGATCCTAGTCAATTTTGAAGACATATAAATACGATGCGTAGATCGGCGGGTGCATATCCCAATTGCATGCATTGGGAGAGTGAGATTGCTGGCAATAGCCAAGAAATTGTTAACTTATTTGCGAAACACTTCATCTACATACAAAAAACATGAAGGGGATGTTCCTGACTATAAATTTGACTATGGTTTGGACTTAAATGTCATTAACTTTACTCTGAGTGAAATATTTGCGGGGATAGATACCCTTCGGACTAAGTACTCGTATAGCCCGGACAGTATTCCATCCATTTTAATAAAACAATGTACCTTGAGTGGGCCCCTCCATCACATTTTTAATGCTTCCTTGCCGTCCGGTGTTTTTCCTGATTACTGGAAATTAAGTTATTTAACGCCAATTCACAAAATTGGTGACAGAAGCAATATTAGTAACTATAGAGGTATATGCATACAATCTGTCATTCCCAAACTTTTTGGTAAACTATTTTGTCAGCATTTTTCCTGGTATTGTAAAAAAAATATGTGTGACAACCAGCACGGGTTTTATCGGGGTAAGTCCACTGTGACTAACCTGCTGACGTATCTGTTGGGTGCTTTTGAGAAGTCTAAACAAGTGGACAGTGTCTACACGGACTTTTCGAGGGCGTTTGACAGAGTGGTACTCTGGTTGAATTTTGTCACAGCTTTTTAACACGGCGTACACAGCAAGTGCGAATCAATAATTATATTTCTAAGGAAATTGTGGTGCACTCGAGTGTGCCTCAGAGTTCACACATAGGTCCAGTTTTCTTTAATTTGTTTATAAGAGATCTGAGTGATGTGATTCTTTATTCTGAACATCTTGCCCTCCAGATGATTTTAAATTTTACAAAACAATTGAATCATTTATAGACGCTCAGCTTCTTCAGAGCGACCTTAATAATGTTAGAGAAATAGAAGATGGTCTGGATCTAAATGTTGGAAAGTGTTTTAGTATTACTTTTTCTCGCTTAACACCTTTCAAAATATATTATTAAAAATACAACGACAGAGTGTGTCACTAAAGTTAGGGACCTTGGAGTCATCTTCTGACAGTAAACTTACCTTTTTGGATCACCTGAAGGATATTGTTAACAAGGGCATGAGAGGTCTGGGTTTTATTACCCGTAATAGTATATTGCTCTCATCCGACTGTTTTAAAACCCTTTATTGCTTCTTAGTAAGATCTACACTGGAGTATGCATCAGTCTCCACATTACAAATGTCACATTGATAGATTGGAGACTGTTCAGGGGGCATTTCTGAGGTCCCTAGCATATAGAGCGGTTATAAATATCTACAATAACTTTCACATTAATTATGTTCTGGTATGTGAGCCTTTTGGGATAGATAGTCTGGAAATTAGAAGAACCCACTCCAATATCTTGACGTTTTATAAAATTTTGTCCGGCTCTGACCTTCCCCTTGTGGATCCTACATCTATTTACACACTTTTTGTTGATGACACCATTGTGTCTGTTTCTGGAGATTCATTAGAAGACACGTTTTAAGGGTTTTAGGATCGCACGGGAAAAGGTTGAACACTGGTTTAGTGCAAATAAATTAGTTTTAAATAATCATAAAACAAAGAGAGTGGTGTTTTCCATGCGAAATTTAAGTACAGTTAAATTTAACTAAATAAATACTAGATTCCTTGGCATCTATATTGACCCAAAACTTCAGTGGGTACCCCATATAGGTTTTGTTGCTCAGAAACTGACTAAAAATTTGTATTTGCTTCAAATGCTTGACCGCATATTTTGCACTTTTTCATTCACACCTCCTATATGAGATATTAATATGCAGGCACCGTTTGTTCAGATTATAGCGAAATTCAATTCGAATTGTTATTGGACTTGGCTATCGGGAGGCCTGTAAAAATGCCTTTCGAGACTTGGAAATTCTTACATTGCCCTCGTTGTTTATCTTAGAAAATCTATTATTTATAAAGAAACATGCGCATCTATTTACCACTTATAACGAATTGCATGACCATTAAACCAGAGGTCGGGGCAATGTGGTTATTACGTACTGCCGCTTAGAGAGGTGTCGAAACTGGTCTAAATTATTGGTCCGTTAGTTCTTTTAATGGGCTTCCAAATGCTGCCGTAAATACGGTAGAATTGATAAACCTCGGCCACAGAATAGACAATGTCTTTTCTGCACATACACAAATGAATTCTCACTCATATTTCACGCACGCATGTCCTCTGCGTTTTTTTTTTAAACAATGATTCATTTTCGTTGAAGATCTATGGGGAACTGAACACTTGAAATGAAACTGCCAAAGCGAAAACTGCAGCGCCCGAACTATTATTGGCCAAATTGGACGTTTTTAAAAGTTTAAAATGACTTGCGCATAGTGATCTAAATATTTTTTGATGGTTTCAAGAGTTCGTATGTCATCAACATAAATAAGGCCTTGTATATGGTAAGCTTATTTTATGCAAAGAATGGGTAAGGTCACTGGTTATCGACAAAAGACATGAAAGTCTTAGTCAAACCAGCAACATTAAAGGCAATAAATTATATTAATTTTACACTTTATTTGTTTAACCATGCTAATGGCCACACAAAGAGAAACTACATCTTTGTGTTGGTGATGTGTAGAGTGGACAAAATATTAAAACCGAGTACAGTAACCTTAAACTTAACGTATGTATATACATTAACTGTGAAACCCTAATTTAAACTAAGAACTAATACATTTACACAACATATTTTCAAAAAAAAATCAAATAAATAAAAGCAGTCATTTTTAACCGGATCCAGCTTTATGGACCTGCTTTACGTGCTTTTTCAAGTAATCAATCCTTTTTGTTTGGTAGGAGCACAAGAAACACTTTCTCATCTTACTTTCGGGGGTATCGTGGGTCTTCATATGACTTACCAAAGTTTCTTTCTGAATCGTCTCAAACTTGCAAACTTTACACTTGTGCATTTTGATATCGGTAGTGGTTTTATGAGTTTTCGAGTGCTTGTCCAGGTTGCTCCGTAATCTCGACTGATATGGGCACAATTTACACCTGTACATTGTCAACATGTGCCTGTCGTATCTATAGGTGTGCTTTTGAACATAATTGCACTGATTAACAGGTTTATTCATTATGGGTTTTCTTTGATTTGCCTCATCGTGGATGGTCATGTGTTTTTCCATGTTGGTACTGTATCTAAATGCCATAGAACATTTGGGGCATTGGAATGGCTTTATATTTAATTCAGAGTTTGCAGTTTGTGTATTTGAGTTCTTTGGCAAACTTTCTTTGTTTTCAAGCTTATGAGATTTATTCAAATGGCGAACATTCTTTGCCGTGTGCTTGGACAATATATGAGTTTTTAACTTTAATTTAAACTTGGTTTTAAATTTGCAGTATCTACATCTTTTTATCATCGCTTTCTTGGGTCCTGTTGGATAATATGAACTGCAGAAAAAAACAAATTTTGAAACAATATATTTGTAGGTATTTGTCAAGAAATTTTTATTGACTAAAATTGTGTTTAAGTCAAGTTAAGTACCTGTTACGAAAAATTTAAGATGGCAAAACATATATACTCACAAATCTTCGGGATCTTCTTCACTCACAGATTCCTCTTCTTCATCCAGAATTTTTTGAGGACTGGTTTCCTTTTCATTCTCATCCTTAGGCTGATTTGACACATTCACAGAAAATTTTAACTGTAACAAGTCATCATTGGCAATTACCACATCCACCATGTTGTCACTTGTCTCTGTCTCTTGCAATTCCGTTAAATTTCTTTCTTCAGAGTCCACTTTAATGCTAATATCCGAAACACTATTTTTATCACTGGCGGCCAAAACCCGAATTTCATCACTATTCTTTCTACTTTCGCTATTATTGCTTTGCAAGTCATTAAAATCATTACTAAAACCATCGCTTACATTTAGTTTTTCCATATTACTATCATCCTCGATACACATAGAAAACAGATACACACTATGTAGGTTAATTTGCTTGTAACAGTTTTTCTTTTCACAGTAATAATTAATTTTTTCCTCAGAATCTAAACACTGCATCACAAAATGAAATTGTTCTTCCAACAACTCTAAGCATATCGGGCAAATTACAGGAGCTTTGGTCAATTCTATTCCCTACAAAACACCCCATGAACTTTAGTTAGTCATTATAAAAATACGTGAAAACATACCATTTCAGGCAAACATTTGTCAACCATATTTTTCAGTGGATCTCCTTCGAAGCTGTACATTTTTGTAACTGAACTTGTGTCCACAATATTCAAGCAGGTTCGACAAATACTTTGATTGTCTTTAAGGTAGCTCAAATGATTTCGTTTCAAAATTACTGCTTTAAGATCTATTAATATTGGAGTCTTCGGGTCTATAAAGTCCTGAACCTTATCTTCGACTTCGAGACACGAAGATTTAAAATTATATGATTGCTTTAATGTTTCTAAACAACTATTGCATATTGTTGGTGAATCACATATTGAGAGTTTCTGAAATTATAGAAAAAAAACTTTAGTTACACCTTGTACAACTAAGGTAAGTTAGTGTACTACCAATTCGGGAAGGATAATCTCCAACATATCTTTAATAACTCCTTCCAAAAGAGTTAAATTATTATCATTAATTTCCAAAAGGCACAGTCGACATATGGTAACATTTTTCTTTATTTGATCTAGCTCGCCACTTCTCGTTTGGAAGGTGTTTTCGCTTTTTATTCCCAATATAGTCTGAAAGGACCCATATGGGCCGAATCCATTCTCGAAAGTTTCCATATTTGAAAAAGTTTTCAAGCCATTTCTAATAGATTGGAATACGATATTACGAAGCTGGACACTACTTATTTTTATTCTTAATTTCTATATTTGCTTTCTACTTTTTACAAATTTTTCAAACGAATTACCTCTTTGTCATTAGGGTTAAGTATATATTCTTCCTCTTTTTGGTGCGCACTCAAATTGTATGTAGTTTACGCACTGACACCCTGACATTTCGACATGTTTTTAGCATATAAAAAATGCTCTTCTTTTTAACTGATAGACAAACATTGCATCGTAACTACCAAGCGGGTATTTCCATGTTAATTTCATTTTGTAGCAAAACCACTCTGGTGATATCGCAAATGTCAGGTTCTTCTTTTCTTCTTGTTTTGTATTGTCTCGCTGTGTGATTTGACAGAGAGAAGGTCCAACGAAAAGAAGTTGTAAATTTCAAAATATACCAGTGTTTTTTGCCCAATAGTTTTTTGTGAAATGCAACATTGAATTGAATTGAACCAGTGTTTTTTACGATGCACGAAATTTGTGGCAGTTGTTAAAAAAAAATTGATGGTTATAGTTGGACAGACTGACGGATCTGTTGTTGTTTGTCTTGTTTTTAAAGTTTTTAATTTTAAGGTTATTAAAATAATTACATGTTGATTTAAGTACTCAAACATGGCTCTGCGTGACATTAAAAAGATGAAACAAGGAATGTCTTACACCCGTAAAGAAAAAACGATTATTTTGAACGTATTTAAATATTTTCGTGGCGAATATCCCGGTCAATGCGTTACTGAAATTGTTAGAAAAACCGCTAAAGCCACTGGGTGTAGCGAAAAAAGCGTTTTCCAGTTTCGAAAGGAAGAAGCCAGCCCGGAGGGGTTTAGAGAACCTTCTAAAACCAAAATACGTAAAAATATAAACATAAACAGCAGATTTATCAAGTATGACAATAATGTTAGAGGTGGAATTAAAAACATTGTTTACGAATTAAAAAACAATAATGGTTTTCCCAGCTTAAATACTATTCTAAAAAAGGTTAATGATACTCTCAGTTTACCAAATTTTTCGCTTATGACTTTAAGGAGGTTGTTGTTTGACATGGGCTTTTATTATGAAAAAAATGGAAATAAATCCGTTTTAATGGATAAAACTGTCAAAAGCAATTGCTCTTTTGAGACAAAATCCGACAAAGCCAAGGATAATGCTTCAGATAATAAGCCTGTAGTCGCCAACGACACTGGCACGGCTGGTGAAACAAACTTAGTGTGTCAAAGTAGTGAAGGTCACAACAGCATTGCAAATAATAAACTTCAGAATCAGACATATTATCAACCGATAATCAGTCATAGCCAAAAACCGACATTCCATTCTCATTCAGAAAGCACTCATTCATCGCATTTTCATAGTGTTCCAATGATGTTTAGCCATAGAATACATCCATATGCAATCCATCCCCCAATATCATCTAATGCAGATATTCATTGTAAATCAGAAGGCCCGCTATTTTATCAACATCCTCCACATAATGCAGGGATGCAGTAGATATGTGGGTAGGTATATTAAATAATAAGAATATTTAGCGAACCTGATAAATCAGATCACACACTGTTTGAAATGTATGTAATAGGTTTTATTGTTAATTTATAACCCTGCATGAAAACAAAAGTCAACTATAATATAGTAATACTTTTATTTATAAACTAGCTTTAGATGGACTTATCACTATTTTAATTGATTGTCCGGAATGATATACTTTATAATAAATACCTAACGAAATACTTGGCACTTCACAGTGAGGAAAAAAAATAGTACACTGCAGAATTATATTACATATTTACACACATGGTTAGAAAAAAATTTACTTAAAGGGAAAACAATTTCTGGTACCTTTTTGTAGCTAACTTTTATGAATGAAGGCATATACATTGTTGCGCTGAACAATATTTTTAAAGTGGTGTCTCTACTATATTTTCTTTCAGCAAAGTGTTTTGAAGGCTGTTGTTCACGTCAACGTTTTCATAAAAGTGTTCCTCTATGTATTCTTCTAAAAGGAAAGTTATCAATTTAAGCTTCTGGTTTCTCAATTAACAAGTACTTACCGTCACATGCGGGATGCTCTATTATGCTTTTAATAAGGCTGTAAATGTACATGTATTGTTTCTACAATAAGAGTGAAAATGGCATTCCTTAATTGCTCTTATAATAAAACGATTCATACTCACCTCAGTTTGAACCATATTTATTCTCTGCTTTCTTAATTCTAATACTGTATTAAAGACGTTAATGTTTTTTCCAGCTTTAATGGTGCGAAGTAGGATGTCCATAGCTATCAGAGTACCAGTTCTGCCCACTCCAGCGCTGTGAGTATTTCAAATTTGTTAAGTAGTCAACGACTTCTTCTGTTACCATAACATTTATATAATCGAAATGTTGAGAAATAAAAACAAAATGGCGGCGTTCTGAAGTTTAAAAGTATGATGCGGAAACATTCCTTTGTTCAGAATGTTATCCTTTTTTAAATTAAAATTTCAAAAAAATTTAAACTAAAAAAATTTTCAAAGTTGAATTTTATTTTTTTTAATTTACCTGGAGTAAATAGAAATTGCAAAATTAAGTGCTTACAACAAAACAAAAATAGATTTTTAAACCACAAATGATATATTTTAAACTTATTTTGAAAAATACAGGGTGATTTAAAAAAGGTACATATGAGAGATATGTTATGTTATGGAACATATGCCCAACCCTGATGGTTTTTGGAAAAAAATATAAAAACGCATTTTGCTTATAAAACAAAGGAGATAGGTGTAGGGAACCTTGATATGGTTTTAAAGGGCAATTAAATTCTGCGTCAAAAAAGGTCATTAAATACGGGATGTTTCATTGAACTGTAAGAAATTATTTAATTAAATGTGTACCCCAACTACACCACTCTGTATAATTCTCAAAATTTTTCAAGAACGGTCCGGTTTACGTATAGAAAATGTAATAGTAACTGGGTACCTATATTTGCCTATTGTAACTAAAGATATAAAAAAAATATATTACCTTTTTTTTTGACCCACATAATGATCTGCTAAAAAGTTTTCCTAAACTCTTTTCATTTTTCTTACAAAAACCTATATTATCTTGTCTATTGCACAGTCTATTTCAAATCTTAATATCAAATAATTGTTCTTCTATTTTTATCGATCGTAATGAAATTTTGAAATTTGAACTTTTCAGAGAGTATCCGTTTTCCCAAAAAAAAAAAAAAAAATTAAAAATACCGGAAAACCTTTTTTTCGCGACTATTTTCGATTGGGGATATTGAGAGTTTCAAAATATCCGTTTTAATACTATTCATTGATCGAATAAGTACTAAAATAAATATTTGCACGCAATATGCAAATAAAAAATGTGTTTCCGCACCAATCTTTTGATTTTCATGTAACTCATTCACTGATTTATCTACCGAAATTGTTATCGCAAAACTGCAATTTATCACGAAATTCTTTTAACTAATTAGGGACGTTCTAAAAGTGTTTCTCACTCCACAAAAAAAGTGTTTTTCTAAGTGCTTCGATCAGAAAGCATGTCACTTGTACATATCGTTAAAGTTTTATGGTATCTTACATTCTTATTAAAGAGGAAATCTTATTTAATAGTCACTAAATAATTGAAATAACACTTTGGTTTAAAAACTCAAATTCGATTCAATACTTTAATATATGTTGTATCACAAAAAAGGTATATAAATATAAAAAGACAAATTTTCGGTGATCCTCTATATGACAAAATCATTGTAACCATTAAGTGACCTTCTAGAATATTGGACGTTTCCAAAATAATTTATGAATCTGTTTCAATAGATATGTGTGTAGCAAAGGTTACTTGGAGGAACACTTTTAGCACTAGTTTAGCAAGTAAATAGTTATTAATTAATTAGTAATTAAAATACCATAAGACTGAATAAGCAAAATATTTTCTTTCTTCATAATTGTCCTAAAAAGTGCTGAACAGTACCCGAATGTGATGCTATCTCGTGCCATTTTAAACCTAACAGTATTATTTATGTATTTTGTAATTTTAGCGGTAATACTTTTTCAAATAAATATTTAAACCACAGCCCTACCTGCAATGAACTATAGCCATTCCGCCCGTGTATTTCCACCTTTCTTGAAACTGATGGCAAAACAGCAGCATGTTTTCAGTGTCTGACGGCACCCCGAAGTCGGGCCACTCCAAGAACTGCATATGCGTCACAGATAATTGCTTCAAGTCCTATAAAGGAATGTTACTTAACCAATTACATTTGCGTTAACATAACAAACCAGAAGCCGTCGATAGATTTGATGGCGAATCATAAACTCTCAGGAAAAGTTAAATTCGCTAGCTTGGCAACACCGTATTCCGCTTGAACTATCCCAGAACATCAAAAAAAAAAACTAATTGCAAACAAAATGTGCAGGATGTTCCTTAATAGTGTGTGGAGAGGATAATTTTAATAAGTTTTCTTAATATATATACTTGCACGAAGAAAGAACAATTGATAAATGCGTTTCACCTTGGGAATGTTTTGGAATAAACCAATAAATCTGGCATCACTGTACTAGTGGACCAGTGCAACTGAACATTCTACATTAGCATTTGTTTTTGACGAGACTGCCTTTCAACTGTCGAAAAAATGAAACCAAAACTTGCAACGTTGTCTGTGGGGTACGATGTCGAGAGATGAGATCACGAGATTCGATATTCCATATATATATATATTTATAATTTACAAATATTGTTCGGTCAGCAAACGTAATTTTTTACAGAAAATGTTAAATTTAGGTATTATGAAATATGTCTAGACTTTTCTGGCGAATCCGGAAATAAGAAAGTTGCCATCTTGAAAATATTTTAGCCGGATTGCCCACAATCCCAAATTTTAAAATTTTCGCTAATTATAATTTTAATAAGAAATCGGCGGGACACCATGTATATACCCTCCAATCTATAGTAAACTAAACATCTCCCAAACATTACTAAAGTCGAAAGGTAAAACAATAATTTTTCTCACTAGTAGCCACAAATCTTCTGGATTCTTCCTGCGTCGGTCATAAATCAAAGTTTATTTGTTAGTCTTAAGATGCGTTCTTGTTCTTTGAGCTTAGTTGATATTTTTATTCCTGTCTCTCCAATATATTCTTTGCCGCATTTACATGGAATACTGTAAGCTCCTTGTATCTCAAACGGAAGGTCTCGAGAGATTTTTAAACAAGTGGTAACTGACTTTGACATTATATTTCTTAAGAACTTTTGATATGTGGTCAGTGATGTTTTGAATTTAAGGAAGGTTGCTTTCGGACTCATTGTCTTTGGAAGGTTACGTTGAACTGTATTTTGTGATAAATATCTTAATAATATCTCTAATGTGGTAATTATTAGAGAGAAGAGTTTACAGCATTCCATGCATATGTGACGGTTTTTGGATTTGGATTTTTGGACAATGGATAAATATGGTTTTGAACTTTATATTACTTAACAACTTTTGATATGTGGTCAGTAATGTTTTGAATATAAGAAAGGTCAACAGCGGTTAATAGATATCTATAAGCAACAGAAGATTTGTAAATAGTATTAGAGTACCATGTGGAAGCTTCTTTAAAAAATTAATGTTTCATAACAGAAAAAAATCTATTCAGAAGAATTATGAAGAACAACGCACAAGGAAAATAAAGGATAGCCTGAAATGAAATCAAAATCTGGCAACTTTGTCTATGGGATCTGCACTTCAGAGGTGAAGGATTAGGATATTCTCTAGTGCTATGTAATTTTTTGATAATAATTTAAAGATCTAGTTAGAAGAATTAAGAAGAAATTTTGATTGAATGATTATTAGAGAGTGAAGGAAGAATACGTTTTCTAATACTTCGGCAGATGTAACGGCGTCCAAAATGGCCCCCTGTAGTTAAATATTTTTTTTCTGTCATGCGACGACTGACCTTTTTCACCTGAAGTCCTCGAACACAATAAATTCCAAAGTGGAGCTCTGTGCAGCACCTCACTTCTATGTCGTCTCCGATTTGCATGTGCTCGTGGTTATTGGGAAAGTATTTGTAGCATTTTTCCTAAAAATATGGTCGTAAGTGCGTGGTGAGAAGCTCTCGCCTCGCTTACTTTGTTGTTTTCGATAAACCTAGACACCATGACGATCATCGAGATGTTTTCCTGCAGCACCATTTTCCAGAAATCTCGACACGTCGATGGCAAGGGGCCTTGGGTCGCGATATACTCGGCCTCCCCCGAAAAACCCTAAAAACGATACAAATTAAACGTGTACGGGGTGTCAGAAATAAGGTTACTTACGACCTTAAGTAAGTCAAAAACTACAATTGGTATTGCATTATTGGATTCCCCGAGAAATAGGTTACTTACAGGATTTTTTAAAATTGAATTAAAATACTTAATAATGGTGCCTAATTGTAAAACTGCAATAATTTATGCTTCGGGAAAAACTATTAAATTACCTTTTCAAGAAAAACGACTAAAAACCATTCAACAAGAACCCCGGAAACGTTTCATTAAAAAGCCACGTTTACATTTGCGAAGAAAAAAATGTATTTAATAATTATTAATTATTAATAATTTATAATCCTGCTTACATCAGATCATCTTTCATATCTCTTCTTATACTTTAAAACACCATGCCCCCTCATATCATGTGCAATTCTCTGGAAAGCTGTCTTATTGGGAATTTGTGGATGTTTTTGTTGTTTTCAAGACATACAACAAATAAATTATTAGGAGGCCCTTATAAGACACACTGTTAATTATTTTAGGGTCTGCAAACGACATTTTTGATATAAAATTCGAGATTTGTCGACTCAGATATACATGAACTATAGCTAAAACTCCTACAGGAATAAAAAAAAAAGAAATGCTTAACGTTTTTTTCATTCATTTTTCTTTGCCAGTTTCTTAATTAAAAGGGTAGGAAACCTTATTTTGGACACACATAGAATGTTTCATTAACATGACATAGCTCAAATGATAATCATTATCCGAAATATGCCTTATCCGAATGTTGAAAATAATTAATTTTATTTCTTAAGACCAACATTTAAATAACACATGCCGGGTGTTATTTTCCTGACATTTAATCTAATTAGAAATAAGATGTAGTAAGTAATAAATGGTTACTAATTCTACACGAAATCAGAGTTCACGAAAATTGAGTTCTTTTTCAATGGTTGATGGCTAAATAATAACAAGATTAAAGAATAATATAAAAGAAATTCCAATAACTGCTTTTACGTTATTTGTAAGTTCAGTCTAAGGTATTTTACATTTTAACAAAGAGTAGTTGAACTTTATTGGTGAGATGCTCTATTTTAAGTTTTAAAGTTATAGATATAAGCCATTACATAAGGTCATAAAAAATATCGTCTCTGCTTTCTTTTTTATTCGGCATTAATTGTAATTTTTTTCTATCGAGAGACAATTAAGAATTACCGAAATTCTTAACTTATTATATTAAAAAAATAACTAAATATAAGAAAAAACAAATATTGTATTTATGTCCGTTTTGAAAATTCATGGAATTTCTAAAATTTATATTTATTAATTTAACACTGGCACTTGCTTCTTCACTACCCTTTCTTTTTATTAAGAAAAGATTTTGAAATATTGTTTCATATGTAATGTTACTTTACCGCAGTTTAATTTTCTAATGTATCTTTCTTAAATATCGTAATTCTGTGTAATAACGTACACTTGTAAAACACTGCACCATAAACACTCCCAGTATATGTTAAAGAATAAACAAAAAAATTGAATTAACTTTTCCAATCTCCTGAGAATTGGTTTTTGTTAGTTGCCGCGCCATCTATCTTCTAAAAGTCTAATAAGAAAAGTTACAACGAGCCCTAAAATACCGACATCTAGACTGCATCGCAGAAAGCTTACGCGAGTACATAGATCAACACCGGTCGATAAAAACTATATGGATGTCAACGTTTTTTGATTGCAAATAGACGTGTTTTGTTTGTGGATGTTTTGAATGCGTGTGTTACTCCATACAACGAAATAATGAAACTGTGAATCCTTTTTTGGAAATGTGAATTCCTCACTGGCTAGCGGATTTCGTTAAAAGTAAGAACTTTTTGCGGTGCTGAAAGAAGAATTGAATGCACTGGTAAGTCACTTTCTTTTGTTATTTGGATTGATCGAACTATTGACGAGTTAATGGTCTATAAATTTGTTGTTTGAATTTATGTTAGCAATGTTTGTTCCAAAAAGACAACATTGGCGTTTGCATCGGTGTTTTTATGAAAACTAAAAATTGCACGAAAGAAATGCTATTAAATAACAAAATTAAAAACTGCGGACGAAACGGAACCCTCTATCATGAACGCGTTTTTCGAATTAGATGCTGCACCGGCAACAGAAAAAATGTTTTTTCAAACATTAAAAACATATATAAATGTCCTGTTAACGCCAATATTAAAAAATATATTTTTTGGGCTTATGATATTAAAAATTAATCCAGAACCTTTTGTAGCGTTAGTTGTAACGAGTATTTTGTCATTTCAATAACACCCAGCATATTTGTACCTCCAGTTGACATTTATGCCATGTTAATGAAACAACACCCTGTTGAGAGCTTTTACCTTGATATACGAAGCGTTGATATAGTCCGTGCACATCTCATCATCTTCATCTATATTTAGCCTCACTCTGGTATGGTCATCTGAAAGAAATACTTTACACTATGTCTGTTGCCGGAAATGATTTGCGAATATTTAACGGTAGTGATTCAATAAAATATTAGAATTTTGCTTGATAAACTTTTATAAACAACTTAAAACGAAATTTCGTTTTTTTTGTTTGCGCTTTAAATGCGAACTAGAGACAAATCTCGAGAAATTTTACTGATTTGACTCGTTAGGATAATTAGGAATCGAGAAAGGCGAGAAAACTTGAAGTAAGGCGAACGGAAACGACTAAAGACAGAAAACGCTTTCCAGCTTTCAGTCATCGAATGTCAACAAGCCGCCATTGAAGAATAAAGTTTAGTTAGTTAGAATAGTTCTTTTGTCTATAGATAATATTTGGTTTCGTTTGGTGTAGTCACAGAATATTGAAAATATATGTAAACACTTAGGTATCTCATGCACACATTAAACTGATTGCTTTTTCTAAAAGGTTGGACGGGGTCAGTGTCACTAATCACAAATGGGTAAGTTTCTACAAAAGCGTATTTTAAAACCAATGGTTAAAAAATACTTCTGTTATAAAAGTAACGAAATTTTGTAAACATCACAGAGTATAAAATATAAAGCAGTTGTACAGAAATTCATTATTACAATATCGAGCAAAATAACTTCAGAAATCACCCATACATTCACTAGAAATTGGAAGAATGAAAAACTTCCTATATCTATATGCACAAACCTGGAGGCAAGATGGTAAGTTTTTCATAATATTTGCTTGTTACTTTTGAACTTTCGGCCAGCTCATTCTAGATGTATAGTCTGTACGATTTTTGATGGCATGGTCGGCAATAAAATGTCAGATAGAATTTCATCTTGATTCCACTTATACTTTAATAGATGGTGTTCCGCTTTAAATGTCGATCTGATCAATACAAGACAGCCGTCACTATTTAAATATAATTCATGTTAATTTGTTAAACAAACTGTTGCAATAAAAATTAAAACAATACCAAAAAAATCGAAAAACTAAAAAAAAATACTTCAACGTATAAAATATAATTTATAAAAAATAAGCAAGATTTAACTTTTATTTACGATAAAACATCTTCATCACCAGAGTCAAAATTGGAACTGTTACTACAAAAAAATGATCTTTTTCCCAGTATTCTTTTACTATATTTTCTGTATGTGTTATACAACTGATCCAATTTTCTTTGGTAACTGTATGAAGAGCTGCCCTCCAAACAGATACCGCTGCAGTATCATCTTTCCTTGCCTCACATTTTAGACCATTTTCTGAATACTTAATCTGCTTACTGCGCACCCAATTGATAATTTTTTTCCTTTAGTACACTTTATCTAAGTTTAGAATGATATCTTGCATTTTCCATAATAATTAAAGACGGGCTTTCGAGTTTCGGCAGAAGTTTTTCAAAAATGCGACTTTATTTTGTAATGCAAACGACTAATTATCCGGTAATTGGTGCTATCTCTGTCGAATGTACGACACCAAGTCCTAATAGACAAAGGTAGAATACACACACACACACACACACAACATTTGATAATACTTTTTACAAAACTTCTGGATTCCTCCTGCGTCGGTTTTTGCTGAGTCGAACTTGACGTTTCGCCAATCATCCTGTTGGCTTCTTCAGAGCATGACTCAAAATTAGTTCACATTTTACTCTGTACCTGCTTATATATTGTTTGAGGGGGGCGGAGCTAAATGAGGGGCATAAACACCGTCTCGGATGACTGATTCCGATATTCGCGACCTGAGCCGCGGTTAAGATTGTCAGGTCGTTTGTAGATTTCTATAGATTCGGATTTTTCGTTGGTAGAAGAATTGTTTACGTGCAAGAATTTTAGTTTTGTCGAATAAAATTTTATGTCCGGTTTCGTGATTGTGTTCGGCAACAGCTGATGTTAGGTCTGATTTTCTATTGATAAGAATATCTAAGAATGGAAGGTTATTATTAGTTTCCAACTCAATGGTAAAACATAGAGTTTAAACGTCTAAGAAAATCCACTAGGGTTTCTTGACCATGAGGCCAAATAACAAAAGTTTCATTTACGTAGCGTTTCCATAATTTTGGTTTTAGATGAAAGGTGTCCAGAGCTTTCTTCTCAAAGGCTTCCATAAATATATTCCCGATGATAGTGGAAAACCCATAGGTGTTCCCGACGTTTGTTCAAAAATTTGACCGTTATAAGAAAAATATGTTTCAGACAAGCATTTTTCAGTTAAGGTGGGAAGGTTTGGTTTCAGATTTTCGGACTTTAATATATCTGAAATGCTGTTGAGAGTTTCAGGAATAGGAACTTTAGTAAAGAGATATTCTACGTTGAAACTAACTAGAATATCTTGTATAATGCTTTTTAATTATTCAATGAAGTGAAAGGAATTAAGTATGAAACTGTCAGTTTTTCCTGTAAGGGATTGTAATAAGGAAGCTAGATATTTTGCTAAAGAATATGTTGGATAAACAATGGTGCTGGCAGTAGATCGAAAAGATAATCTTGGTTTGTGGATCTTTGGGAGTCCGTAGAGACGAGGAATTTTTGAGTCATGGGGTGACAGATTTTTTCACGGAGTCTGATAGAGAAGAAGCCTTAATAACATATTTAAAGTTGCGAGGTAGGATCTTTTTTAAGTTGACGATATTATCCGTCTCTAAGAATATCTTGAATCTTTTCCTGATATTTATTTGTATCCATGACCACCGTAGCATTATCTTTATCTGCTTTTAGTATTACGATGTCTGGAAAATGGTCAAGAAACCCTAGTAGGTTTTCTTAGACATTTAAACTCCATACACCCTAACGTACGTTTTACCATTGAAATAGAAACTAATAACAACCTTCATAACCTTCCATTCTTAGATATTCTTATCAATATAAAATCAGACCTAACATTAGATAATTGTGTTTACAGAAAACCTACGCACATAGACCGGTGCTTTAATACATTGTCACATCACCATCCAGTCCAAAAATCGCCGGTTATCAACTCTCTTGTTTACAGAGCCGTAACAGTATTTCACCCCGAGTCACTGAACCCAGAATTAAAACACCTTACCTCTGCTCTTCTCTCTAATAATTTCCACATTAAAGATATAAAGTGGTAGATTAAATAGTCTGTTGATAAAAGCATAAAAGGCAGACATTATGTGTGTGTAAGGGTGATTTGAGTTATTATGTAATGGAAAAATCTAATGCGATTCTGTATCGAGTTAATATGGTTCAAAAAGGAATCGTACGTATCTATACCACCAGAGAAATCCTTTACTCAGAAGATGTTTGTGTATGATATTTTCTAAATTTTAATTGTGTAGTGCACTAAGTGGGTTTCCCATAATTAATCCTTCTTTAGCAATATAACATTGACCATTAAATTCAAAATAATTTAGGTCTAAACAAACTATTAAACTATGTAGCAAGTCTTGTTTTATGATTAACTTGTCTCTGCGTGAGAATATTGTCTATTATGTTTATTACGTCACTTTGCGGAAAGCTAGGAAATAAGTTTTGAACATCAAATGAAACTAGAATTGCCTTAGGAGGAATTTTGTATTTGATACAGGCACGGTGTTTCCGAAACAGCTGTCATAAAGCATTAAAAACTGTGAAAATCTGATCATTTTTTGTTTTAATTTAATTTGTGTTAAATGGATTTTCATCAAGTAAAAGCCACCTCATGGCAATGACATTTTAATGCTGACTGACAGTAGTGACAATCTCCAAATATTATTGAACCAACTAACAGAGAAGAACAGACAATTGGTTAATGGCACAGCTTTAATAAACTGACGTATATAGAAGATTAAAGGTTGCAATGGCGATGATAAGTAATGAAACAGTAATTTTAAATGTGTATGTGCGTTGTATGCAGTGGGTATAAAAGATAAGAACAGTGCCATATTTTTATAACCGGATAACGAATTGGGAATAGTTAAGACTGACGATAAGGCAATAAAAAAACGCGAAAAAAAGAATACTTTGCCCACTTAATGAGACGCACTGATAAATACGAACTTCTTGCAAGGAAAACTTGCCAATGAATTTGGTTCTGGTAGAAGAACTTTTTTGCTCAAGAGCTTGCCATAATGGTATTGCAGCAATTAATAGCAATGCACTGCAAGAAGAAGATTAAGGCCGATAATTTTCAGTTTCTATCAATTACGACTGCGTATTTGAGGCTATAATAGAAAATATTGATTTATTGATTTTTGAAAAAAAAAACTGAATTTTTTATCACTTCTCGATTCCTAATTTTGGTGATTGCATTCTTTTGAATATTTTAGTTTTTGAAGATCACATCGTTCCCGTCTCTGTGTAATGAAGGTTACTTACACGGTAAAATATTGGTGTATCTGTTCTTCCTTTTATTTTCCGGTTTCCTAGCGAACACAGTTTCCATCGACTCGCAAATAAGTTTACTCTCTTCGCACAGTTCCGTGTACTGACTCTTTAATTCGTCCGGGTTCTCTTCCAACCGTTTGCAATACTCGACAAACTTTTTTATCGGTATTTCTCGTAGCGGTTCTTGCGGTTTCTTTTCGATCAGGTTCCTGAAACAGTCACGTTGCAAACGGATCAGTTTTATGGTCTGTTCATAGATATAAGAAAGTGACCAATTGCTTTTGAATGGGATTATCCAAGGGTGGTCATTAACATACAATGCAACAAGATTATTACGTAAAGTTTCGGAATTTAAATTCAAGTAAAATTGTGGTCCGTTATAGAAAATAATTTTATACCTACCTGTGTTTAATATTCTTTGGTTTAGTATACTACTTAATTTAAGTTTATTAGTAATCATTCTTATTTCGTATCTCAGGAGATGCTCCCACCCAAATGTAGAATACACTATTGAGACTAAGGAAGCTTTAAACAATGTTTATTTAACTCTCATTGAACGTGGTGCCAGCAAGCAAGCATCTTTAGAACAAACGGCCACATGGACGAAAATTCCAACATCAACTGTATGGAAAATTGTGAATAATCCCATTTCAGCGAGGAAAAAAAGAAGCGATGCTGACATTTCCTCGAGTGTAGATGAAAGTGATCAAGATATAACACGACGTAAAATTTATCCGTTATACGAGGAACGAAGCATGCCTACATTAGATATCTTAATTAGGAGGGTTGAAGAAGACGAAACCGGCGTTAAATGTGGCAGAACTACCTTATGGAAGTGTATTCAACGCATGGGAATCGTTTAGAATTCGGAAATGGCGACTGGAATATCTAGAACAAATTAGGATTTACAGAGAACAACAAAGGTCAATTATTTACTTGGATGAACCTGGTTCGACACTTATGATACTCCGGAAAAGGGTGGGTTGACTCAACTGATAAGTGTAAAACAAACGCGCCATCAAAAAGAGGTAAAAGAATAACTGTTTTGCATGCTGGCTCTAAAGATGGTTGGATTCCAAATGGTCTTTCTCTGTCTGCGAAAAATATTAAAGATTCTTCTCTGGATTACCATGAAGACACCACCGCTTATATATTGGAAAGTTGGTTGAAAAACATACTAGCTCCAAACATTCGTCCTAATATCGTCATTGTAATGGACAATGCAAGTTATCACAGTAGACAGTTGACTAAAACCCCTTCCTCATGTGACACAAAAGCAACAATTAGTTTAAGGTTATTAGTAATCATTCTTATTTCGTATGTATACAGCGTGTGTTGAATCGTGTGCGAATTATGCAAAATATGTTCGAGTCTAATGTATCTCAGGAGATGCCCCCACCCAAATGTAGAAAACACTATTCTATTGAGATTAAGGAAGTTATAAACAAAGTTTATTTGACTCTCATTGAACGTGGTGCCAGCAAGCAAGTATCTTTAGTAGAAACGGCCACATTGACGAAAATTCCAACATCAACTGTATGAAAAATTGTGAATAATCCCATTTCAGCGAGGAAAAAAAGAAGCGATGCTGACATTTTCTCGAGTGTAGATGAAAGTGATCAAGATATAATACGGCGTAAAAAGAGGTAAAAGAATAACTATTTTGCATGCTGGCTCTAAAGATGGTTGGATTCCAAATGGACTTTCTCTGTCTGCCGAAAATATTAAAGATTCTTCTCTGGATTACCATGAAGACACCACCGCTGATTTTTTTGAAAGTTGGTTTAAAAACAAACTAGTTCCAAACATTCCTCCTAATAGCGTAATTGTAATGGACAATGCACACAGTACACAGTTGAATAAAACCCCTTCCTCATGTGACACAAAAGCAACAATCCAAAACTACATGTATAATAACGACATGTATTTTCACGAAGATTATACCAAAAAGCAATTAATTGAGGTTCTACAAAGCTTGAACCTACAAAAGGAATACGTCTGTGATAATTGTGCAAAAAATCTAGGGCACATATTTCATTCTACAGCTTGCCCGGATCTTTCCTTAATTCGTATCAGTTAGTCACTTTCTTGTATCTATGAACAGACTTTACCTACTTGATAATTCCCTTTCTCCATAAGATGAACAACGTCAAACCTAACAACGCGAACCCCAAAAGTCCGAATATTATTTTCAGGATCAGCTGTACCGAAGAGGTGGCTTCTGAAAATCCGTTCGGTTTAATTTGTTCGTTGAGAGTGTTTTTTTTTTCAGTTTCGACTTACCGGTTTCTAAAGAAACGGGCCAATTGTTTCTGTAAAAGTCTGCCGTAAATACCCTTACGATTATATAGTATCGTGTGCCGGAAGTCAATGGTCTGTTACAGAATTGCTCGCCAGTGCATTGATCGTCGCTGCCAAGAACAAATTGAACAGTGTCATTCTCTAAAATTAAATACGTGATATATTTTATGATTTGCGTCTCCCAATTTTTCTCTATTCTTCTCCAAGAAAAAATATTTTTTAAATAAAATTTGCGGTTATGTCAACCTGCACCCGACGCTACATACTATCTACAATTAATGTCTTTAATTGAATTATAAACAATATAACAATAACAAGTTAACATTTTGACAAAAAGGCGAGGTACTAAAGATTAGTATACTGTTCTAACTGATCATTTTAGAAGTTGTGACTTCAAACGATTAATTGGGTTTAAATGACAAAGATATCGACATTGTAAATAAATATAATATTTTAAAAAAGCTACGTCAGAAAAAAAATGCCGATGCAAAGAAATTATGCAATAATCATTTTATGTTAAGTTCGACCAGCATGTCGCAGGCATCTTGGCAAATTATAAAAAAAATATGAAATATGAATTTAGCTGCATCTGCTTTTAATAATTTCGACTAATTTCAGGATTTGATTTAAATTTTAACGTAAATTTAGGAAACGGGATTAGTAGAACATTGTTTTTGAGACCGTATTCGAATGATGAAACCAAGGAAATAATTTTATCTGTTTCTAAGAAGAATTCAGCAGGTTTTGATGAAATACCTTGCTCCCTTATGTTGTCCGTTATTGATTTACTTGTCGATCCATTAACCTATCTTATTCATGATTCCTTCTCAGGTGGTACAGTTCCAGCTATATTAAAAAAAAAACCGTAGTACCACCGATATACAAAAAGGGTAATTTACACGAAATCTCTAACTATAGGGGAATAGTATTGTTGTTAATATTGTCAAAAATTTTGGAGAAGGCTTTCTATAAAAGGCTGTTTGAATTTTTAGAGAAAGTAAACTTTTTGAGTAATAACCAGTTGGGGATTCGTAGGGGAGTATCAACACATGATGCAATTGTTGCAGAATAAAAGATGTCCTTGAGAAAAAAATCTGAGTCCACCCCTGCATTTGCCTTAAAAATGAAATCAAAAAATTTTCGTTAATAAAAAAGTCATGGTCAATTTTCAAAAGGGCCGAAAATTGAAAAACGGTTGGTAGTGAAAAGTCGCAGTGACTAATTTTTATTCTCTAAAAATGAAATTCACTCCTTTTTCTATTGTCAGGTGGAATGGTGAATGGGATAGGCAATAGGCAAAACTCACAAATAGGCTTTGCAATTTGCTATGAAACCCTTTGCATACTTATGTTTTCTAACTAAATAGATCATTTAACGAATAGCACATTTTTGTGCTAAGAAGACCTGGTGTGCTCCAGTGGCTAGACAACAATAGATTTACCGTAACCTATCACTAATTGGAACAGCCCATAGTACACCAGCTTTAAAACTTCAATGGGTACCGTATCTCTAATATTTTGGATTAAGTATGAGCAGGAGTTTAATTTGGGCAATATGTTGTCGATGTGATGATTCCATGTAAGTTTGTTGTCAATGTGCAGACCGAGAAACTTAGTAGCCTCCACGTTTTCTATAGAACGTCCCTCTAATTGGAGAGAATGCTAGAATCAACGCGAGTATTTTTTGTGACTATTTCCATAGCTATTGACTTAGATTTATTTTATTGTAGTTCGTTATCGCGATACCATTCATTCACCCTCGTCACCCTTGGTTCTGCGACCCATTTTACATTAGCTCTGCTTTTAGCTGTAACTAAAATGCTTGTGTCATCATACAGTACAAATAATGCATCTGTATTATCCTGAGGAAGATCGTTAATAAACCAATTAAAGACGAGCGATGATAGGCAGGATCATTGCGGGGTACCGCTGTCTACATATTGAGAGAAAGAATATTTTTCAAGGAACATCGGCAGTCTGTCATAACAGGACCCAAAGATTTTTTCCACTTGACATTGAAGAGCTACCTGGCGGTAGTTCTCTATGTTGGTTTTATTGCCGTTATTTTTAAAAATAGGTACGATTTTTGAGTTTTTTAAGGCCTGTGGATACTTGCCCCGGAGGAAGCTTAAATTAACTAAATATGATAGAAAGGAGCTTAATATCTTTAATAGAAATTAACAAAGTGTCCGGTATTTCATCGATTCCAGATGATTTCTTACGGCATACTTTTCCGATTACTCGTTACTTTCGAAAAACGATGAAATCGAATTTTCGAAAGTATCTGCGCTCGTATAAAAATTTTATATCTCGGTAGCGGTAAGTCCTACGGGATTGCTGTTGGTACAGAAATGATCACCGTCGGAAAAAAATTTTTTTTTTGGCTGTTTGTCCGTTCTCCGTTCTCGTCTTTTGGTTTTTCCTTCAAAAACCGTTTACAAGACCGAAAAAATTCTTGAACCAGTAGACGCAGAGGAAACGACTCCATAAACTTTTATTCTTGACAATTTTTCAAAAATGTACAGGGCGCGCCGCAAATTGAAAAAAACTGAAAAATGGGTCCCCCTATTATTGAAAATTGGCAATAATTTGAAATTTGTGTTTTAGATGTCAGTTTCTTTTGCATGACGATATAGCCCATATAGACAGCTTAAACTTTTGTATTTACGGTTTTTAAGTATTGTTCGCGATATTCCGTGCAACATTAAAAAACATAATAAATGCTCCAAATTTGCAGCTACCGACTTCAGACTTGGGAGAGAAGTTGAAGTCTGGACCCGCATTTAGACTCTTTAAATTGAGAACAATAAAATAACGCGAAGTATTTTTTTTTAATTTTTTAATTTTTTTTTTGTGATTATTTTGGCATCCAGAAAAACAGCTTTTCCTCCAAAGTCATTCATTCGATCGGAAATATCGTACCTCCACAATACGTGGGAGACCCGGCGCTATAACTTCTGTTTCACGCATTTTTTCGATTATATACAAGGTCTTTTAGTTATAGACAAAAATCTAAAACACCCTGAAAATTGTTCTTTTAGAGAGTAAATTAGTAACCGTAAATCAAAATTCGTACAAACAATAGGTAATTCGTTCAAACAGTGTTATAGGCGGTATCGAGGGCTACAATTTTTGTATTTACAGTTTTCGTCTATCACACACGCTGTTCGAGATGTTTGAAATAATCCAAATGAAAATGACCAATTCTCGCCCTCAATCTAGACGCGATGACGTCATTTCAAATTACCACTTACTGCATGGTTTCAGAAAACAAGTAGTTTTTTGAAAACCATTTACTCCATTGGAAAAATTTAGATACTAGGAAACTAAGGATATCCAGAGCTATATCCTGTATTTCGAACATTGTTGGAATTATATACAGGGTAGTAGAAATTTCCGCTTTTGTGGTTGAATTATTGGCGATACATGAAAAACTTTTAAAGATGTGATAATTTGATATGAATGGTATTGTAAACTGTGTTGAGGGAGAGTTTGAGGTTTCGTCTATAATACAGGGGACGCAAGATATTTGAAAAAAAATAATTTTAAATTGCAATTTCCAGTACAAATTTTGATATTTACCAAAGTCTGCCGTAACTTTGAAGCTCAACGAGATGTGAAGGATATTTTATACAGGGTGCATGCACAATTAAATTACATCGATTTTGCCAAAGTTCCATAGTGGTCCGCAGGATAGAAGAACAATGCGTCCACACGATACCGCGAAGTTCTTTGCTTTTATAATAAAAAGCTGCTTCCCAGTACTCGTTATAAACTTGCCCCGCCCAGTGACGATTTTTCGAAAGCAATCTTGTTGTAGTAGGGTAGAGAAACATAGAGCTTCAGTGTATTTGGAAATCGGGCGCTCGATTTTGAGGCTGCTTGCTATTATTAGCAAAATCAGCAAAATATTTATTAAAAATTTCCCAGATTTTGTATCCGTCTTGAAGTGTTTCACCACCAACGGTTATTGCCCAACTTTCCCTACTCATGTTATCAGATTTTATTAACCTTAAATTGTGGTGAGTTTTCTTTGCGTGTTTAATTTTTTTGTTGTAATAGGATTTAAGTTCTTTGTATTTTTTATTATATAGATAATTCTTTATTCTTTTATTTATTTGATGCATCTCGTGTACCCCACGACTCAGCTCTCTCAATTCTCTATTGAACCAATTGGTTTTTTTCCTGTACGAGACTTTTCCTTGACATAAATATTTGTTTTTTTGGTTTTTCGGAAAAAGTGTTAAAATTTTTATCTATGTCGTCGGGTTGAATATAGTAGAGCAGATTATTCCAATCTGCGTTGGATACTAAGTCTATAAAAGAATTTACATTATTTTCGCTAAACTTTCTGAAAAGGCGTTCTTTGCAATTATTATGACAGAACTCGTCAAAAATGAAGGCCTGAAACGTGTGGTCAGAGACACATGTGCCTACAACCAAGCTTTTTAGTCCGGTAAAGTCGACGAAAATTATACTAGTGGGCTCTACCATAGAAGCAACTAAATTATACTCGAGGAATATATTTTTTAGTATTTTAGTTTGTTTGTTGTTTTCAAGCTAGTTGACGAATTTTTGAAAAAAATAAACTTTCTCGGCCCAAGATACAGACTCCTCCTCCCATGCAACTAGTTCTCGAGAAATAACTAAGAATCTTATACTCTAAAAGTTTAAGTAAATTAATATCTGAGGATTCATTATGCTCTGAGATACACAGCACATTGACGTCGTGGTTATTTAGTTGGTTAGAATCATTAATTTTTTTTAGCTAGGAAGAATAGGGAAAAAGCAAGACGACAGCATCAACTTTAACTTGTAATAAAATGTGCTACTTACGACACAGCGACGCTTTTTTAAATTAAATAATTACCTGACCACGGAGTCCAGAATGGTTTCGACGCTTGATAATAGATGGCGGCGTTGCCTCTTGGTTCGGGCCACACTACGCTATCCCAGTTACCAAATGCGCCACCGGTCACATTTTCATTGGATACGATTATCGCTAAATATTTCACATCGCCTCTGGTGTCGTCGAAATCTGACTTTTTCAGTACCAGATTTACTTGCGTTTCGCCGGTTTGTACCTCCGATAAAACCACAGTGCTGTCAATTTTCGGAACTGAAAAGATCCCTCGGCTAGGTACTAAATATGGTACTAGATCCGTTAAATCAAAGTTTCGACGTAACTGGTTAATTCGTGAACCATCTATGAGCTCTTTGTTAAATTCCTAAGGGATAATGTGAAATGAACATAAATGGCTCTGAGAAGAATTATATACGAGGTGTGTTCAAAAAGTAAGGTGACTACTGCGACATATGTTGATAGTTTGCATGTTTACATTTTTTTGCCAGACAGAAGCGTTAGACGTTTTGCTGTAAAAAAAACGGAACCATGAATTTGCATAAAATTTTGTGTAAAAAATGGAATATACCACTGCAAAACACTTGAAATGTTGAAAACTTTGACCAAAAAAAAAATGTTTATCAGCGGTATAAGTTGTTCCAAGATGGCCGAGAAGACGCCGATGGCGAACCTCGTTCTGGACGCTCCAGCAACAACGAATGAATGCGTTGAAGAAGTGAATCAAATGGCTATTGGCTCTTGCCATGCAATTTTTTTCAGAAGTTTTGGGCATGAAACGTGTAGCAGCAATATTTTTTCCGAAACTGCTCAACTTTAAACAAAAGGAGGATGGTTTAAGAGCTGTTAAACGACATCAATGATGATCCTGATATACTCAAAAAGGTGATACGTCGAAACCAAAGCCCAGCCGTTTCAATGGAGGAACCCAGAAGCGCCAAGATCGAAAAAAATACGTCAAGTCGATGAAATATCAATGTAGCACATCAAGAGTTCTTACCACAAGGTCGTACGATCAAGTTAGTTGAAATTATGCGCCGTTTGCGAGAAACAATACCAAGAAAACAATTCTTGTATTTTGCATCACGATAATGCACCTGTTCACTCATTGTTGTGTCCTATCTTTTTGGCCAAAAACAAAACCACAATCATGCCTCGGCCAACATGTTCGCCGGATATGGCCCCCTGCGACTTTTTCCAAAACTCAAGGAAGCCATGAAAGGAAGGAACAATTAACGAAAAAAGCTGGAAGAATTCAAGGCTATACCAAAAGTGTTTCGAGGATTGAAAAAAACATTGGCACAAGTATATCATATCTGGGTGGATTACTTTGAAGAGGACAACATTAATTTTAATAAATAAATAAATAATTTTTGATAAAACTTAAAAGTCACCTTACTTTTTGAACACACGTCGTATATCTATACTCTATATATATCAACGTTCCCGGTTTTGGTTTTTTAAATTTTTCATTGTATTTCGAAAATCGTGACTACATGGACGATACTGACACCAAGACGAGGCGATTCAAAATCGCCAAAAGGTCATTGAATTTTCCAATTTTTTTGTGTTCATAATTAAATATGTATTTGAGCCCTTGATTATGAAAGTGGTATAAGTCATATATTTCTTGTTTCGATATATTAAGAGGTTTGCATTTTAAAGGATTAAAACATATTTTGTTGTTATGTAGATGGTATTAAATCTGCGGCTGTCAAATTGAGGAATGGGAGCACAAACTGATATTTCTGACAGTGAAAAACCAGATTGTGTTAAATCTGGAGCTGTAAAATGAGAAATAGGTAACCCTGGAGCTTCGACTGATATTTATGATAGTGAAAACCAGATGGTATTAAATCTGGAGTCGTCAAATTAGGCATACGTAAATCTAGAGCACAAACTGATATTTCTGACAGTGAAAAACCAGATTGTGTTAAATATTTAGATGTAAAATCAGATATAGGTAACCTTGGAGCTCCAAGTGATATTTATGCCAGTGATAACCGGATGGTATTAAATCTAGATGTGATTTTGAAAAATTGGAAAGACATAATTTTCAAAATTAACCATCAAAATTTGTATTAGAAATTAACATCATATCTTTACGTTTTTCTTCTGTTATTGGTCTAATGGAAGCAAATAAATATTTTAGTATATCGTTGGCCTTTCACTTTTATGTGAAAGGTCTAATACTTTGAATTTGGAATTGTTATCCAAAAAAGTTTTATAAGAAATCTTTCTGAGCCCTTCGTTCTACCAAAAATGGGTTTTTCTCTTTTTAGATAATTCAATTTAATTATAATAATGCTCAGGGATGTATAAATAATTTTTTAATTCTAGTGTCTATCAAACCAAAATCGTGATCCTTTGGCAAAAAAGGATGGCGGGATACCATATATAGAAGAAAAACGATGTTTTTAATTTTTTCTCCTTATTTTTCAACATAATCTCCATCGATACTGATGCCTTTCCCATAACGCACATTCGTTAAGCTCCTCAAAATTCAGTAACAGTTACAGCTTCGATAACTTTTTCGTTACTCTTAAATCTTTTACTTTCTTTTAAGGTTAGAAAACAGGTAATAGTCGCTGGGGGTTAAGTCTGGAGAGTAGGAAGGTTGCGGCATCAATTCGTGGATTTTAGGCATGACAACAATCGACAAATGCGCTGGTGCGTTGTTGTGATGAAACAAAATTTTTTTCTTCACCAAATGAGTTCGTTTAATTTGCATCTCATTCTTGAAATGTTGCCATAATTCTGCGTAGTATTGACTAGTGGTAGTCTTATCCTTGTCTGCTGAAAATTGTTTTAGCCTTCTTTAAAGTTGGTTCCCCTTTTGTATTCCGCTGTTTTGACTGTTCCATATTGTCAGGAGTGAATTGATGGACCAAGGTCTCATCAACGGTTATGAATCGACCCATTTGCATTACATCCATAAAGCGCCAAATTGTCAGTAGATATGTTTTCCATGTTCAAACATCCTACAGATCTTAGCTATCTCATGCACTTTCAACCTGCGGTCTTCCAATACTATTTCATTGATTTTCTCGATCATTTTTGAAGTTGTGACCTGAGCGAGGCTGGTCGAAGGTGCTCACACGCCCCATTGTAAATTCAGAAACCCACTGCTTGATAGTGAAAATCCGTAACATTCACTCGGGTTGTGTTTTGCTTTTTGTATGTCATCTTTTAAACTTTTTCTAGTCTAGTCGGCACTGTTAAGATGTGAAAAATGAGATACTGAAACAGCTCATACATTTTCTGGAATATCTAAGTGAATATGAAGTGAAGTGTGATGGGATATCGTGTGATCTAGCGTGATCACATGTTCTGGTACAACTTTAATTTTATCTTTATCTGTGTTTCTAGATGAACCAGCCTTGTTGCCGCCGTTCCAGGTGTTTTAGCATTTAAGACACAAAAGAAAATTTTTGCAAACAGAACTTCGAAATTCCGTTTATTTAGATGAAACTACCCAAAACTACGTTTTCTCGTATATCCTCCGACCATCTTTGTTTTCGAACCAATCCATACAGAAACAAATTCCGTTTTTCGAAATTTGATAATTTTCAAAAAGAATCAAAATTAACTTTTCTGTTTTCAAATCGGAACTCATTTATACAGTTATTGGAACAAAGGCAATTATTTAGTTTCAAAAACTTTGCTATTTACACGCTTAGACTTTTTTGTTTTATATTCTTCTCCGCTATTTCTCTTAATTTTTTCTGATATTTTGTGCATAGTTGTCCTCTTTCTTGATTTCATGTTGCTTTATTCCATTTGTAAATGTTCCGATTTCACACTGATTTAACTGATTGGAAGACGATATTAGCCTTATTCGTTTCCATTTCTTGGAAGCATGATTTATACTTCTTCGCCGTATAATGTGTACAATTAACTATAAATAGTGCATTTTTACATTAATAAGATTACCTGATCATACCTATCTGAAGACACGACAAAAGTACTAATAATTTTATTTGCCAAACTTTGAATCAGTCTTATACCACTATCAAAATATACAGTAACTGTATTTACCGCGAGTTACTTCAGATTATGTTATTTTATTACGATTTGATATGAGGCAGCTGATAAACTAGATTTGTAAATTTTTTAACTTATACCACTTTCAAAGTCAGGGGCTCATTTCTAAACGAAATGTCACCTCCAGATGGCGACACGAAGGTGTGGATATCTGTGGAATTTGCGGAAAACGTATTTGTACTCGAGACACTGTATCTGTACGTGTATTCAGGTCGTAGGTCGATGCTGAATTGAGCTGTGGCGTCTTTGGTAACGGTTTCGGAGATTGTTGGACAGCCCGGTCTAGTTGCGGTATAATCCAAGCGCAATTGAATATTCGGACCGTTCGCAAAACACGACGGAGTAAATTTCATTAGGGCGGTGACTTCGTAGGATTCGTTGTCGTTCCTGCGGGTTTGTATTTCGTAGGACTTGTAATTTTCCACGTTGGCCGGTGCTGAAAAAGAGAAGATTGTTGAAAGTACCGGCCTGACATATTGACATTGCAGCTCCAGTATCACGATAAAACTTTGTCTTCTTTTAAATATGTATCTTAGGAGATTGCGAAAAAAAAAATTGAAGTCTTGCGTCAAATAGTTTTTTATTGGCAGCATTTTAAACAAGATGTGTCCGAAAAAATGTCGCAAATAACGCAAATTGAGTATAGAGCAGTCATAAAGGTCTGACAAAAGAAGGGTTAGCACCTAAAATTATTAAAGAAAGGCTGATGGAGTGTACGGCCAACGTTCTCCTTCGTATTCTGTAGTGAAAGAATGGGCGAAACTTTTTCGAATGGGGCAGGAGTCCCTTGAAGATGATTCAAGAACTGGTCGACCAGTGGTGGTTAGTTTAGGTTAGTGCAAGATGGGTTCCAAAAACCTTTCGGCTATTCAAAAACAACGCCGTGTCGATGGTGCGCGGTCTTTTTTGGGTTTTTGGGCGGGTTGTGGGTCGGAACCGAAGCCTGTGATAGAAACTATTGTGACGGGAGATGAAACTATGGTTCTCTATTATGACCCTCTGTCGAAAAAAGAATCAATGGAGTGGCGTCGTAAGGGTGAAGCACCTCCAAGAAAATTCAGAGTCCGTCAATCAACAAAAAAGGTGATGGCCATGATCTTTTGGGATTGTGAAGGAATTCTTTTGATATATTTTAAAGAAACTAATACCACTATCAATGGTAAATATTACGCAACATTATTACATAAATTGCGAGACTGCATACGTGTAAAACGTCGCGGAAAACTGACCAGAGGCGTGCGTCTTTTGCACGATAATGCACCTGCCCATATTGCTGGTGTTGAACAAGCTGCCATTTTAGAGTGTGGGTTCTAACAGATAGACCATCCTCCCTGTAGTCCAAATATGGCCCCAGCGACTATTATTTGTTTGGATATTTGAAAAAGGACGGCGGTTTAACGACAAAGTTGAGTTAGAAGAGGCTGTTGTAGCTCATTTTGCAGACAAACCAAAAGAATATTTTTTTAAAGGGATTGAGTTGTTAATAAAGAGATGTAATAAGTGTATTGAAGTTAAGGGGGATTATATTGAAAAATAATAAAAAAATGTTACTCTACTTTGTTTCTCTCGTATTCAGTCCGGGAAATTTTGGCGCTGTCCTCGTAAAGGCGGTATTTCAAAAAATATATTTTGGTTTTTCTGAAATCGCCAGCAGGGGGCGTAATTGTTATCTTGGATTTTAGTAGAATCGATAAATATTTCAAACCATAGTTAAAGTGAGGATTATTTTAAAGCTGGTGGAGGATATTCTTGTAAATAATTGTCCATACCTCCAAAAAGGCTTTTAACGCATTTTAATAAACTTGGAGTTGTTAACGGGGCTTTTTCTGGTCTATCAATCTTGCTGTGAGTAGTGTTGGGCAGTGGGTATTTACTGGATGGGCAAATTCATAAATACGCGTACCAACCATGTTAGAGACTGTACTAAGTGTCCCAGAGATAACGGCACTGAAAATGGAAACCAAAATGCATTGAGAACATGGAGTTCAACACCTTCGGGTCATGTAGACACTCAGAAAAAACCTGATAATAGTACTAATACTGACTTGCAAATAGGATTCCACCCAAAAAAAAAACATGTTAACGTTTTTCATCGATACAATGAGCCCCAAAGAAAATGTAAGTGGGCACTCAGGATATTTATGTCAAAAAGTGGCAGTTATTAAACTACTTAAAATGCGCTGGGATAGTTACCTAGATATTTGCAGAGCCTATTTACTTGTAAAAGTTAAAGTACACTACAAAAAAAAAAAACAAAAGAACTAAAAGGCTATATTTTACATGACTTTCATTAAGAAGTTTTGAAGAAACGATTGCTCTTGTTAAGTTTTTACCGGAATCACCAATCACAAAAAAATAAGAAAAAACAACATTAGATAAAATGAAAGAAAATTAATGGCACTGAATTCAATACATTAGGCTGCAGCACTGCTAGATCTTGCTTCTCAATAAGATCCATAAGATCTCAGCCGACATGAATACTGAAGAGTTAGTGTCAGGATCTGCTAGTTACTGTGTCAGGGATTGTTGTTTATGGGCCAAACTCCTCCCCTGGTATGGTGGAAGGGCATTTGTAAGATGCAGATGTCGCGGTGCGTATATTATCAGCTTCAGTTAGTTCAGCAGCCACTGAGAGATCATTCAGCACTTCCAGTTGGATTCACAATAAAAGACCTAATCGCCTCACAAACGTAAGTAACAGAAAGTTACATCAAACAACTGCAAATAAGACTGAAACTGAAGTGATTTCGGTGTTGAAGCGGGAATACTAGGAATTATCATCTTCAACAACACCAAAATTAGTATATCTTTCTTTAAAAAAAAAAAAAAACAAGACATTTAATAGGTGCAAATAAAAATAAAGCGGTAAAAATTATTGACGATACCTACGGAAAACGAAATAGAAACCCATGCGGAAGATGAAAGTGAAGTTCCATATATGAACACCGACGAAGATATATCCACCAAAGTATTTCTATCCATGTTTATTTAGTAATCTAGAAACTTTTTTTTTTACATGTTTAAGTTTCCAGTTAGTTCAGCAGCCTCTGAGGGATCCTTCAGCACTTCCAGTTGTATTCACAATAAAAGACCTAATCGCCTCATGAACGTAAGAGCAGGAAAAATTACATCCCTTGCTCGAAGTTACATCAAACAACTACAAATAAGACTGAAACTGAAGTGATTTTGGTGTTGGAGTCGGAATACTAGGATCATCTTCAGCAACACCAAAATTAGGAGATCTTTCTTTAAAAAAAAACAAGTCATTTAATAGGTGCGCATAAAAATAAAGTGATAAAAATTATTGACGATACGGACGAAATAGAAACCCATGCGTAAGATGAAGATGATGTTCCATATATCATCGTCAAAGTATTTTTATCCATATTTATTTAGTAATCTAGAAACTATTTTTTTTACATGTTTAAGTTTAAACTAACATGAACTTTTTTGTGTATTTTTTGTTGTGTTGTTTATTGTTGTTAATTATTATTATTACTAATATCTTGATTTGATATTGATGTTTATCATAATCCCGATTTTACCAAATAAATAAAAGAATATATAATCATAATGAAATGTTTTTGTTTATCTATATTACTTTTAAACAATACCCCGCAGCTGACATTATTTGTTTTTGACATTTTTCAAATATTTACTATTATCATTTTTTTTTTAAATTAGGTCTAATTACTAACTCGATCACTAGTCAATTGACGGGAACTAACTAATTTATTAAATACTTATGTATTTAGTAACACATGAACATCCATTTAAATAAATAAAAATAATCAATTTATAATAATAATAATAATAAAGGCCTTTATTGATTCAAAAAAGTAAATCAATAAAAATAAGTAGTTAAATTAAAATAAATTAAAATAATGAAATAATTTTTATTCGCTTATTTATTTTCCAATGAAGGATTTTTATAATATTTAACGGCATTTGAAATACGTTTCGTAAAAAAAATATTAGACCCGCAAGAGATTTAATTAACTGCGATAGTGTTGCCTCGTAATTGAACAAAATCGTCAATAAATCATCAAAAATACACAAGGTGTTTGATTTACAAAAATTGAGAGGTAATATTTTGCGAAACATCGCAACACCGCGTAATTTAAGAAAAAAATTTAAATTTTGAATATTGCCTGAGAAAAAGTTTTTTTTTTCTAAAACATATTACGCAGAAAAATGTTTTAAAAGTTAATAAACAACGTAACCAACATCTTCCCAATATAACCTGAATGCCGACCACTCATAGATTTCGAAACAAGGAATCCCTGTACAAAGTTGACGAATTCATAACTCAATTATCTTACCTAAGCCTTCCGTGGTTAGATTGTACAAAGCGGGGGGACCACGCCCCCTTATGGTATTTGCCTCAACCCTGACGACGTAGTTAAAATAGGGATACGCCCCGTCGTACGTATGATTCCATATATTTCCTTTGGTAGTGTAATTTTTCGTTCCACTGTAGTAGTTACAGTTGGGAACGGGAGGGTAGCCTGGGCCTAGCGAATCTACGCTTACCGAATAGTTCCAGATTTTACCAGGTCTGTTGGTCGGTTCCGTCCAGCTCAACGTGAACATGTCCGAAGTTACATTTACCTGTATTATTTTCGGATTGTCGGGATCTGAAAACGTGTATCGAATTTCCATATGGGAAGTAAACTGTAGTATAGTAGAACCAGTCATCTATCGGTACTTGTTCTTATTCGTTGCCGGTAGAACCGAGTGGGTGGGCTAAGTATCTATTGTACGACCAAAAATATTGTGCATTTGCTTTCACGTTTTAAGTATTTTACAGCGAATAACCCAGTTCCCAATAACGCCAATATAAATCTAATATAAAACGAATTTGTTCAATAAGTATCGTTCTTAAGAGTTTAATGTAAATTGCGATATGTTCGTATATATTACGGAGGTATTTGACTATGATCCTTCCAGTCAGTTGCGTATTTATGTACCTGATTCTCGAGGCTGTTTTCACTGGATAGTTGAAAGGGTAACGCTAAGTACTTGTACTCTACTTATATTATAGAGTTAAGTTTGAAAATAATCATTTTTGTCTTGTGTGCCTGTCGATTAACAACATTCTTCTTCTTGAATTTTTGTATCTTCTACATAGTTCTTCGATTTGTAAACAACGACAGTCTTTTTTAAGACTAGAGATTATGTTCGCGATCGATAAAGGTGCGTCAAAAGAATACAGATAAATATTTATTAGAATGTTACAATTAAACATTTTTTGAAGGTTCCTGTTCTTTAACAGTTTAAAATGTGATGACCATGGAATGAAGCAGATGTTTCCTTGTTAGAAGAAGACATGGAAAACAACGCAGAATTTGAAGATGAAGTGGAGATGGTAGTCGAACCTAATGACAATTTAGAAGACGAACTACCTCAGCAAATAAAAAAAAAACAGATCCATTTGTTTTCGGATGCTAAACAAATTATTTTGAATGTTTACAATTTTATAAGAAATTCAGAAGAGAAAGTAGGAGCTGCAATAAAAACAAGTGACATGACCAAAGTTCCGAAGTCAACTGTAAGAAAAATTGTTGCAAATTGAATAGCCAAGAGGACAGTGAGAGAAGATCTGATACTTCGCGAGTTTTTAAAGAACAAGACCCAGCTCTAATTAGGCGTATAATCTAGGATGCTTATATAGTGAATAGTGTTTTAACCCTAGAAGAACTGCATAAAAAAGTACTGACAGACTTAAACATGAGCTGTGCCAAAGAGTCGTTGCGTACTTTTTTGAATAAAATGGATTTTCAGTTCCAAACGTCAAGTATTAATGTGTGTGACTGATACTTCATTATTATTATTACATTTAAAATTTTGTATATTAATAATGATCCTATGAAGAAATGTAATGAAATAGAACGTAATAAATTGTTACTTTGTACTACCTCTTTCTGTCTCCTTTTTAACAAACCACGAGGCACATAAGCTTATAAGAAATGGCCCCGATCCGACACCGGTATACATCTTTTTTTCGCAATTTTCGACTGGTTTTTGGACCTTGCTATGAAACACGATAAGTGTCCGAAATTTGAAGCGATCGACTTCATATTTGGCACATATACGCAGCTTTGCACCGTGACGGAACCTATTGAAAATGGAGGGGGCTGGGGGATCGGGAAGTATTTAAAAAAAAATCGCGTGTGCAAGGGACTACAAAAAGACGATTTTTCAAAAACGGTTTACAAGACCGAAAAAATTCTTGAACCAGAAGACGCAGAGGAAACGACTCCATAAACTTTTTATTCTTGACAATTTTTCAAAAATATACAGGGTGCGCCGCAAATAAAAAAAAACACTGAAAAATGGGTCTCTCTATTATTGAAAATTGCCAATAATTTCAAATCTGTGTTTTAGATGCCAGTTTCTTTTACATGACGATATAGCCCATATAGACAGCTTAAACTTTTATATTTACGGTTTTTAAGTATTGTACCGGGTGTTCGCGATATTCCGTGCAATATTAAAAAACATAATAAGTACTCCAAATTTGCAGCTACCGATTTCAGACTTAGGAGAGAAGTAGAAGTCTGGACCCGTATTTAGACTCTTTAAATTGGGAGCAATAAAATAACGCGAAGTATTTTTTTTAATTTTTGATTTTTTTTTGTAGTTATTTTGGCATCCAGAAAAACATCTTTTCCTCCAAACCATTCATCCGATCGGAAAAATTTTACATCCGTAATACGTGGGAGACCCGGCGCTATAACCTTTGTTTCACGCATTTTTTAGATTATAAACAATGTGTTTTAGTTATGGAAAAAAATCTAGAAGACCCTGAAAATTGTTCTTTCATAGAGTAAATTATTAACGGTAAATCAAAATTCGTACAAACAATAGCTAATCCGTTTAAACAGTGTTATAGGCCGTATCAAGGGCTACAATTTTTGTATTTACGGTTTTCGTCTATCACATACGCACTATCCAACTATCCGGGTCTACCCAATATATACTCGGGTATTTACCGAAATTTATTTACCGGGTATTTGCCCGCCACATCTTGTAAAACAAACTCCTTGATTTGTAAAGAACTCCGGGCATTTGGTAGATATTTTAAAAAACGTAAAAACATGTTCTTCAGACAAGTTTTGACGCGCAAAGTTTATACACCAACGTCCCTTGGAGGAATGACATTTTCGAGGCCAGATTGAAGAATGTTACAACACCTCGATTACGATGGTAAATACAGAAAAACAATCGAATGTATGGTTTAGGAAGAAATTAGGTAAATGCACTCTTTTTAAATGGAACATGGAAATAAGAAAATAGACAGAATATTAAAGTTATTTTAAGAGGTGTTCAAAAACAGCACCTCGTACTATAATGTATTTTTGAACACGTTTCTATATTGAGCATTTAAGATTGTTTTACCATCTACTTGGTATATTTTTCTCTCATTGCAGCGTTTAAAACGTCAACGTGTTGGCATTTCCCAAATGTCGTCCTTTTAATAAACCCACAAGTAGAAATCAAGTGGCGTTATATCTGGTGACCTAGGAGGCCAAGGGATAGGTCCACTTGTAGCAATCTATTTATTGTTGAAAATGGTTGTCAAAAAGTGATGTGTGCCTCGGAAGTTATGAGCTGGTGCGCCATCTTTTGGGAAATGAAGATTCTGCTTGCTTATGAGATCGAGCTTATCTTGAAAACCATTCAGAATTTGAGTAATAATTGCAATATATCCCTCACCAGTCAGCGTGCCATCATGAAAATATGGACCAATAATGCGAAAACCAGTTATACCGTGCCAAACGTTAAAGCCGAAACGAACTTGTGAAGTTCGGGGATGGATGTACCAGAATTTGAAAAATTGTATTCGTCAGTCCACAAAATATTCCAAAAAAAAAGTCTTTTCCCGGCATCCCGGCCAAAAGCTGGTCGAAATTTATAAGGAAAATAATTAAAGAAAAATGGAGTATTTTTTCGCAACCGCTCATAGCCATTTAGTCTAAAAGAGAAGTGACCTGGTAACTCGGCTATTTTCAATTTTAGGCTAATATTGCATATAACCTTTTTTGCTGGCTATCCTAATGACTTCAGTACCTCTACTGCTATCCCATCTATTTATCGATTTAAGGATCCCCATGTTCAGTAATCTTTGTATAGTTAATATTGTTCGAGAAAATTACTAAGATAGTTACCGGTTAATGCAGATAATTTCACCTGTGATTAATTATTATTTAGTACTTCTGTCGTTGACGGTACCTGGAGATGACCTAACCCAATTTAACCCCTTGAACATTGTCGGTAGCATTTTTAATGAGTTCGATAGATCGCTGGGCATACTATACTTACCGTGAACATTTGCTTACAATTATCTGGTGATCGAAACGATGTTAAGTTTGCCGGCAAACCGACAAGCTCATCTTCACCAATTAGTGTTATGCTTCCGTTATAGAACGTTGATGCTGCTACATCTATCGTACACGCATAGTTTCTCGTATCGTTTTGATAATTTTTTTGGCAGCTTCGTAGATCTTTTATGCCGCTATTCTCGCTATAAACACCTTCCAAAGAGACTACGAAATACAAGGCAGGTCCGTTGGTGTTACAGGGCGTGCTCCAATAGATGGTTGCTCTAAATGTAAGGTTATTTGGGCTCTCTAGGAACTCTTCGTGCGTTACCGTCACGTTTTGCGGAGGTTGAGAAGCTGAAAATATAAAGTTTTTTTGAGCTATATGTGTATATCTAGCGTCGTCTTAAGGCTCTATTCTATGCCGCATATGCATGGAATGCATGTGGCTGGTGTTTCAATCGGAATTTTGTCTTTGACGAATCAATGATGTTGATGACCCAATGTTAGGTCTGATTTTCTATTAATAAGATTATTTAAGAATGGGAGATTATTTTTAGTTTTTAATTCAAAGAGGGATTCTGCATCGGAACTAAACCAGAATATCCTATGAATTTAATGTAATGGTTTAATGGAAGTAAGAAACTATCGATTTTCTCTGTTTTAATATAGAAGCTAGATAATATGTTGGAGATCCAATGGTGCTGACAATAGATCAAATGGGTAATCCTAGTTTGTGAATCTGATATTCACTTGTGTTCATGACCATCGCAGCATTTCCTTCACTGCTTTGAGAACTACAATGCCGGAATTAGATTTTAGAGATTTTAGAACAATGCGTTTAAGCTTTGGAATGTTAGATTTAGGATGTTCGGATTTTTTTAAAGGATATTAGCTGTTAGACATGACACTTTGTTTACGAGTACGATTTCGTTTTTTTCCTCTTCTACCCAGAATGACAGAAAATCTACGCACACGCGTAGATAAAAACTATATCGACGGCAAAGACTTGCCCCTGAAAACTAATCTGTATTTGCATCAGACGACTGTGCGTATAGACAATGAAACCTAGAACTTACAGTTAATCGGGAAGTATGCCAGGGATGCATACTATCACCAATGCTTACTCCGAAATACTGTTTGGGCAAGCGCTTAGTGAAACAGAGGAAGGAATCAATGGAGAGACCATCAATAATTTAAGGTATGTGGACGATACAGTTCTCATAGCAGATCTTGAAAACATTAGATAAAACAACTTACTTGGGCTGCAGCCTGAACAAGGATGCCAGGCCTTTGAAATGTGGTGCTATCGCCACATGCTCAGGATATCATACTCCTACCATGTCAAAAACAATACCGTGATCCAGCGAATGCAAAAGTAACTCGAAGTCATACATAATGTGAAAGTGAGGAGGATGGCGTATCTTAGGCATGTGATGCGTAATGAGGAATATCAATTTATCCAACTAATATTGCAGGGCAAAATCGATGGTCGAAGAGGTCAGGGGCGACGACGAACATGGTGGCTGGAAATTATCAGACAGTGGACGGAAATGGCGACTGTACATTTATTCAGGGCGGCTGTCGACAAGATAGAGGATATTTTTCAAAGAAACTTCCAATTTTTACAAAACTTCTGGATTCCTCCGGTGTCGGTTTTTGCTGATTCGAAATTGCTGACGTTTCGCCAATCATCCTGTTGGTTTCTTCAGAGCTTGTTGCTTGTTGTTTATGTATTGTTTGAGGGGGGCGCCAAATTGGTGACAGGTAGAGACCTGAGTCGCGGTTAAGATTGTTCGGTTGTTTATAGCTTTCTATAGACTCTCGGATATTTTGTTGGTAGAAGAACTGATTACGTGCAAGAATTTTAGTTTTATCTAATAAAATTTTATGTCCGGTTTCATGAGTGTGTTTGGCAACAGCTGATGAGTTTATTTGTCTTAGTCGTAAGGCTCTTTCCTGTTCTTTGAGCCTAGTTAATATTTTTCGTCCGGTCTCTCCAATGTATTCTTTGCCGCATATGCATAGAATGCTGTAAACTCCGGCCATCTCAAATGGAATTTTGTCTTTAACGGACCGAAGATATTGAGAGATTTTTGGACAAGTGGTAAATCTGGTTTTGACGTTATACTCCGTTAGAACTTTTGATATTTGGTCAGTGACTTTCGGCCTCATTGCTATAGTGGTGCAGTGAAGTGTATTTTTTGATGGAACGCTTAATATCTTTAATGTGGAAATTATTAGAGAGAAGAGCAGAGGTAAGGTGTTTTAATTCTGGGTTCAGTTACTTGGACTGAGATAGTTTTACGGCTCTGTAAACAAGAGATTGATAACCGATGATTTTTGGGCCGGATGGTGATGTAATCATGCATTAAGGTATCGGTCTATGTGCGTAGGTTTTCTGTAAACACAATGACCCGATGTTAGGTCTGATTTTTTATTGATAAGAATATCTAAGAATGGAAGGTTATTATTAGTTTTCAACTCAATGGTAAAACGTATGTTAGGGTGTTTAAAAAACTGTACACTTTGCCACTTTAGGATTTTTTGACTAGTAAATTGTCGATTAAATTGCAGTTGGGTTCTTAAATTGTCCTATTAAATTGCTAGTTTAATTAAAAAAAGTACATTTAAAAACAATGATGTAGTAGCAAGTTTTAATAATTAAAAAAAGTTAAAAAGGATCGTGTGAATGCTAATTGGAAGTCATAAGTGTCGTCGCAAAACAAGTACGGGAGATAAAAAAGACATGACCGTGAAACAAGAATCACTAGATTATTACAAATTATTTCTTTTTATGGGCACTAGTCATAGCATTACACGTGCCAACTTTCAAATAGAGCGGACTTTATATAAAAATTATCATCGCAAATTACATTTAAATGGTTTAATTGTTTTTAAACGAAAACCGTGCGTCGTACGAAAGCAAATTCATGCACCAAATTTACTCCAAATTGAATGCGGATTTTAAACATAATTTTTGTTTTTAGAAAAAGCAATGCCGTGCCATTTTTTCCTATAAAAATATTCAGTTCAAACTCCGTACTGACGCCACTGGCAAAAATAAAATTAAAGCTTTTGTGTCAAAAACCGCCTCTCAATAATTAAGAGATGTTCACCAAAGTTGATAAAAATATCGAAAGTGATATAAAAGTTATAAAAGGAAAAACAATTTTTGTAGAAAATTTTAACACCCTGTATCTTGAAAAATTTTTGGACCTATGTTTATATGAAGTATTCGTCATCACTCGTAACATGTTCATACCTGTTGCATTGGTTTCAAGGATAGTAGATACGGTCGGTCCATTGCCGGCAGGGGTCTCCGAAAAAATTGACACGTTGTAACCAAAGTCGGGGAGGGCGTCACTGAAAACGAAATAGCCAACCGTGGTGGAACTCTGCTGCAGGTCTAGAGCTGCCGCACACTTTTCCTCGATAAAATGGCTGTTCCGCAACTTGCCCAGACCTTGTATACGAATCCAGTATGTTTGTCTTATCGGAATCTCTACGTTGGTCCACGTAACGTTGTAGGTGTGGTCGTCCAAATAAATAAATTTTACGTCGCTAGGCGGATATACCTCTATCGAAAGGAATAATTGGAATATGCCAGACACAAAATCATATATTTATTGTACGACCAAAAATATAGTGCATTTATTGCTTTGACATTTTAAGTATTTTACAGTACATCCCAACAGATGTTTATTCTGCATTAAGTAGGTCTTGAATGAGAACTTCAAATATTTATTTCAAACGTAAATGGACCATTTTAAATTTGATTAAGCATTGATGCTGCGGGGTATTTTCGAATAAGTAGAAACGTTTATTTTAGCATAGGTGATATGTATCGTTCTTAAGAGTTTAATTTAAATCGCAATATGTTCGTCTATATCAGTGGTGCGCAACCCATGGGTCGAGAAAAATTTTCAGGGTCGCCAAATTTAAAGAACTTTATATGACAATAAAAAATATAGCGCGCTCGTAAACCCGATGTGCTGTAATCTTAATGACTCATGTTACTTTGAAAAAATCGATGACGTCGAATTGGCACAGAAAACTTTTTTTCTGTTCTCCGTTATCCGTTCTCCGTTTCTCTGTAGACCTGGCATTAATTGGCTATATCTTTTGAACGGTTAGCTACACGGCTTTCAAATTTGGCTCGTTTTAAACCGTGCACGAGCTACATAAGCCAGTAAAAAATGGGTCTGCTCAAACCACGGCTTCCATTTTTTTAGATTTGTGATAAGTTTCCGAAATTTGAAGCTATCCACTTGAAATTTGACACACATATATACAGTTTAGCTCCGTAACGGTATATAAGTTCGAAAAAATTCTTTAACCAAATGACGCGCAAGATCCGGACCAAAAACCTTTATTCTTGATGATTTTTTAAAAACGTACAGGGTGCGTCGGTAATTTGCAAAAAAACTGAAAATTGGTCTCCCTTTGTAATGATAATTGATCACAACAAGAAAGCTGTGATTCGGTTACCAGTTTTTTTTACATGACTATATAGCCCGTGTGAACAGCCAAAACTTTTGTATTTAAAGTTTTCACATACTGTACAGGGTGTGCGGGATATTCCGTGCTATATTGAAAAACGTCATGAGTGACCCAAATATGTAGCTATCGATTTTAAATTTCGCAGGGAAGTAAAAGGTCGTACCCACATGTGAACAGTAGAATTTGAGCGTAATCAAGTATCACCAAATATTTTTTATTTTTTTTTTTAATTTTCTTTGAATATTTTGGCTTCCAGAAAAATATGATTTTCTCAAAAACTATTCAACCGATCGGCAAAATTTTAGAACCGGGAAATGCGGGAGATCCAGCGCTATGACTTTTATCTCGGACATTTTTTCGATTGTATAACGGGTTTTTCAATTATGGACAAAAATCTAAAAGTCCATGAAAATCGTTCTTTGCGCTATTAAATTATTAGCCGTAACTTAAAATTCGTGAAAAATATGACCAATTGGTTTAAACAGTGTAATAAGCCACATCGAGAGCTAAAATTTTTGTATTTACGGGTTTCGTCTATCACATACGCTGTTCGAGATATTTGAAAAAATCTAATCGAGATGCGATGACGTCATTGATTATTACGGCGTACCGCATGATTTCAGAAATTAAGTATATTTTTGATTCTCTATTGGAAAAAATCATACACCAGGAAACGTGGGAGATCCAGGGCTACCACCCCTAGTTCGAACATTGTTTGAAATATATACAGGGTGTGTCGATTATTTGCAGAAAATCGAAAAGTTCCTTAAAATTTCCGTTTTTGTGGGTAAATTATTGGCGACAAATGAAAAACTGCTAAAGTTGCGATAATTTGATTTGAATAGTATCGTAAAGTGTGTCGAGAGAGAGAGAGTTTCAGGTTACGTCAATTATACAGGGCACGCGAGATGTTTCAAAAAATATCATTCGACAACGCTGTTATTTGTACAAATTTAAATATGTACATCAATTTCTGGAAAGGCTCTACGGGCATCCTTAGAAGTTTCATATTTAATAGGAAAAAAATTAAAACCACATACCATTGGAGAATCCCCCATTCTTCCTTCAGCAATTAAAGTGACATCAATTATGCATGGAGAAAAATATGATAACGATTTAAAAACAATACCAAAATCAAAAGATACCGTTTCTTGGCGAATTTCAGCCACATCATGTAATATAGAATCAGTTCCGCTAAATCAAATACAATACTCTCCTGTGTTTGCTCCACAACGAAACTACAGACATTACTAAAATGTCTCAATTAATTGTTTATGTGAGATACGTTTTTAAAGAATACATATCAGAAGATTTTTTTTTTATTGTAAAAGGTTAGAAGGAAGAACAACTGGGAGAGAAAGTATTTGAAGTTATTAACAGATATTTCGAGGAAAATGATCTTGCCTGCATCTGCACCATTGCATGATTATATAGACAAGCTCTAGTTGTAAAAGACATCGATGAAGAATTGTACAAAGTATTACAGGATGTTGTTATTGTAATTAATTACATTAAAGGCAACAGCCCAAACAGTCGTCTCTTTTCAATACTCTAATGAGATGGGTTCTGAGTATGAGACGTTATTACTACATACTGAAGTCAGATGGCTATCTTGCGTCAAAATATTGCGTCGTATTTTTGATTTGAGAAACGAACGTATATTGGCACATTCATTCATTAATGAAGATTGTCTTGGAAAACCCAGTTACATGGTTGACATTTTCGAAAAACTTAACGATTTGAATTAGAGTTTGCAGAGTGCAGTAAAACTGACGCTTTTAGGAATAAGCTGATACTATGGGAAGAAGAATTAAACAAAAACAACACAGACATTTTTCCGTGCTTCTCGGAATTTACTAATGTAAATAATATAGATTTCATGTTATTTAAAAACATCATTTCACATCATTTGATAAAATTGGGAGAAAACTTTACAAAAAGGTTCGACAGATTTTCAGTTAAAGAATTAGGTTGGATCCGTGATCCATTTTCGTTTGATATTATTAATTCCAATATCCCTTTAAATGAAAAAGACCAGTTAATTGATATTTCAAGTGACGAAACTCTGCGTATTCAGTTTAGGTCTCTGACTTGCCAAAAATTTTGATTATCATGTGAAAAAAAATATGCCGATTTGAAAAGAAGAGCAATCAATATTTGGATTCAATTCGCATCGACCTACTCATATGAATCCGGCTTAGTTGCCATTAAAACAAAATATCGATCTCGATTAGATCCAGAGGATGACTTGCGAACATGGAAGCGATCATGAGTTCTTTGCAAGCGCAAACCTCACATTGAATTCCTATGTGTAAATGTAAATGTATTTTTTTGTTAAATAAATATTTGTACTCATATGCATAAATAAAACCATTGTTTCACAAAATTATGTGTTGTGTAAAAGCCTCTAATAAAAGGAATTCATTTTAACTACGTTGACGATTAAAAAGAACCTCTACTGTCTACTCAGGGGTCGCGACAAATTGTTTAAAAAAAATGGGGGTCGCAAATGAAGATAGGTTGCGCACCACTGGTCTATATGACGGAGGTCGGTTCATAGATATAAGAAAGTGACTAACTGATACGAATTAAGAAAAGACCCGTGCAAGCTGTAAGAATGAATGGCCGAACAGGTCCGTACTTTGCTTAGAATTTAATTGTTTGGGGTTTTGTTAGGAAATATACTAAACAATATTTATTTATTTATGTATGTATTTATGTTTAAATCTAAAATAAAATTACAAATTATTTTTATTACCTACTTAAATTACTTAAAATTTTTTTCTTTTATCTTAATATTTTTCGCAGACAGAGAAAGTCCATTTGGAATCCAACCATCTTTAGAGCCGGCATGCAAAATAGTTATTCTTTTACCTCTTTTTGATGTCGCGTTTGTTTTACACTTATGAGTTGAGTCAACACAACCCTTTTGCGGGGTATCATAAGTGTCGAACCAGAATTCATCCAAGTAAATAATTGGCCTTTGTTGTTCTCTGCAAATTCTATTTTTTTCTAGATATTCCAGTCGCCATTTCCGAATTTTAAAAGATTCCGTTAAAACTTGTCTTTTGTCAATTTTTTTAAATCTGATACCCATGTGTTGAATACACCTCCATAAGGTAGTTCTGCCACATTTAGGACCACTTTCATCTTTTTTAAGCCTCCTAATTAAGATATCTAATGTAGGCACGCTTTGCTCCTGATTATTCACAATTTTCCATACAATTGATGTTGGAATTTTCGTCAATGTGGCCGTTTCTTCAAAAGATGCTTGCTTGCTTTCACCACGTTCAATGAGAGTCAAATAAACATTGTTTATAATTTCCTTAGTCTCAATAGAATAGTGTTTTCTACATTTGGGCGGGAGCATCTCCTGAGACTGAGACTTGCACATATTTTGCATAATTCGCACACGATTCAACACACGCTGTGTTACACACGAAATAAGAACGATTGATAATAAACTTAAACTAAGTAGTATACCAAACCAAAGAATATTAAACACTGGTCGGTATAAAATTATTTTCTATTACGGATCCCAATTTTACCTGAATTTAAATTCCGCAACTTTAGGTAATAATCTTGTTGCATTGTATGTTAATGATCACCCTTGGATAATCCCATTCAAAAGCAGTTGGTCACTTTCTTATACCTATGAACAGAACATATTTGAATGTGATCCTTTCAGTAAAAACAAACTGATTCTCAAGCTTTTCCCTACGAGGCTGTTTTCATTGGATAGTTCAAAGGGTAATAAATTTTTTTCTTGTGTGCCTATAAATTAACAACATTCTTCTTCTTGTATTTTTGTATCTTCTGTATAGTTCTTCGATTTGTAAACCACAACAGTCTTTTTAAGACTATGGATTATATTCAAGGTTCGATAGTACAACAAAACGGACATGAAATATTGAGATTACTCCCGTATCATTGTAGATTTAACCCGATTGAGATGATTTGATTTGAGTTGAAAGCGCATATAAGAAGAAATAATACTGCACCAATGGTACCATAAACGTAATTCGGCAACAGGTAGCTAACATAACAGTAAAAAGCTGGTCTAACTGTAAAAAACGAGTAATAAAAGAAGAAAATATTTATCGAGAACGATTGACGAAGCCAAATATACCATCTTGGTCATGTTAGATTACTCTAAGGCGTTTGAGACCTTGAATCACAATACTTTGCTAACTATTCTAAAATACATAGGGTTTGATGAGAGTGCTGTCAAATTTATGGGGAACTACTTACAAGGTCGTACATAAAAAGTGGTTCTAAATGGACAGCAATCGGACTGCCGTGCTATAATATCTGGGGTGCCTCAAGGCTTTATTCTGGGGTCAATTTTATACTGTCCCCGTTTCCTAGTTTTATACAGCATTGCAAAACCCAAATGTATGCAGATAATACGTAAATTTATTACTCATTTTCGTGAGATAAAATTTTGGACAGCTGTCAAATCATAAATAATGATCTAGAAATCATTAACAGAACATTTACTCCATTTAAATCCAAAAAAATCTATAGCAATGTTCTTTGGAAGACCCGTGGATGTTGATCGATTATCGCAACTAGTTGAAATAAAAATATCGAATGTGTGCATTCCTCTGAAAACGGAGACAAAAAACCTTGAGCTTATGCTCGACAGTAAGCTAAGATTTAATGGTCAGATTATACAATGTATTAAAAAATCCATTGCTCACTTAAAACGCTTATATGGTTCTAAAAATATTTTAAATCGATTATTAAAAAAGGTCCTGTGTGATTCGATAGTTTTAACCACTGTGATGTCGTCTATGGTTCATGTCTGACAGCTGCTGCCTCAGAACGGATTCAAAAAATCCCGAAGTACTGTGTAAGATTCATTTTTGGGGTTAAACGCGGCAGACCTGTTAATCATAAACTGAAGGAAGTCCGATGGCTTAATATGAAAAATCACAAAATTATAAGATTGAAGTCTCCACGCTATTTTTTCAAAAAAATCAGCTTTCGCACGGACATTCACAATTTCAATTTAAGATTTAAAGGCCTGCTCACCCCTCCACGTCACACCTCTGGAATTTTTGAAAGATCCTTTACATATGGCATGGCTAAAACATATAACGCATTGGATCAGTCTCTTAAATTGCTAAACAATACCTTTTCCACACACCTGCGTGAAATATTATTATCATTAAATATTTAAGTAATTATTTCCAAAGTGTAAGTCCCTCTATTTGCACAGATCGTACTAGGTATTTAGTTATTTATTTTTTATGTATATTTTTCCTGCCTTGCGCTGCTACCTTCTTCTTAAGATAGGTTTAAAAACGGAGACACGAAATATCTTATTTTGTTCGTCCGAACCGTGTCCTTTTCATTGCATATCAATACGTGAATAAAATTATTATTATTAGTGGCGCAGTTGATCATTGAAATAGGTGATAACAGTAGCGATACGGACCGATATTTTATTATTATTATATTTAATATTTTCTATATTAATAATGATAGTATAAATTGTTACTTTGTACTAGTTTTTTATGTACATGTTTCAAGAATTGCTCGGCGAACAAGATTCTATAAGTGTTCTATAAGGGGCTTGAGTAATAAACAAGAGCAAAGTTAATCACGGGTTTCGCTTGTAAAAGCACTATATTTCTGGTCATGGTATAAAACGACTCACCTCCTATTGTAGTAAAATTAAGGTAGGTACTTTCTGATACACCAGCCGAGCCGTTTAGGAATATCTGGCATGTGTAGTTCTGAAATACATCTAGATCTGTCAAATACACGTCAACCGATGAATTGTAGCGCATCAGCTCTTCCCTCGTTTCGTTATAGTCGGGAGAACAAATGAGACCTAACGTTTCCCACGAAGGGCATTCCTCTTGACTTTCTACGTTGCAAGTAATGCTAGCTGAGCTCCAGTTTGTTGATTTGATGTCGCATTCGGGCTTCTGTTCTGGTCGGAGTATGTCAAATTATTGTTGAAAGATAGATAGATAGATGGTTTATTGATTTTTTTTTAATTGAATATATGTAAGTATATACTAACATAAAATTGTATATAACGTCATAATATACTAACTCTAGATATACAATGTATATAACTTCACAATAACAGGACAACAAATGAAAAATAAATTTATATAGCACAATATTTGAAAGAATCATGCATCATGAATCTTGCATCCCTGGCCACATATCAACCTACTGCTACTAGACACTAATAAATTCTTCGTTTTAGCTTTATTAAGTTGCTGAAAACCATGCTTTGGCCTTAGATAAAGTATATGTTTCAATATTATTCAGGGCAGTGATGTGTCGTCAGCAAACAGCACAAACTCAGTATCAGGTATCATGTACTGGCAAATATCATTTATGTATATAATAAAAAGGAGGGGTCCCAGAACGGAGCCCTGGGGTACTCCAAACTCAACGCAAGCCAAATCAGACTTATTGTTCTTTACGCTCACAAACTGTTATCTAGGACTTAAAAAGTTTGAGTGGAACACCACGCACTCCATAAAAAGAATACAGTCGGTCAAAAAAGTCAAAAAATATTTTTTCAGTTTTCTTTTGTTTCTTCTTTCACCTATATTTAATGAGAAATAAACTTGGACAATCTCATTAAGAGTGAGAATAAAAATCATTTTTAGAAGCAAGAAACTATGTCAAATAATTCTCCGTACACTATTATTTCTTATGATAAATGAAATTAATGGTTCTTCCTTCTGGCAATGCGGCCGTTGAGAACTCTTCCCTGATTTCCTCTCCAACAGAAGACTCTTCTCGTTCAGTTAACTTCCTGGATCGACCCGAGCGTGGCCGCACTTTATAAGATCCACGGTGGATTTGTATTGATTGATTACATACTGTACAGTCGAATGTGATTTTTTAATTATTTTACCAATATTTCTAAAGGATTTTTTCTCTTTCCATAAATTTACTACGATTTTTCGAAGCGCAATTGAAATTTCGTAATTTTTAGCGCTCAAAACCACTGACTTAAAAGTCGCGTGAAAAATAAACAAGCATAACTCATTTGTTTAAGCAAAATTTGATACAAGCTGACTTAATAAAATATTAATAATTAACGGATGTACCTGCGGTTTTGAATAGTAATTTATTAACGTGTATGGGGACTTATTTGACATAGTTTCTTGTTTCTAAAACTGCCTTATTTTTTATTGTTCAAATAAAGTGTCTCAAATGGTTTTTATTTTACTTTTTATATTTATATTTACTTGAAATATATTTCTCATTAAATGTAAGTTGTTGAAAGAAATATAAAGAAGAATAGATTCAAAGGAATCCATAAGTTATGTAAAAGATATTACAGCAGCCTGTGGAAGTTTTTTGAAAAAAAAACCTACTTTAAACTAATGAATTAATTAAAATCGGAAGTTTATATAAAAATGGTACCAATATAACTAAGACATAGGGATCGTATGTATAGTAAAGTTACGAAAAAAACAAATTATTTGTGGTTCTTTATTAAGGACGAACTAAACCTAGAAAACTCAGAAAAACAAAATTACGATATTTTGCCTAATAGAAAAATATTAATGGATAATCATGAAGCAAATGTTTTAAACTTATTTTCCTCAAAACTAGAAATAATGAATTTCTAATAGTCTTCGTGGCATGAGTCGAACTAGATATTTAACCATCCGGTATAAAATTCATGTATTAACACTGCGTAGTAAAACTATATAGATTTTTTGCCGGCACCTTATATATTAGCAGAAAAAAATACAAAATATTTTAAACATAAGAAACCTGCTCAACCTGATTTCCATCAGTGTTCAGACATATTTTGTAAAATTTTATGTAATATGTATACAGCATGTCGAAGATAAGGGTGTAATGCTTAAATCACAAAAAAAGACAAATTCTCAAACAAGTGACGATTAATTATTTGCAAAAAAACACAGATAACACCTAACTAACCAAAACTGCCGAATTTAAAACATTTCTTCACATAATTTCCAAATAAGTAGTTAGGAAATCGTGGACCTATACGACGGTCTGCCTGAAGTCCAGATATAAATCCACTGGATTGGTTTTTATAAATGTACTCTGGTTGAATTTGGTTCTACATGTCATATGCATTGAAGCAGATAGCTTTCGATTTGAACATCTTACATGATTCTAGGCAGTATTATTATTGCCTACTTTACGAGATGAAATAAATTTTATATTTTCAGTATAAATTTAATAAGTTAATAATTAAAAACGTTTTTTTGGCACTGTAATAATTAGCTACAAAAGTAAAACTCTAATATTTAACAAATGCGTCAAGACGGTTTGACATAATAATGCTATAATTGGATTTGTGGCAAAACGCAGTCTACAAGCAATCTAAATCAATTTATTCAAGGCAGCGTTCTTTCAACAACTCAGGTTTGACAAAATGGGTTCAGCAATTCTGAAGCGGTTGACTTTTATTTCCGAAAAAGTTCGGATACTTCCCGCCACTTTTTGTTCAATTATTTTTAGCCAATTAATAATAATTATCTTAGCCAGAAGCGAAGTTATTTCAACAAATATCCATATTGCTCACTGTCACCGCCAGAGATTGGTAAAAACTTTTCCCCTGTATTGGTTGAAATAAAAATAATACATAACGAAATTCTAATTGTAACTTACTCGTGCAGTTTGTCGTATTCCCTGCAAAAGCGGACAAATTTTAATGCGATATTCATACGGGCCATTTTTATTTTCATTTACCTCCCGAGGTGAAATTAAAATAAAAAATGTCGCTCCTGTCACCCACCGCGTTGGAGACGCAGGCCTCGCAGGTGTAAATTTTGAATTCTGTTAAATTTCGCAGGGTGATAGTTACGTTATTGGTTGCACTGTCGGGTATTTCTTGCCATCCCGAAATATCCGTCGTGTTGCCCGGATAGGTGCAATTGATTTCCAGGACCTGAGGATAGCCTGATGATACCTCCAACACGCACGAAACGTCGGTTGTTGTCGTGTCACTTCGGACGGTCTTGCATTCTGGTGCTGGCGGAACTAAAATAAACGACAATTTAATGCAAATTCCGGATCCGAAAACACTTAACTAAAAAATTCAATTCCTCAAAAAAAAAACATTTGTTTTCTGTCGGTACACGTTTTTTTTTTAATTTTTCTGTTCTCTGTTCCCTATTGTCTGTGTGTAAGAAAATTTGTTGATAGCGAGACCATGGCGATATGAATGGCGAGATATTTATTATTAGCTCGTTAAAAGAAAAATTACTTGGTAAATTGCAAGAGCCATCAGTTATAATTATGGATAATGCTCCGTATCATACAATTTTTTTAGAAAAGGAAAGCAAAGGAAAGAAATATATATACATATATGATATCGGGGAGATCGTTGTATTGATAAAAATGTTTTAGCTAAGTGGAATGAAGTTCTATTACAAGTTACACTCAGAAAAACTATGTGGATATACCAATAAAAAAAGATTAGACTGGTATAACAAAATCATTTTTAATGAAATAGAGCCCATAATAATTTCTTTGGATGCAGAAAGTGATACTGAAAGTACACTTAGTGACTGAGCTTTAAATGAAAAAAAATTCATTCATCAATTCAATCATCAACTCCATGTTTGTAAACAGTACGCAGATGATGTACTCAAGGTAGATGGCGCTCGAGTCATATAAAGTGAAATTAACCTAAAACATTAATCAAAAAAAGTGTAGCTTTTTTATTTTGATCATAGAAATAAGAATTTATGAGGTCATTTATTGCGGCAAAAAAAAGAATAGAGAGATAAATGTTGAAAATGGGCATGATACATCTAGCTGATATATCGTAGGTTCTCTCCGAATGACAAATTATATCAAGACAAAAAAATCTCAGTTCGTCAACTCCATGTTTGTAAACAGTACTCAGACGACGTACTGATTCACTAGACGTTTCATATATCTCAAGGTAGATGTGTCAATTTTTTTATTTTGATCATAGAAATAAGAATTAATGAGGTCATTTATTGCGACAAATAAAAGAATAGAGAGATAAATGTTGAAAATGGACATCATACATCTAGCTGATATATCGCATGTTCTCTCCGAATGACAAATTATATCAAAACATAAAAAATCTCAGTTTATCAACTCCATGTTTGTAAACAGTACTTAGATGAAGTACTGATTCACTAGCGTTTCATATATCTCAACGTAGATGACGCTCGAGTCATTTAAAGTGAAATTCAAAAATTCGTTAAATTTTAAAGACAAAAGTTATTGAACCGGAATTCAGCATTAACCTAAAACATTAATAAAAAAAGTGTAGCTTTTTTATTTGGTTATAGAAATAAGAATTTATGAGGCAACTAATTCATTTATTGCAACAAAAAAGAATAGAGAGATAAAAGACATGAAAAATCACAGTTAGCACATTTTTTCCAGAATCCGATATAAAGATTTTATTTTATTTTATTTGCATTTAGTTTCCGGTTAATTTTCTCAGATATTTTGGTTTGTTCGGATATTTTCATCGGGAGATGTCCATTCCACGCTTTGGTTAGTTGCGCTTATCTGCGGGTTCGCGATTTTATCTCGCATTGTCGAAAACACTCGAAATGGATTAGTCATTCGTTTACGGGTAAAAATAAACCGCGGGACTCACGTATTCCTTAAGGACGTCAACTTACCGATCTCCGTGGCGGTTCCGCCGTTCGCGATCGCGAAAAAACATAAAGCGACAACACACGCGTATAAGCGACTCGCACGCATAATTAGAGAAAACGAGAATAATAGAGCAGCATCGGTACTGCGGGAGAACTCACTTTAAAAGAGGGCCGGAAGTGTTTATCAAACTGCCGCCACCCGCAAAACAATCACGGAAAAGCAACAATTATTCGGTACCCGGGTACAACCGTACGGGACGAGAGATCGAATTTCACTCCACGCCATTTTTCCATATAAAACGTAAAACGTGATAACGCGACTCCGTTTGCGATAAAATGCGTTATCTCTTATCTATTAAAAAAGAAATTATCCGCCGCATAAAGCGATAGATTGGCAGGGCTTTTGTTCGTATACATTCGGCGCGATTTGTTTAAAAAACTTACGGGAAAAACTCCCGTCGGTTAGATAACGAACAAATTCGGCCCCCCTGGAGATAAAGTCTGCATTTCCATAAATAGACTTTTGAGACCGCACATTTGTAACGCACCAGTTTATTATTTTTACGACAGTAAACGGCAATACGCTGCCGCGCCGCGTGGTTGATGACGCACGATGAAATTTAACCCGACGAAATTCTTCGTAATTGTTTTTGTTTAAGTTGCACGAACGATCGGATAATTGAAACTCCATTGAAATTAGCTGGATAATTAGTTGAGTGAGAGCGCGCCCGTAACCAAACGAAATAAAGAAAATGACAGTTTGGTTAGTCTGGGGCCACCAATAATAGAATATTGGTGTTTAATTAGGCAAATCTTTAAGGACTTAAGTCAGAAATCCTGAGAAACGAGTCAGAATTTCAAAAAAAAAAACAATCCGAAATTTCTGACATAATAATCGAAACATCAGATATACAGCGTGATTCGTATGGAATATGCCATCTCCATCTCTAAACTGTAGTTATAGCCTGTCTCAACGTTCATCATTAACAAAAAAATTATTCTTACTTGAGTGACAAGGCAGGAGTGGGCTTTCTTTCTGATTTATTTCTTGAATGTTGACCATTTGTTTCAGTGTTTTACTGTGCGCTTCGAAAAAGTTATTTCACGAGAATAGAACAATGTAACGTCGAAATCGTTGGTAGCTTGATGTTAAACTTTTATCCATAGAGTAAGCTCTCTACTTACAAAAAGGTCAATATCGTTGATAAGGGATATTATTATTAGCGAAGAATTGAAGAAAAGGAACAAACCTAGTGATTTTCAAACTCACCCTATAGGGCAATAGCGATCGGAACCTAATAAGAAGTAAAATATATTGTCTTTATCAAAGCGAACTTGTTGCTACCTTCGATAAACTGAAAATAAAGCCAGAAAAAGATAAAACCAAGATAAATATAATCCGTGCTACTCTACACAGTGTTTGTAACATGGGATTTAAGTACGGCAAAATAGACAAGGGGCAAGTAGTAATGAAATCACGAAGATTGCGCACTTGAAGATTTAATTACTTTCAAGAAATTAAAAAATATAGATTAGATTCGACATTTTTTTACCTTTCAAACTTTAAATTGAATTCAACCGTACGCCCCACGCGTTTTCCATTTTCATGACTGAACACAATCACTAGAGGCGTTGAAACTCTCACGCTTTTTAACATTGCCACTAATAGGAGCTTCCCTATCTCATAACTCTTTGGGTTACCTAAAACTATTTTAAACAATATTCGATTTATATATATGTATATATATATATATATATATATATATATATATATATATATATATATATATATATATATTGGGCTATTCCATTTAACAGCTTTTGACAACAATATCCGGCTGAATCGGAATGACAGGACCTTTAAAATATTTTAAAAAGGTACAGAATACGATCCGCATTCGGTGCTAGTGCCATCTATTGTGAGACGCTAAAACTAATGATGACACTTTCCCGATTGCGACGCCCTCTCTAGTACAGTTACGGAACTTATTAGTATTGACCCACACCAAGAGATGCCGCACTGGCGATAGTTATGCCATCTCGCGTAAAGCATAACCAACAAATTAGTTGAAGATAGTCTCCGAAGATGGCACGCGTGTGCCGCAGTACTGCTGTGACTAATTGGTTATGGAGGAAGCACTTCCACAATCTTTCGGTAAATCATTGGATTAATTAGTTTTAACGAGCTCCCGCTCGCCGTGATGGCGCATTTGCGTTAGTCCTGCCATCTACCTTGGATCGCGGAACTGATTAGGCGAATTAAAATCCCCATATCCCCATAGATGGCGCGCCCTCGTGTCGAATTCTGGTACTAGTTAAGGGAAGTACCAGTAGATGGCGGACGGTTAGGAACGGTACTTCGTTACTTGAAAATAAAAAGCTTTCTTATGTCAAAGATTTTATTTCATATAATAAACAATCGTAAACCATGATGGTCATATGTTCTTTATTTCCAAAAAGTAAGTTCTCTTTCCCCTAATACAGAGTACATATTTTATAAATTATGAAAGCACTAACTAAAGCAGGTCAGATTAAATTTCATCTATTATTAATCAATTATCAGATAATACATTTTTTATTTTTTCACCTAAGCGTTTTACATTTTATGTAGGAGGATAATATATTTTACAAAGAAACTTCCAGAGGTTACTGTAATACTATTTACAAATCTTATGGATCCCTCGTGCCATGGTTGTTGATGAATCGAATTTGCTGTTGACTTCTTCAGAACTGAAACTGAAAAGCTAACAGGATGAAAAGTGAAACGTCAGCAAGTTCAATTCATCTACAACCAACCCAGGAGAACTCCAGAAGTTTTGTAAATAACTTTTATTTTCCTGTTATTTTTTTTCAACAATGAAATAATTGTGCTTTCTTCAATTTCACCATTATTTGGTGGTGTTTTGGACTATTGCCCACTAACAACTTTCAGTTTCTGCATGGTTCGATTACTTTACCATACAGAACATATATTATTTCACTTGTCGGCGCTGATTCTTGATTCCCACACTCGCCAGAGTTTTCTGCGTGTAACTTTATTTCTTCTGATGCTATCTTAACTATGCCACACACAAGTTACTTTATTTTTGAGGGGGGCTATCAAAGGCTATCAAAGTTGGAGTTTAACAAACATTTGTATGGAGCCGCCAATGTAAATATTTGTTCCCTAGGGCAGACAAGCTTTGAATGGTATAGTTGAACTTGATCAAAGTTCCGAAAAAACTTCTTATTCATCACATTTGCAGGCGAGCCAATTTTGAAACCTTATAATTAAAGTATACCAAACATTGTGCTTTTTGAATTTACCAGAGCAAGGGAATGTCTGTAAAATATAAGAAACCGGCCTTATCGCGTAACACAGTACCTCGAATTATTAAGTGGTCTGCGAAAGATGTACTATTTTTTCCCACGATGGGCAAATGGCTAAGGACATTCGGCCATATCGCGCCCGGGCGGTTTAATGAAAATACAGAACGCATCTGAGATGACAACTTACCCGAAGGGTTAAATGAAAACGAAGTTTCCGTAGTGAAAAGAAACACATGAATTCTGTATCGTTTTAACATTAAACGGGTACTAATTCAAAAAGTCTAAAAGCCGAGATAACTGTTTAGATTTTATGGACTTGCCTAGGGTGTTAAAATAAATAATTCTATCACCGAAACATTTATTATACATATCAAGTATGTAAAAACCAAACGAAAGTCACTTAATATAACCTTTGAGGAGGTCCCATGGTTGATTTAACATGTAATGACCTAACATTTTGCCAATGTTTCTTCAAGAGCGAAACCAAAAAATTGATAGAAAGATGTACATTCTGGACCAGCTCATCGGGAGTCATATCAACATGACCAACAGCTACTGATAAACAAAGTACCTAAAACAAAAATCATTTAAATCACAACAAATAATAAAAACAATCAGACATTCAATGTGTATGCAAATGTTAAAACCACAGTAATAATGAATTATTGAAGTGGCAGTTATAATTGCAGTTTTCTGTGGCACCATTTTTCCATACAGAGTGAATTTTTAATACAACACTCTGTTGGCTTAATGATGCACCATCAATGATGATAAGAGTACTTTACCTACCTTTTTCATTTGGAATTTGATGGTAGCTTTTACTTCATCAATTTTTTGAGTCATTGATTCCTGGTGAGATAAAAGACCCGGAAATTTACCAGCCTTATTCAATCCAGGACCCAACAGTCGTGGAATTTGTTTGATTAAAGCTTCTGAAGCTAAAAATGCATCATATTTCTTTGCCAATTTCTTAACCAGCTTCTTGTTCTTGTTCAACTTTTTCAGAGCTTCCACGTCCATGAACGGCACATTTTCCTTCTTAGCTTCATCACAATGCTGTTGATCTCCCAAAACACATACTTGCATTTTTGGTCGAGGTATGTGCTTTAGTCTGTTAAAAAAAATCCAAGAATAGTAAACAGAAAGTAGCAGTCTCATTTTTATACAGTTAATATCCCTGGTAATAGGCCACTTACCACAAATCGGGATACATGAAAAAAAAAATTATTCGACAACCTTAGGTAAACCTAAGGTATGTCTTCCCAGTTATTTTAAGACCCTGGGTGCAGGTCCGCTGATAAGCATCAGCTTCCCAATATATTGAACAAATTAAAAGCTTATAAAATAAGGGGAAAGGCTTGAAAAGCTTTTAAGTTGCTAATAATCGGGTTACATACTTGACGGTGCCGCTAAAACGCTTATCCTTCTGCGGATCGTAGTTTTTCAGACCGATCTGAATTTCGACTGTCTCCAAAAACTTTCTTTTTTTATCCTTGGCATTTGTCAATACGGCATTAACACATTCGTAAAGTGTATCACGAGACACTTTAGACCTTAAAATAAGAAAATACTGTCAGTCATTTGCAAACAGCTTGCAATCCAAACATATTTTGGAATGGAAAATGAAAAACGGTTAGCGATTGTTTTGATTAATTAAAATAAAAAACTTACGACATTTTCGGGTACGAAAACTGACACGCTCTCACAAATACACGAATAAGAAAGACCCATAGAAAAAAAATGGGAATGTACCAAGATACCATAGATAAGTTGGGAGATGGAAATAAAATACTTAACTATGTTCTATTACCATAACATAATGCAAGTTAACCCAAATGAGGTGGTTTACTACCTAAATGCATGGAAATAATCTGAAACTGACCCGAGTTTTGATGGACTTTGAGTATTTTGAGTAGCTAATATAGAATTTTGTTTGGATAATCACTCGTTATTTTCATTTAATGTCAACATTAAATCGTTTTAGTACCTATTTAATAATTATTGGGAAGCAGAGTAGGGTAGGGTCTCAGGTAGGGTAAAAATAATACTATTGCAATCAAGTGTGGTTTATATTTATTATCTTGAAATACATATATTAATTAAATATTGTTACACATAAATACAGAAAACTAGCGAGCAAAACGATTTACTTGTAAAACTTTGTGTTTTACGGCATTCTACCATTTTAAATATACAAAAATCAACAAATACTTATAAACTAGAAATCCCTGTTTTTGGATATATTAAAGAACATATTAAAAAACAAAAGATATATTACGCATACATAACAACTATTTATAGGTGGTAGGTAAATAATAACATGTGTTCATATGTAAATAATTGACATTAATATGCCTTTTTCAAAAGCCATTGGGTTCCTTTTTCCAACAATTATCATATTATAAATTAATTCGTACATTTTTTTCAAGTGGTCATTTTGATTTTTCCAATATATTCCATAGGCATTTTTTGACGGGACACTCCCGTTTGGAACGTAGCTATTAAAAATATCGTACCATAAATTAACATCACCTATAAAGTTTCCCAAATCCTCTGCCATTTTCTTATCTTCTCCTGGCTTATAATGTAAAAGAGCAGTAGAAACATTAGAGAGAAGATGCGGAGCAAGTCGCACATTTTCACAATTTTGATGTAACTTATCCCACTGAAAAAAGTAAAAGAAATGTATTTCTTACCTTTACCTATATTATTATGTGTAATATTTTAAGCTTACCTCCTAACACAAAACTAAGTCTTTGTTTAAGCTGTTTTTCTCAGTTCTCGCCACTCAAGCTCATACAATTTTAAAGTATTTGTTAAAGCTTAAAAACACTGTTTTGTCCAAGTTTTTTTTTACAGAAATACAATTAACACAAACATAAGCGCACTACTCATTAATTTAAATTATCTTCAAAAAACACAAAATACAACGGTGTAATGCGCCTTCAAATGACTTGACAGAATACGCAAAAACCGTTAGAGGACTTCGCTTACGTCACAAGCGACCACGTGCGATCGATAATTTTGGCGAACGTGTATGTCTTATGGGTTTGGGCAATCCTATTAGATTTACGATTCTTCGGATAGGACAATACCTTAGTCTCGTTGAATAGGACCGCAATGAAAATTTTTTAAATTCATGGCCTTTAGACCAGAGTTTTATTGAAGAAGGTATGGTAACGGGAGTATTTTGTATTGCATAATAAATTACCATAAAATTACTTGGACTTCCATTAAATAAGCTCCCTCAGTCTCTTAACTACTGGTATTTTCTAATCAAAACCAGGAATTTCTTAAAAACAGGATTTATTAAATAATATTAGAACATATAATATACTCAGTTTAAAATGTATACTTTTATTTAAAAAAAACATACCATATATTTATTTTACAACTTTAAAATTACTATGTACATATAATACAGGTAAAAAAAAAATCACTAGTAACCGTAAAGACGCTATAACAAAATATAGGCTCGACTAATATAGCCGAGGTAATAAATAATTTTGGTCTTTCGCTTATTTAGAAATTCTTTCCGAGTCCACTTCTAAAACAGTAAAAGACTATGGCTTTACGAACATAAAAGAAAACTTGACGATCATTCATAAAAAGTTGGACTTTTTAAGAACAATTTTTCTTGTTAGAAGTATATTTATAAGAGAAATGGTAACAAAGTTAAAAAAAGATTGTACTAAACTGTTATGTAACAAATGTACATCATGTATGATATATTATAGCCATTATTTAAAGTGCAGTTAAATCTGCCTACATTTAAACAGCCCACCGAGCCCTATAAAAGGGCCGACAGAGCAAAACCCTATGTCATTAGGGGAATTTTTGAAAGTTCCGATAGAAATTCTGGTGCTGCCGATTGAATTTTCATATTTAAAAATACACTGTATGGTGAGCGGCGAATTTGGATTTCTGCACCGATTAGAAACTTCGAGTATTTCACATTTCAAGACAAGCATCAGATCTGAAGGCACACTACATCACATCAGTCGAAAATAAAACATGGCCAAGGGCGCGTAAAACACCCGACAAATATCGCCTATGGCTTTCCAGTTTCTGATAGAAATGTTCCATTCTATCACGAAACAAACCGTTATGACATCTGTTTCATCAACAGTTTCACCTCAGACTTCGACCCCGAGTACCCTGTCTATGACATAAGCATATAGTGATTCGTCCCTCTGTTCACGAGACTCCTCGTCGTTGATAATACTAGCGGTTTCTTCCGCATACGACCTAAATTCTTTGTGCGACTTCTTCGGTGTACTACATGTGCTGCTTTCCTCGTTGGGCAAAAACGGGACTGTTGAATTGGTCCTTGTGAAGAAAGCCATTTTTTCTCTGAAACGGCAAAAGTGCAATATTAGGCGCGCAATCAAATTCTACTTTCATTTCACCATCATTTTATCCAACCACAGGACCCCTACAATAAAGTGGAGAAACGACACACTGCAAACAATCACTTTTAATGTTATACGTTTTTATTGATTTTATGGACATTGCTTAGAAAAGTATTTGGTACCAACCAGCATTCGCTTAGCATGTATCCACGGTTTAAAGGTTGGTAATGAAAAAGTTTGTACTTCCGGCAATAGCCGTTGCATTGCGTTGTTTTATTGTGTCAGATGGCAGTCGCCAGATCGTGTAGATTCGATGAAAGGAAGCCAGTTTTGAAGTAGTATTTGAAATACGAAAACATTAATGAGGTTGAACGGCGATGGCCAAATGAGTATAAAACAGATTTTTACCTATGGGGAACACTAAAGTACAGTGATATTTTTAAGTTGGATTTTAAGATACACTTTCTCCCAAAATGAGAGGACAGCATCAATTACTTTGCAAGTTATGTACTTTTAAACAGCGGAAAACTTTTTTTGGACCGCTCTGTATTACTTTGACACGATTTAGACGCTTTGTACGTGACGAACGTCGATGCTACACGGGATATTATCGTAATGGGCGATCAATTTGGAAAATTCGAAGGGTTTTTCGCAAAGACTTACTTGAACGAAATAAAATCCGGCTTCCCGTTTCCCGCTTTCGTCTTCCTCAACTTGTAAATCTCCTTCGACACCTTCCGCAGCATCTTCTCGACCTTCTTCTCGTCCGGCGTTTTCGTCGACCGTTCCGCCTGCGCGATCAAGTTCTGGAACTGCTGGTTCTCGAGGAGGCACGTGGCCGATCCGGTGTCGCCGCGTTCCTTCGCCTCCTCCAGCCTCTGCTTCAGCTCCCTGAGCCTGGACAGGTCCGAGTTCAGCATGTCGAGCCGCGTGTGCTGCGCCCGAAGGTCCAGCTCAAGATCTAACGAGGTGCGGGGGGTAGGGGGCGCTCGGTTCTGCGTTTTGCTCGTCGCCAGCGTCGTCGTCGAGCACGACGGCCTCCTGAATCTCAAAGATCGCCGCTCGATCGCGTACCTTTCGAACGGTTTCCCGCCCCCCTTCCTGTATAAAGGCATCGCGCTGTCGCTGTCGCTACGATTCAACTTGCAGATGTACTCCTGCTTCGAGATGTGAGCGCTCGGCGAAAACGTCTGGGACCTTTTGATCGCTCCCTTCTCTTCCGTCGCGCCTTCCGCGGCGAGTTTCATTTGTTTCGCGTGTTCCGGATAAAAAGCGCACTCGGTGTTCGTCTGTTTGTCGACGTACCTATCGTCGTCGTCGTCGTCGTCGGAATGCTCATGCACCACGTCTAATCGCTCGTTGACCAGGAATTCGATGGCGTTCTCGTCGTCTTTGTCCATTACGTCGATGTTCTCGTCGTCCGAGTCGTCCGAATTATCGTCGCTCTCGTATTCGGCCGTGTGCTTCAGGCAACTGTACAACTCTTCGAAGTTGAGGTTGACGTTCGGCACGATGGCGTCTTGGTTTCGCGTGAGGGTCGACGTCTGCGACGAGATGATCGTCGAGTCGTCGGAACTCTCCTCTTTGCCGCTCTGCTTGTCCTTCCACTCGGACACCTGCTTCGATGCGAGCCGCGGATCCTCTTGCAGGCACAAAATGTTGTACCATTTCTGCGTAGCGCTTTGCACGTTGAAGTCGGCCAGACTCACCTGGGCGCATCCCTGGAACGGCAACGAAAAAAGTTTTTTATAATAATAACGATTACAAAACTTCCGGACTCCTCTTTAGTATTGCTGATATTGGTGACAAGTAAAAGGGACTGCCACAGAGTGATTTATTACTACTGTTTAACGTTCCCTCACTGTAGGAGATAAAGTCTGTTCATAGATATAAGAAAGTGACTAAGTGATACGAATTAAGGAAAGACCCGGGAAAACTGTAAGAATGAAATATGGCCGAACAGGTCTGTACTTTGCTTAGAATTTTATTATTTAGGGTTTTGTTAGGAAAGATACTAAACAATATTTATTTATTTATGTATGTATTTATGTTTAAATCTAAAATAAAATTACAAATTAATTTTATTACCTACTTAAATTCGATATACGATTGTTCTGCTTTTGTATATGTTTAACAGAATTTGCCCAACTTTGTGGAGGAGGAAAAACACTGTTACGACAAGTGGCAGATTTCAGTTGATGCCAAACATGTTTGACGTGATTAAATATACAGTGGTAAGGTGGAAGCCTTAAAACTGTATGCCTTACATTTTTTGCATAATTATCACTGACGTATTCCTTTTGCAGGTCCAAGCTTTGTAGAACCTCAACTAATTGCTTTTTGGTATAATCTTCGTGAAAATAAATGTCGTTATTATACATGTAGTTTTGGATTGTTGCTTTTGTGTCACATGAGGAAGGGGTTTTATTCAACTGTGTACTGTGTGCATTGTCCATTACAATTACGCTGTTAGGAGGAATGTTTGGAACTAGTTTGTTTTTAAACCAACGTTCAAATAAATCAGCGGTGGTGTCTTCATGGTAATCCAGAGAAGAATCTTTAATATTTTCCGCAGACAGAGAAAGTCCATTTGGAATCCAATCATCTTTAGAGCCAGCATGCAAAATAGTTATTCTTTTACCTCTTTTTACGCCGTATTATATCTTGATCACTTTCATCTACACTCGAGAAAATGTCAGCATCGCTTCTTTTTTTCCTCACTGAAATGGGATTAATCACAATTTTTCATACAGCTGATGTTGGAATTTTCGTCAATGTGGCCACTTTCAATGAGAGTCAAATAAACATTGTTTTGGCTTCCTTGGTCTCAATAGAATAGTGTTATCTACATTTGGGCGGGAGCATCTCCTGAGATACACTAGACTCGAACATATTTTGCATAATTCGCACACGATTCAACACACGCTGTATTACACACGAAATAAGATTGATTACTAATAACCTTAAACTAAGTGTTATACCAAACCAAAGAATATTAAACACAGGTAGGTATAAAATTATTTTCTATCACAGACCACAATTTCTTATAATCTATGAACAGATCATACCTTGGCCCTGAGTTGCTGAGCCTGCTGAACTTTTAGGTTCCTTCAAGGACTATAAGGGCATCACCTGTATTTCATCTAGTAACTCCAAGAACCAATTTTTTGATTAAAGGTGTTCCCTATCAGTTGATGAAATTATTTAATGACTGCTGTAACGATATGGACGTTTTTTGTCTTAGTCGCACATTAATTAAACTTAAATTTGAAATATTATAATGGATTGTATGTTTCACTATTACCAGTGAATATAGTTCACTACTTATTATAATTATACTTATACTTCTCCAGATGAAATTGTGTTCCAAATGGATGTTAGTCTATTCAACAATAAAGATTGTTATTATTATTCAAGACCTGAGTCGCGGTTGCTTATAGATTTCTATAGATTATGGAACGCCACGTTGATGATACTTTCGTTATCTGGCCCCATTTGGTCATGGTCTTGTTTACAGAGCCGTAAAACTCTCAGCCCGAGTCACTAAATCCAGAATTAAAGCATCTTACATCTGCCCTTCAATCTAATAGCTTCCACATTAGAGATATCAAAGACAATAAGTTCGAAAAAAACCCGGCACTTGCCACTTACTTACATTCAAAACATCACCAAGCACATAGTAATAATAATAATAATAATAATAATAATAATAATAATAATAATAATAATAATAATAATAATAATAATAATATCTTTATTATCCCCTATATTTAGAAAACAATCAGGCTATTATGGAATTCGTCAAGTAGGTCTCAAAATTAGGAAGAAATGATTAAGAAAACTACATTCAAAATTTATATAATAAAAATATGTGACAGAGCACAACAATACGGTGATAACAAACATTAGGAGAAAAAAAAAATTTACTCTAATTTTTGTTATATAGAAAGGCAGTATTTTAAACTCCCTGAATACACTTACGATAAACCTTAGGACTTTTTTTTGGGTTTTGAAAATAGATATCGCATCGAATAATCTCGAAAGGATGTGAGCAGGTATTTGATGTCCAATTCAAAACAGTTTTTAAATTTGTTATTAGTTAACAATAAGTGGCAGCCTTGAAGAAAGCAAAAAGCATTGAGTTTCCCCAAATAGGGTTTCGTCGAATTCTAGTCATAACAATTTAGCGTCCTCCCCCACGAAACTGACTATAAATTTTTATTCAATTTTTCTACCAACGAAAAATCCCACAATCTATAGAAATTTACTACCAACCAAACAACCTTAATCGGGACTCAATGTGACAATATTCATGCCTTTCCTTTAGCTCCTCCCCCTCAAACAATATATAACCACGTACAGAGTAGAATGCGAAGTCTGAAGAAGGCAACAGGATGATTAGCGAAACGTCAGCAAGTTCGATTGAAACAACGGAGTTTCTTTGTATAATGTGCTATCTTTTCTTAAAAATAAATACAGAACAAAAAAAATAATCTTAAGTTGGTAGTTACGTTTTTAAATTATCAGTAGCCTGTGAAAAGAAAAATGGCCAACTCTAATAAAGTTTGTTATCGTCAGTATAATTTGAGGCAACACGTTCCAATAAAAAAAAAATAGCACAAATAAAGGTTTTTTTTCAAAGAAATTCGTAACCAGAATAGTGCTGGTCTCGGAACTCTTTAGTCCGGTAGACACGATACAATTTCTACATGTATTTCTGCATATGAGTGTTTTAATTGCAATTTTTTATGTCACGTATTGTTTATGGTGATTAATCACGAACATACATACTTCATCATATTTTTTGAATAATGTAATTTGTCATTCAAGGAGAACCTACAATAGATAGGCTAAATGGCAGTACCATGTCATGTCCATTTCTAAAATGTATCTATAAATTCTTCATTTTTTTGTCATAATAAATGATTTAAACTGATTAATATCTCAAAAACTAGAAAATAAAAATGTGCACCACTGAATTGTTGATACCAATTTTGTTTTCAAGTCAGCAATTAAACATGCAAAAAAATCAATTTGTTGTACCTAATCGGCATAAAAATTTAATCGATTTTTTAGTACTATCTTTAAAACTGGCCGCAATTCCAAGGAATCTGGAAAACTTATTAAAGATTTTAATAAAAAAAACAACCTTCAATTTCTTATATCTCAAAAACCATGATAAAAAATGTGGGCCACTGACTTTTTTACCAATTACCAATTTTTCAAAACAACATTTTATCTTTTCCATTTTTTTCGCATCTCACTTAGTTTTCGAGATTCCAAGGAATCTGGGCACCGGTTATTAAAGATATTACCAAAAAACTGATTAGTATCTCGAATATCTCGAGTATCTCCTAAACTATGATGCAAAAAAATTCTAATCGGTTTTTTATTAGTATCTCTTTAAAATTGGCCACAAGCAGGTAATTTGGACAACGATTATTAAAAATATATAAAAAACCATTAGAATCTAAAATATCTTATAGCTTAAATCTTGATAGGATGAACAACACTTTTGTTGTTGTTTTTACCACGCATATAAAAACTTGTGGGTATATATGAGAAATCCATAACCACAATACATGTAATAGAAACGAGGGAAATTCTCTTACATTTGGGTTAATTTAGATTACATATTGACCCAAATAATAAACAATAACGAAATTCTTTATTGATTTGTTTTATAATAGTCTTTAATTTTCATGGTTGTTTAGCAAACAAACAAAAATAGCTGGTGATTTTTATTATTTATGAAATAATCCGTAAAAATACGTGTGGAAATTTCATCGTGTTTACCGGGCTATAGAAAGAAAACTAGGGCATTAACAAACATTTACATATACATATCTAAGTAAATTTTTCATAAGTTTTTCGGGTCCATATTCTAAAAATTTCTTGTAAAATCTATTAATATTTATGCTTCTGCCACGGGGGGAATTCGTAAAGTACGGATAAAAACTGTTAGTCTCCCTTAGGCATTTTTACAAAAATTTTGCAAGGTTATTAATTACACTTATAGGATAGATAGCTACTTACATCACGTTTAGCGTCACTATTTTTGTAAATAAAACTCACAACGGCAATTTTAACGTGGTCTGGAATAATGCTAGTGAAAATCACTTTTACATGTAACATGTAACAGAGGGCCAAGCAAGTAAACACGGAGACTCTTTAAAACTTTAGCAAGGAACTGACTGTTTTGAGTGGGTTATATTTAATTTGTCCTAACTTCTGCATTCCTCTCGGCTTTTGTTGACTCGGACTAGCTAACGTTTCGCCAATCATCCTGTTGGCTTCTTCAGAGCTTCACTGAAACTGGCTCGCATTTTACTCTGTACCTGCTTTTATATCGTTTTGAGGGGGGCGCGAGCTAAATGAGGGGCATAAACACCGTCTCGGATAATTCAGTCCTATATTGGTGACAGGTAAAGATTGTTAGGTTGCTTATAGATTTCTATAGACTCCCGGATTTTTCATTGGTACAATAATACAATGCAATGCAAGAATTTTAGTTTAATCCAATAAAATTTTATGAACGATGATATTTTAAGTCTGGTCTCTCCAATGATTGTTTGCCGCTTATGTAAACTCCTGGCATCTCAAATGGATGGAATTTTCTCCTTGATGGACGTTATATTTATTTAGAACTTTTGATATGTGGTCAGTGATATTTTAAATATAAGGAAGGACAACAGTGCCAAGTACGGGATTGCTTTGGGCTTCATTGCTATTGGAAGGTTGTGAAGTGTACTTTGTAATGGAACGCTTAATATTTTTAATGTGGAAATTATTATAGTGAAGAATAAGAGGTAAGATGTTTTAATTCTGGGTTCAATGACTCGGGGCTAAGATAGTTTTACGGCTCTGTAAACAAGAGAGTTGATAACCGATGATTTTTAGGCTGGATGGTTCATGTGACAATGTATTAAGGTATCAGTCTGTGTGCGTAGGTTTTTTTGTAAACACAATGACCCAATGTTAGGTCTGATTTCCTATTGATAAGAATATCTAAGAATGGGAGGTTGTTGTTAGTTTCTAATTCAATGAAGAAAATCTACTAGGGATTCCTGACCATGAGGCCAAATAACAAAAGTATCATCGACGTTCCGTTTCCATAATGGTTTTAGATGGAAAGTGTCGAGAGCTTTTTTCTCAAAGGTTTCCATAAATACATTCGCGATGGCCGGCGATAGTGGAGAAACCAGAGCTGTTCCCGAAGTTTGTTCACAAATTTGACCGTTATAAGAAAAATATGTTCCAGGCAAGTATTTTTCAATTAAGGTGAGAAGGTTTGGTTCCAGATTCTCGGACTTTAATATACCTGAAATGATGGTGAGAGTCTCAGGAATAGGAACTTTAGTAAAGCTTTTTAATTGTTCAGTGAAGCGAAAGGAATTAAGTACGAAACTGTCAGTTTTCCCTGTAAGGGGTTTTAATAAGGAAGCTAGGTATTTTGCTAGAGAATAGAGAATATGTTGGAGAACCAATGGTGCTGACAATAAGTCGAAGGGGTAATCCTGGTTTGTGAATCTTTAGGAGTCCGTAGAGGCGAGGAATTTTAGAGTCATGGGTCATAGATGATGTAGGATCTTTTTAAGTTGACGATATTTGAAAAATTAACTAACTTGATATTAATTCTAAGGTAAGATTGTGAAGTATCAAAAATTTGTTTTATTTTTAGCCTTAAACCAAGGAACCAAGAGGATTTAAAAGACTATTTGGCTCGTCGCCCGCATGAATTACGTAGAAGCAGAACTTCACAGCACTTTTTGAATTATTTACTTACAAATTTACATCGAGCAAATATTAAGGAGAAAAAACATTACAACATTAAAATATTTCACACACTCACCACACAAATATCCTGAAGTCCTTCGTTTTTGCTCCAAACGTTAACCTGCAGCGTTTTGGTGAATATCTTGTTGGCGACGATGGGGATGTTGAAAACGTCTCCGAAATTCGCCTTTCTCAAATCGCTGACGGTTTTCGTGCAACACGTCTGAGGTGGGTTCGCTGGTAGTAACGCTAATCTAATATACCTGGAATGGAATAATCCGGATGTAAGTTGCGGGACCCGATAGGAAAGCGACAAAAGAAATTAAGCGACTTGAGTTGAAATATTACACGAATTTCGCCAATTTAAAGCTTACTTCAAATGGAGCACCCTGTATATTACTACCGACAGATAGATAGATCATTGGCCCGATATATAAACCGATTTATCTAAGGTGTTTCAATCTTGTTTCAAATTCTCTTTACGTATAAAAAAGATCCTCTTGTCGTTTATTTATTTTGCACAATTCGCCTTTTAAATAAAAGTCCAACGATCCGCAACTTGAATTTTGTGAACAATTTCCACTTTATCACTTAATCTACTACACCAGACTACTTGCAGAGAAGGAGGAATGATAGTTACATAAAAAAATTGATCTGTGAAACTTAGTGGTCTTAGACATATTCCGTAGGCATAGTATTGATTGTCAAGGGACTCGAGAGTGGCTGGTAGACGGCCACGTAGTTGACCTACATGTGTCTTACTAATTGAAATTAGAATTGTATACTCTCCGGTTGTTGTTGGCAAAGTTGATTCTTGAAAATGGCAAGCGAATGTGTTACCCGTAACTATATGGGGCAGAAATTTGGTAAATTAAAAATTTGAAATGTGGACCTTGGTCATGTATTTTACGAGACTATCGATATGCCAAACTCAAATTAGCACTTCAGGATAGAATTAAATTCCGATGAGAGGCTGGAAGGAATAGTAGAGACTGGTGCGATATAGGAGCAGCGATTAAACACCCTAATATTCAATTTAGAATATCGAACAGATAATCCCCAACTTGCGAGATGTACATGGCACAAAAAAAAAACAAGTATGTATCCTAAACCACGAGACATTGTTTCCAAGAGGTCCATGTTCAAAATGGCATGCAGGGTATTCCATTTAATTTTTAAAAGTTGCCTTAAAACCAAAATATAGCATACGTAAAATGTTTGAGAAACCACACTTTAGTCACGAGTCGATTTTATGGTTTCTATTTTATTACCTGCAATGTAATTATAAATTTAAGCCATAAAATTGGCAATACCAATATCACATATTTCGGGTATGACATATCCGTATACCCGGAGTTTCAATTATACCATTTAGTCAGTTTTATAGAGTCCATAATACTTTCGCTGTCACATTTATAGTATAATCTTTAAGTTGTCCATCCTGTTGAATGAACCTTGTTATTGCAAATTTAAATTTTACTACTCTTTCGCATTAACAAACAAGCTATAAAATAGTCTTTCCAGCTGTTGAGTTTTTCATTTTTTTCGAGTACTTTTCCTCTAGTTTTGTTTCCTTTCGATATATCGCTAATTGCCTGTTTTCCTTCTTTTTATGTGACGTACAGTTAGTTTCATAAAAAACTCACAAACTAAAAAGTAGTCCCTTTAACAAATCTTTTTAGTTTGGTTGTTGACGCTGCCGTGTCATGAGACGTTTTATGTACTTTAGTTTCAATGTGTGCCGTTATTGAGTGATTTATTTATCTTGATAATAATAAAAATTGCCTGTAACTTTTTTGTTTTTAGAGATATCCAGGTAAACAAAAAAAACAAAATGTAGGGTTAGTAGCCAAGTGACGTATAAAACAAAACACTATCAATTTTCTGACACATAAGCCTGCATCGTAGTTTTTTAAATGGAACACCATGTATATTATACATGTGTTTAATAGAGTATCTTATTCCGATTATCATGATGTAACACACTTTATATTTTAGTCTACTTGTTTTTGACAAATAGGAAATTTTTATACAATTACAAAGAGTGCTGCTGACTGACTGCAACCACAATAAATATTTACAAATTAAAGTAGAACAAAAACACTAAAAATGACTAGACACGCTGAAATAAAAAATTCTTTAACTATTCTCAATACTGTACGTGACCACCATTTTCCTGAACACATTTCTCGTACACTCATACACTTAATAACGTATCTTAACTGACTGATTGACTCTGAAATCATTTGCCTAAGTTCAACCACATTATTACAAGGGGTTCTGTGCAAGTGATTTTTTATGTGTCCCCATAAGAAAAAATCCGTTAAAGTTACGTCGATGCTGGTGGCTGCCCAATCTATAGTTCCGCCGTTCCTTATCCAACCTCTGGGATATTCTATGTTAAGAAAATTTTTAACTTGCACAACATTGTGAGAAGGGAGACCGTCTTTTTGCCATAAAATCAGCGCTGATATATTTGGGGTCAATCTTCAATACATTGTTCTATTTGATGCTCTAAGAGTTGTAAATACTGATCTCCATTTAACTTGTGACCTATAAATATAGGACCCAAAATATGACCATCTATGACACCACACCATACATTAATTGATTGGTACCCCCGGGTTTTTATTTCGTGTATTTGTCTAGGATTATTTAACGACCAATATTGCGTATTTTGTCTATTACAACCCTTTCTTGTGCTGAACGAACTTTCATCAGTTCATAGAATGATTTCCAAAAAATTATTATTCTCATTATGTCTATATAAAAAAAATCCAAACAAAACTGCATACTCCTTTGACATTGTTCTGCACTTAGTTTTTGAATTTTACGAAATTTAAATGCATTGAACTACGAGAAATACTTGTCTGTTCATATACTCTAGTAACAGAACTGGATGTGCTTCATAGAATCCTAATATGTTTGCCTTATTTCTTTTATTTAAAACATTATAATTCCGACAAACCTTTTTAGCATTTAATACGTTATCGTTTTCTGTAAACTTCTTTGCCAGCCTTGAAGAAGCTTTTGAAGAATCTCGGCGCTCTGGATAAAGTCTAATATACTGTTCCACTTTTATATACTTCAAGCATATCACTCCTTTCAAGGATACTAAATTCGCGAAAAACCCTTTTAACGATAATGACTTAGACAATAATTCAACCATCCACGTTGTATACTAATATGTCAAACATACACATATTTTAATTTGTCAGTCGGGGCACTCTATGAAATTTTATAAAAATTTCCTATTTTTGCCGATTTGTCAAAAACGAGTGGACTAAAATATAAAGTGTGCTACATCTTTGTAATTGGAATAAGATATTGTATTAAACACATATATAACATACATGGTGTTCCATTTAAAAAAATATGATGTAGGCTTATAATTTTTCAAAGAAACTTCCACAGGCTACTGTAATAGTTTTTACAAAACTTCTGGATTCCTCCTGCGTCGGTTTTTGCTGCATATTCTCTAGCAGAATATCTAGCTTCCTTATTAAAACCCCTTACAGGAAAAAATTGATAGTTTCGAACTTAATTCCTTAATTAAAAAGCAATGTAGGACTGACGGTGTTTATGCCCTCCCATTTAGCTTTTCAGTTTCAGACGCAGGAGGAATCCAGAAGTTTTGTAAAAAAAATGTAGGCTTATATGTCTGAAAATTGATAGAAAGAAAACTTGCCTACTAATCCTACATTTTGTTTTTTTTTTGTTTACATTGATATCTCTAAAAACGAAAAAGTTACGGAAAATTTAAATGCCATCAAGATAAATTGAACGCACGGTACATAATACGACCTCTCAATTGTGCCGGACACGGCAGCCGTGTCAAAATAATTTTAAATATATAATTAATAAAATTGAATTAAAATAATCTAAAAAAATGTTTTAGAAATACAAATGAGTATAAAATTATGCAAATGAATTCAGAGTACAGGATTAGAAAAGAGTACGATTTGCGAAACAAAAGTACAAAACTCAGTAAACGAGCATAGCTGGTCACTTTATACTCAGCCACATACAGCGGGTCAATTGTATTTTCACCTGAGGCAAAGCGCTAGAGCAAACCACCTTAAATAAGCAAAAAAAAACTCACACGTGCAATCCGTCCGCTATGAACAGCGCACTCAAATTCCTGGCCTTTTCTACGACTACGTTGAGCATGCCTTCAGTCGATACGTATCTTAACTTAATTTGTACTTGTGCGGTGTCCGCGTCCAACTGGGAGTAAAAAATACCGGACGCTCGCTTTCTATTAGACGCTTCGAACACGCCTGAATCTCCTGCGACTGATTCGTCGCTGACCGCCGCTGACACCGACCTGGTGTTGGTGCCAGACGAAGAAGTCCGTGACAAACTCGGCCCCTTAATAAAAATAAAACGTTTATTAACTGTATATATAAATGTATAAAACAACAGTTAAACAGTGAACAGTGAAATTTGAGGAATCATAAACTTTTCAGTTTTAGGCGATTTTGTAGTGATGTAGTGTCATTGATAAACATATTGAATAGTAGGGGGCCTGGGTGAGAACCCCGGAGGATACCCGATGAGATTAAGAGATTTGGGAGGACGTAAAGTTGTTCAAATGCACCGTATGGGACCTTCCAGCGCAATAAAGAACCAGACAATCGACAAATTATGGTGCACTCTGTTGATCGCCTGAGAGAACTCGGTATTAATAAGGTATTTTACAGACGGGAGTAGAAGAAAATGCAAATACGAGGTTAGCGTCAAAATTTCCAGGGCTGACATAGATGCAGCTCCAGTATCACGATAAAACTTTGTCTTCTTTTAAATATACATCTTAGCAGGCTGCGAAAAAAAAATTGAAGTCTTGCATCAAATAGTTTTTTATTGACAGCATTTTAAACAAGACGTGTTCGAAAAAATAGTAAAGTTTTTGCAAAAAGAAGGGTTAGCACCTCAAATTATTAAAGAAAGGCTGGATGGTGTGTACGGCCAAAGTTCTCCTTCGTATTCTGTAGTGAAAGAATAGGCAAAACGTTTTCGAATGGGGCAGGAGTCCCCTGAAAATGATTCAAGAACTGGCCGACCAGTGGAGGTCATAACGGAATATATTGTTGCGATTGTGGAAGATCAGTGATCGACGTTTAAAAGTCAAGGAAATCTCAGAAATTACTAAGCTTTCTGATACAAGTGTTCTTCGAATCCTGCATGATCATTTAGGTATGCATAAGGTTAATGTAAGATGGGTTCCTAAAAACCTTTCGGCCATTTAAAAACAACGCCGTCTCGCGTGTGCGCCGTCTTTTTTGGACCTCTGTGGGTCGGAACCGAAGCCTGTGATAGAAACTATTGTGACGGAAGATGAAACTATGGTTCTTTATTATGACCCTCTATCGAAAAAATAATCAATGGAGTGGCGTCGTAAGGGCGAAGCACCTCCAAGAAAATTCAGAGTCTGCCAGTCAACAAAAAAGGTGATGGCCACGATCTTTTGGGATTGTGAAATAATTCTTTTGACAGATTTTAAAGAAACTAATACCACTGTCCCTATAGTCCAGATATGGCCCCCAGCGACTATTATTTGCTTGGAAATTTGAAAAAGGACTTACGTGGACGGCGGTTTAACGACGAAGTTGAGTTAAAAGAGGCTGTTTTAGCTCATTTTGCAGACAAACCAAAAGAATATTTTTCTAAAGGGACTGAGTTGTTAATAAAGAGATGTAATAAATGTATTGAAGTTAAAGGGGATTATATTGAAAAATAATAAAAAATTGTTACTCTATTTTGTTTCTTTCGTATTCAGGCCGGGAAATTTTGGCGCTGCCCTCGTATATGGGTAACTAATTCACAATTTCTTAGAATGCACTTTACCAACTTAAATTCAATGGGTCACTGCATGATCGACTAGCTATACGAGGTGTGTTGAAAAACTAAGGTGACTGTTAAGTTTTATCAAAAAAAGTATTTATTTATTCATTTCTGGTATGTGTTGAGTTCTTCCAACGATTTTTCTCCTCAATCGTACCAAACTTCTTTGCTTCCGTGAGTTTCTCGAGTTTTGGTTAGTTTACGTGCAAACCAGCTGAAGCTGTGAACATATGTTAGGGACATGGGTATTGTACGACCAAAAATATAGTGTTTTAAGTATTTTATAGCATCTTAACTGCAAGACCGTGGTAAAACCGATTCCAACAGATGTTTATTCTGCATTAAGATGGACCGTAACAAATATTTGTTGAAATTTGAAATTTTTATGTGAAAGAAATGGACCGTTTTAAATTTGATTAAGCATTGATGCTGCGGGGTATTTTCGAATAAGTAGAAGCGATTATTTTAACATCAGTTTAATCAAGAGTTTAATCTAAATTACAATATGTCCGTATATATATATATATATATATATATATATATATATATATATATATATATATATATATATATATATATATATATATATATATATATATATATATATACAAATATTTTTTAAAGGTTCCTGTTTTTTAACAGTTTAAAATGTGGAGACCATGGAAAGAAGCAGATGTTCCCCTGTTAGAAGAAAATATGGAAAACAACGCATAATTTGAAGACAAAGTGGTGATGACAATTTAGAAGACGAACTACCTCAGCAAATAAAAAACGGACCTATCTGTCTTCGGATGCTAAACAAATTGTTTTGAAAGTGGGAGCGGCAATAAAAACAAGTGATATGACCAAAGTTCCGAAGTCAACTTTAAGAAAAATTGTTGCAACTGGGATAATCAAGGGGAAAATGAGAGAAGATGCTGAAACTTCGAACAATCTACGACGCTTATAAAGAGAATAGCGTTTTAACTCTAGAAGAACTGCTAAAAAAAGTACTGACAGAATAAAACATTAGTTGTGCCAAAGCGTGGTTGCGTACTTTTTTGAAGAAAATCGATTTTCAGTTCCGAAAAATTAATAAACGTCAAGTGTTAATGAAATCTCAAAGAATTTCGCAATGCATTTAGATGAAACGTTGTTCGACATTGACGACACAGTAAAAGAAGGATGGTGTGATAACAGTAACAAGTGTGTCTTCACATAGAAAACGCATAATAATTCTTGATGCTGAGTCTACAAATGTTATTGTGTTGGATAATGCCTCGTATCATTCGGCCCAATTAAGAAAAAATCCAAATATTTCTTCAAATGAAGAAGAAATTAAAGAATTTCTGTACGAAAATGATTTATATTTTGAAGAGCTCTACGCGAAAAAATAACTTCTGGAATGATTAAAAATAAAACATTTGAATAAATACTGCAAAATCGATTCGATACCACAACAAAACGGAAATGAAATCTTGAGATGATTTGGCCCGAGTTGAAATCGCATATAAGAAGAAATAACACTGCACTACTACTACACTGTAATTCGGCAAGAGGGTGCTAAAATATCAGTACAAAGCTGGTCTAACTGTGAAAAAGAAAAAAGAAAAGAAACAGAAGAAAATGACGATTTTTTAAGTGACTGATATTTTATTATTATTATTATTAGATATATTTAATATTTTGTATATTAATAATGCTACTATGTAGAAAAATAACGAAATAGAAAGTAATAAATTATTGCTTCGTACTAATTTTTTTATGTAGATGTTTCAAGAATTGCTAGGCGATAAAGATACTTATATCCCGCTTGTTAGTGTGGGTAGATAAATTCCTAGAACGGTCCTGGAATCGTTACGGGTAAGGGTCAAGAATCGTAAACCTTATAGGACTGCCTAATCCACCAAATCTGTCCGCAAGCGCAATGCGAAAACTCTCGCTCGCTGTGACGTAGGTGAAGTCCTGTATTGGCGCGTTGCATGGAAATAATCTGAAACTGACCCAAGTTTTGATGGACTTTCGAGTATTTTGAGTAGCTAATATAGAATTTTGTTTGAATAATCAATCAAATAAAAAATAATCAAAGTTTTAGTACTTATTTAATAATTATTGGAAAGTAGCGTAGGGTAGGGTCTCAATTAAATATTGTTACACATAAATACATAAAACTAGCGAACAAAACGATTTACTTGTAAAACTTTGTGTTTTACGGCATTCTATCATTTGAAATATACAAATATCAACAAATACTTATAAACTAGAAATCCCTATTTTTGGATATATTAAAGAGCATATTAAAAAACAAAAAATATATTAGGCATACATAACCACTATTTATGTATTTATATGTACCCTCGTATGTACATAATATAAAAAATACATATTACTATGTATGTTTAAATTTTTATATTCCAATTTTACCACACGTTCTAATTTTTTTCTGCATTTATCATCTTGCAAAAATTTAATTTTTAGACTAACGTTATATTTTGCTTTTAAATTTCTGAAGTTCATACGAATTATCGTTCTCAGGTTACAAAAATCTCTAACTATACTAAATGGTAATTCATTTTCTGCTTAAATTTTTTTTTTGCTAAGTTTTTTACCACCCCTTGCCCTTTTCGAAACGAATCACAATCAGATGGGTTCCCGCCGGGGTTCTGGCATGGGTTCTAGAGATTAATTTTTCTCTAGAATTTCACTTGTGACATTCGGTGTTTTTGCTGAAAGCTCAGACAATACCTGCTGAGTTTCTTTTTTGGCATTTTTGGAATGAAGTCTTTTTGATCTAGATAATCCTGCTTCTGTTGGTGACTTCCGGTTAAATAATAACAGGGTGGAAACAGCATTTTTTTTTAAGAATCTTTTTTAAAGGTAAACCTAAAATTTAAATTTTGTGGTGAATTTAATGTGTTGCTCAAGACAAAAAAAACCTAATAACTCATTTTGTAAGTCTCTTTCGTAATCATTTTCAGTAAAATGAACTGAGCAGACATAGCTTTTCTCTGGATTAAGTTTGTCCTCTCTTCTACATCGAACTATCCACTCGTCCCGATTAGTTTGGGATACTAGATCTTTCCCTTTGGCAAAGCGATGAAAACTACATTTTCGAGAACTTGCTTTTTCATCAAAATAGTTGTTATGGCACCCATACATGGCACATCTCGTTCCGGGCATACCTAACTATTTTTTTATGTAACTTATTATTTTTATTTATTATATTATTATTATTATGTGTAATATTTTGAGCTTACCTCCTAACTAATAACACCGCTAATAAGCAGCACAAACACAAAACTTTTGAGTTTTTGTTTAAGGTTAAAATACTGTTTTTCTCAATTCTCGCCACTCAAACACATACAATTTTTAAATATTTATTAAAGCTTAAAAACACTGTTTTGTCCAAGTTTTTTTTACAGAAATACAATTAACACAAACATAAGCGCACTACTCGCTAGTTTAAATTATTTTAACTGTTCAAAAAACACAAAATACAACGGTTTAATATGCCTTCAAATGCATTGACAGAATACACGAAAACCGTTAGAGGACTTCGCTACGTCACAAGCGACCAAGCGCGATCGATAATTTTGGCGAACGTATGTCTTATTAGTCCGGGAGCCCTGGACCTTTTTTCAAAATGATAAGCAACAAGCTAATTCTTTGGAAATCGTTTCATTTCATCAAGACGCCCAACCTTTTCCTCTACGAAAATTGTTGTATCAGGTAGCTAACTATACACGCAGGTGTAAAATCATGTCAATTTAGTTACCATACCAAAATGATCAGCAACAATTTAGTTTTTAGCTAAATCTATAGATATTGAAATATATAATTTGAAATTAAATTTGGCCTACCAACAAATGGGTTTAGTATAGGGTGGCCACCCCCTCAAAGTTGTATCTATTATTTATTTATAAAAAGTGATGAGCAACATGCTAAATTTTTACTGTAGCTTGCTAATAATTTTTATAAACAAATGATCACATTGTCCTACAAATAAACTGGTAGGATTTTTCAGTCCTACACTTTAAAGTTGTTGACCTCACGATAATACGTTATTCATCAGCAACTGTGTGAAACTTTATGACATTTTCTATCTAAATCAATTAATGTCCTACATAAAAATAGGTAGATTTCGCTAGTCCGACAAAAAATAGGTTGCAAGTTCGACTCTTGAACATTATTCCTGCTTAACCTCCAAATTACGTTCTAACCTATAAATTTAGGTGAGCGATAAACTTTTTTTTTGCTCTTAAAATATTCCTACAGTCATTATCTATGATGCGGTTTTATACAAATGAGTTTAATTAAGTTGTTTCATTATTATTTATAATTTAAGAAATCAACATTTATTTTTTTTCATATTTTTTATGAATATTAATTGTCATTATCAAAAGTTTTTAATCCATGAAAATTATGAAAAAAATATGTCGTTATTCATAAAACAATCACTCATTTGACTATTTTTTCTTTTCACTTAAATGACAAAACAAAAATAAAAAAAATTCAACATTTTCATTTTACATTTACTTCAAAAATAAAGCATAAACTTACCTTTCATAACATAAATATTTAGCTTTTACTCTGAACTCCTTGTAACAACAAGAGTGGTGGCCTATTACATCGTCATCCCAATGGTCAGGTCAGGTCATTATATTTATGGTTATGATGCTTTCGAACATTTGGATACTTTTTACAAGCGAGATAAAAGTCTTTAGTAAATTTTTTTCTCGTCTCTCTTTTTTCACGAAAATTAGGTTTATCACGGAGTATATTACAAAGAAAACACTCCATGATCACTTTCACAATTAAATGTTATAAAAGAAAATTCATTAACACGTGTTGACAAGCCAAGTAAAGAAAACTTTTCAATGCACAATGTATGTTGTATGCGTGTGCTGGATACTACTTTGGTATGTGGCGCACATGCGCGTTGATGCGAATATATACCGCCCATTTGATATACGTATGTGTATGTATCCTTATACACGTATATTCGAATATACACATATGTACATGTAACTACGTTTAAGTTAGGGGCAATTTTCGAAATTTTCCAGTGTACGACTGAAAAACCTACCATTTTATTTGTAGGACAAATGTTGTTTTAGATTATTTATCTGATTATCTCAAAACTTAGTTAAAAAATAAGCTGTTGCTGATCACTTTTATATAATAATCAATTTGACATGATTTGATACTCATTCTTTCAGCTATCTGTTTTGCAACTTTTCTCAAAATAATAGTTTGGCGTCTTATTAAAACGAATCTACTCACAACAACACTGTACAACAACTTTACAGTGTAGGACTGAAAAATCCTATCAGTTTATTTGTAGGACAATGTGATCATTTATTTATAAAAATTATATAATAATATATATATATATATATATATATATATATATATATATATATATATATATATATATATATATATATATATATATATATATATATATATATATATATATATATATATATATATATATATATATATATATATATATATATATATATATATATATATATATATATATATATATATATATATATATATATATATATATATATATATATATATATATATATATATATATATATATATATATATATATATATATATATATATATATATATATATATATATATATATATATATATATATATATATATATATATATATATAGATTTAGCTAAAAACTGTTACTGATCATTTTGGTATGATAACTAAATTGACATGATTTTATACCTGCGTGTATAGTTATAGCTACCTGATACAACGATCTTCGTAGAGGAAAAGGTTGGGCGTCTTGATGAAATAAAACGATTTCCAAAGAATTAGCTTGTTGCTTATCATTTTGAAAAAAGGTCCAGGGCTCCTGGACTATATGGAATTGGGACTAAACCAAGATTTCCTTCTCAAGCATCTAACAAAGTTCAAGCGTTACTTAATGGTGGTCGATAGATACTTATAAGACAACAAGATTCTTTTTTTTTATTAAAAGATACTGAGGAGTATGCAAGATTATGGATTTCTAAGTTTTCTTTTTTGTAATAAAGATATTTTTTAAAATAAAGCACTACCCCGCCTCCCGGATCTGCCCTACCTGTCATTAAGGAATTATATCCAGAAATATTGAAACAATTGCTCGAAATGTTTTTATTTAACCAAGTTTCATATATGCAAAATATGTCAAAATTATTATAAAAAATATATTTTGGAAGTTCTCCTTCAGCTGCTTTCTGTTCACAATAGCTGACGGAATTAACACTTGGAAAATCGACAAATTTATTTGGGATACGAGAATTAATTCTATTTTTAGATATTTTTATTGTCATTGGTGGTTGAACGGGTAAAGGATCTTCTTTACTCAGTACTTTACGGATTTAGGAGCGATCGTATAGGTTTACGATGCTTGGGTAAAGGTCTGCTCGGCAGGGTGTTCTATAAGGGGCCACGGTTTTGGAGCAATAAACAGTAGGCAAGGTCGGTTATAAAAGCACTATATTTTTGGTTGAGGTATACCAACGTAACGTTTACGCCCAATTAAAAGAGTCACTTTACTTTTCGAACACATCTCGTATGGTTTCAACGAAAATCACTTCTGTTAGAATCTAATTCTTACCTGGAGCAGCTCGTCGTTGTCGACGATCGGAGGCGGGGTCTCCGAAATAGGAGACAGCGGAACGTCGCCCGAACTCTCGTACGAGTAGCGACTCGGTCGTCCGAGACCCGAGCCCTGGGACATGTTACTAACTTGCGCCTCGAGCAGGTCGGTGAGGGGCGACAAGCTAGGCACCGGCATCCTCTGCGGGCTATAGTTGATGTACTCGTTACTCCCGGTACTCGACAGTCTGACCTCCAATAGTCTTTCGTCCAGTTGGCCGGGATCCGACTGCAGTTTCCTATCTCTCTCGACCTGTTCATAAGTGGGAGGAGGCAACAGGCACGGCAGGTTCTCGTACATCGGCGAAACGGGAGGCGATACCGACGAGAGGGAACTCCTTGGGGATAAGGAGGGCTGAGAGCGTCCCGGCGACGGTATATGGGGACCGTCGTTATTTTTCAGCAATCGCTCCACTCTCCTGTGCAAATCCACCATGTCTATCGGTTTCTCGGTGTTGACGGGACCGGAACATTGAGGACCTCCGTAAATATCCGTGAAACTAAGGCCCGAACTCAACGAACCCTTGCTACTGGTGGTCGACAACGAACCCAGGCTCGAACTGCTGCTCACCGACAACGTGCTCGCCGAGAGCGTTTTCAGCTGCGACTCCAGCTGCGTCATCAGTTTCAGCCCGTCCTTCAGCTGCTGCAGCAGCAACTGTTTCTCCTCGTGCAGCCTGAGCCGGTCCGCGATCGCCTTGTTCGACATCTCCAAAGCTTTGTTTAGATCTTGCTCGAGCCTCTTGCACTCCTGCTGGATATCGCTCATCTCCTCCTTCGAGCGCATGCGCGGCGTGATGCTGCGCAACTCCCGCAACAGCTGCTCCTTCTCCTGGAACAACAGCAGCCGGTCCTTGTCCGACTCCACCTGGCCGGGCTGCACTTTTTCTTCCAGATCGGCCAGCTTCTGCTGGATGTGCTGCACCTTTTTCCTGGCCTCGTCGTACTCTAGCCTCATCTTCGCCATTTCCGCCAGTCGCGTACCAATCGGCACCAGTTCGCAAGACAGATCCGTCTGAGACGCGGTACTCAGCTTCTCTTGGGGCAGGCTGAGCGTGGAAACGTCGGGGGAGCTTTCGGACAATTGCAACCTCGTCAGATCGTCCTTGAGTTTGGCCAGCGACTGCATCAATTCCGCTTTCTCTTTTTCGCCAGACGACAGCGACTTTTGGATGTTCCTTAGCTCGGCCATTATGGCCTGGGCCTCGGCAATGTTGTAACACGTCCCTTGGCCCATGCTGAGTTTTTGTTCGACGCTAGACGGACAAAAAATAGGAATTTTTACATCGCACGTCTCAGAAACTATATTGGGTGGAGTCAAAAGTTAAATACGAAGTATCAACTTTCTTATTTTAAATGGAACGCCTGGTATATTACTTGGTTTTTGAATTCTGTACAAAATTCTAAACATATTTTGCGTACCTAAGCCCAACATTTCTAATTTTTCATGCAACAAATTATTCATTCGGAAGCATTTATTGTTTCGCTCGAGTAAGTTTTAACGTAATGATACAGGGTACGCGAAAAATAAGATTCAAAATGAAATTAAAAAAATTTCCAAAAACATTTTTTTTATAATCTTGTCGTATTTAGGATTAAAAATTAAGGCAATTTTATATAAAACTGTATATGCCTAATATTTTTACTTTTTGAAATACAGTGAAAACTCCCTATAGCGAAACCCTGTATAACGTAAAACTCTATATTACGAACAAAATTTGTTGTACTATTAGGTCTCCATACAAAGCTATATATTAATCCACTCTATATTACGAATTTCTTACTCTCCATACCCGAAGAAAAAAACAAAGTAAGGAATGTAGGTCGACTTGAATTAATAGAGTCTCTTACCTTCTAAGAATTCCTTACCCTAATAATCTAATTACCGAGAACCTGGTCGTCCTAAGTGTTTTTCTCATAACAAGCGATTTTGTTAATTCCCTTATGTTAATACTCTCATTGTTTCAATCAGTTCTAATTTGACTTAGTGAATACGGCGAGCATGGTGAGTAAGCGAAATTTTATCTGTAGATGATAAAGTTGCTTTAATTCGGGAAATAGAACGGGGAAAAAGAAAAGTGACGTGGGACGTCGATACGGACTTACACCGTTGACTGTATCCACGATTTGAAAGTGGAAAGAAAAAATCATTCAAGCTGAAGCGGCAAGCAGTTCTGCCAAAATTTGAAGATTTGGATCGGGCAATGTTGCAGTGATTCCAACAACAAGGTCTTAAAAATGTAGCCATCGTAAAACTAAAAGCAGAAAAGTGTGCTGAACAGCTTGGCATTATCGATTTCAAGGCTTCAGAAGGATGGCTGGGGAAATTCAAACAGAGACATGGTATAAATTATAGACAGATAATTGACGAAGCCCGTAATGTCGACAGAAATGTCACTAATGATTGACCGGAGAAGACGTGGCTAAAACTAGCAGAATTGCACCCTGTTGACGACATTTTCAATGCTGACGAAACTGGTAATTTTTACAAAATGACGCCAGATACAACTCTTAAATTTCGAAGCGTGTGTGAAAAATTTTCTAAAGAACGTATAACAGTGTTAGTAGCAGCCAATATGAGTGGCAGAGAAAAAAGAAGGCTAGTCGTGATTGGAAAATCAACTAACCCACGATGTTTTAAGGACATCAAGCATTTGCCGGTCACTTACAAGGCAAACTAGTCTGCATGGATGACATCGCAAATTTTTGAAGAGGAGATACGGAAATGGGATCCAGAATTAAAGGGGAGGAAAATAATACTTCTCTTAGATAACTGCCCTGCACATCCCCATAATCCAAATCTACGGAATATTGAATTGAATTGAATTTCTTCCAGCCAAAACAAGCAAACAAGCAACAGCCAAACAGCCGATGGACCAAAGCGTAATAAAATGTCTTAAGAGTCGATACAGGAAAAATATATAATGGAAATGATCGAGTCCGAAGACAAATTTTCAACTTTATTAGTAAAGCTTAGAAAGAGGTGACAGCAGAAACAATTCAACACTCCTATCATCATGCAGGACTTATTACCGGGACACAATGCGAACAGGATTTGGAAGATGATCTGCCACTAAGGGAGTTTATAAAGCAGTTTCAAACAACAATTAAGTTTACAAGTGAGGAGTTGCAAAATTTTATGCCTATAGATCAGGATTTGCCTACAACAGCAGAGTTGACAGAGGAAGCCATATTACAACAAGCAATAAAGGGTGAGGAAGAGCACCAAGAGGAAGAAGAAGATTAAGAACAAATTTTTTATGTATCATGGGGAAGACGTCCCTCTCGATGAAATGGTGAAAATACAAGCCAAAGTACGAGATGCGTATTGGCATACTAAAAAAATTCAAAAGAAAATGACCGATTATTTGAAACATTAAATGTAGTTCTTAAATATTTATGTAAAATGCAGATGTTAAAATATGTATATAAAATAATTAAATATTACAGAACACATATGCGTATTATAATTTTTTCAAGTGCATATAACTCTTTATAACGAAAACTCTTTATAACGAAAAAAAAAGCAGTCCCTTCAAATTCATACTGTTGTCATATAAGCTCGGTTAATGTAAGGTGGCTATGACGGCGTTTGAACAAAATATTTGCTATAACGCTGCTTGCGTGTTGTGTTTACCACAGAGGAAGAGATCGATATGTTAGAAGGTAACATATCGAGCAATAAAAACCGGACCAGGCTCTTTTATATAAGAAAATATCCATTAAGCAGGTTACCAAAAAAAAGTTTCTTCGACAGGATTTGACAACACTTTAAAATATATACGGAATTTTTGAAGAAAGAAAAAATAGACGTCGTCATATTTTGAATGATGAAGAGCAATTTAATATTTTGTTACAATTTGCAGACAATGCGTCTTTATATCTGAATGTCAAAAGAACAACGCTTCAAACATGCCTTTACATAAACAACTGGAAGCCCTATAAATTCTGTCCAGTGCAGAAATTTATTGCAACGGGATTACAAACTTATGGAGAGACACTCTTCAGAAAATATAATAGCTAATATTATTTGGACCGATGGGTCCATATTTACAACCTCAACAAAAAAAATTAATAGGAAACATACCCATTACTAGAACAACGAGAATAATAAAAAAAACATATGGAAGTTACAAGTTCAGGTAGAATAATAGTTTCAGTTTTTTTTTTTATCAGAATTTAAATTCCCAACGCTACTTAAAGCTTTTAAATATCCATCTCTTTGTTGAAAACGAAGTGCCTCCTTGTCACAGAACTTAAGAAATTAGCATCTATTTAAAAGCACGCTATAGAGAATGGATTGGGGAGAATGGTAATTACGCCTTGCCTAAAAGGGGCCCCGACTTAACACCACTCGATTTTTTCCTATGGGGTACATTTAAAGATTTAGTTTACAAAGACAAACTTTCAACTGGCGAGAAATTACACGTCGGATAAGAGAAGGTATCGGATATATACATGGGACTAAATCTGATAGAAATGCCATTATGAATTTAGAAACCCTTTATACTACTTGTATTGCTCAAAGTGGAGGGCATATTGAACAACTGTTACAATGATTATTATCCTGTGTAAGATATTAATTTTTTATTGATCGTTTGTTAATAAAATATTCACCAAGGATACATGACCTTGGTTTTATTCTGTATAAATAATGCATACATATCCTTTGGATCTTCATAAGCCATCGGCAAGATTTTGATCAACTATGAAATGATAAATCATGGCGGCAGCACTCTAGCACCCCGTCATAGCCATAGCCAGTATAAACTAACTGAACTTATATGGCAACAGCATACTATTTGTGATAGACAAATGTTTAAAAGGAAATATTTCAAAAATATATAATATAAAATTGTCTTAATTTTTAATGCTAAACATGACAAGATTATAAAGATAGATAGTTTCCATTCAAAAAAAAGTTTTTTGGCAGTTCTTTAAATTTCATTTTTAATCTTATTTTTCGCGTACCCTGTATTAATATGTATCGAAATTTTTTGTGAAATCTGTTATTCGAGTCCTTTCTCTACAACAAAATTTACTGATGTGAAACAATAAATGCTTCCGAATGAATCATTTTGTGTGTGTGTGTGTGTGTGTGTGTGTGTGCGCGTGTGTGTGCGTGTGTGTGTGCGTGTGTGTGCGTGTGTGTGTGCGTGTGTGTGTGCGTGTGTGTGTGTTCGAAGTGTTTTCGGAGCGAGTACACCTGCAACTTGCTTGCAAACAAAATGTTGCCGAAAGCATTTTTGCTGGCGACTTGACTAGACAATTTCCAAATTTTGTTCAGCTTTTTTACTATAAAAAAAATGCACGAATACGAGAATACTGCTGGTTCTTGGTGCGAAATCTTGAAATTTTGAGCACTCGTTTTCTCTAAACGTAACGATTTAAAAAAACTTGGCACGCAAACGCGTAGCGCTTCTGTTTTTCTACGATGAAAAATTGTTGTCCCTGGATTTAAGGTATTTTTAGGTACTTCTGCGAAATCGTTTCGATCGCTTCGATTAATTTTGCGGTACAAAATAACTATTCCCCCCCACTGTCTCCGCGGGTTAACTATGCACCACTTAATGCAGACGTAATTACTAAAAATAGTAATGATAATAATAATAATAATAATAACAATAATAATAATAACAATAATAATAATAATAATAATAATAATAATAATAATGTCTTTTATTCAAATATTAAAACTTAAAAAAAAAACAATATAAAGTGAGCATTTCTCATCATTAGTGAGTGCTATTTGAAAACACAAAATAAATACAGAGTGTCTCAAAAAAAGTTACACTAACTAAAATAAACTAAACAAAAATCAGTTTTTTTTTTATTTAAAATTATTTTTGGACGAAAAATTAAAAGTATGAGCACGGAAAAAGTTTGGGGGCAAAAATCCTCTTTACCGAAGCCCCCTATGAAATATTAAAATGTTTTCGGCAGTAATGTTGACCCAATCAAAATTTAATTTAGATATGTTAACTCATTTCAGATATAATTTATAAAAAGCTATTTTCGGTGTTCTTTTCACACTAGAAATTAATCCTAATCTTTTAGTTCATTTGATCAATTTGGCATTCCGGAAACAATAACGTTTTTGTTTTGACAAAAAATGGGAGCTTGTCCATTTTTTCTATCCTTGGAGCCTCAAAAACTTTTTTTTTAATATTTCTAAAACGGTTTCAGATACCTAAATGAAGTTTATACTTCACGCCGCTCACAAAATGTGACTTTAAAATTTATGTTTTATGTTTACTTCATAGTTTCTAAAATAAAATAAGAAACAATTAATTATAGCGATCAGCGATCAAATAAACCCAAAGCCAGCATTTTTTACTTCAAACTTTATTTTATGGAAAACTGTTTAAAAAAATATTATTTTTGCTAAGAAAAAATTAATATACCCACAAAGAAAGTTGCACTACCCTTTACCGACGCTCTTATACAAAATATTATAATTTTGCCAACGGTGTATATGGGACCCCTTTTCCAGAGCCGTATCTTTATTTTTTAATATTTTATTTACCTTAGAAATTAGCGGAAACTTTGCGTTATCTAAATGATCACGACTTACTTGGATAAGGTTTCCACGCCCCTCTGCGTGAAGTTCATTTCGTTCCTAATTTGTTCTAATTCCGACTTTAGTCTCGACACTCGATTTTTGGCCATCGCGACGTCCGATTTCAATAGATCCGGATCGTATTTTGTACTAACGCTACTCGTCGTCGAACATACTGCAAAATGAAATTCAACATAAAATGGACACAACAATCGCTCCCTTAACCCTTTGCACTCGTATCTCACCGTAAGCTAAGTTCATCTCTAATATTTATCAATTGCTTTGTTGAACCTTCGTTGAGGACATTTATTTTATACATGCCATCGTGAGTTGTTTATTTTATATCTGTCGATGTTGAACTGAGGTGGCTTTTACTTGATGAAAATCCATTTAACAAAATAAATAAGAACTAAAAGTTCAGATTACCACGAAATTATATATATTCACATGACAATTGTTTCGACAACACCGTATCTTTATCAAATATAATATTTACAAACTACCTGCTACTACATATATACCGAAAAATGACATTAAAATCTTAATTAATGTTATTGTGAGAATTTAAGTTTAATAATGCAGAGGTATTTAAATCTAATTGATCGTTAAGCAATACATTTGAATGTCTCATTTTGTTAATGTCCATGGCTTCCAATAAATTTAATTTTCTACTTTTTGTGGCTGTGTGTGTAAGTAAAATATCAAAATTGTCGTGAAAAATGTGTTTTTCTGTGTTTAAGTGTGTAGCATAATTAGAATCTAGACTATTGTTTTTAAACGCTCTTTTATGTTCGTTAATGCGTTTCTTGCAGGATCTACCTGTCCAATATAATTTTTAAGACATAATCCGCATTTCAACCTGTAGAGACCTGATTTTTGAGATTTTGGACAATTCGTTTTATTGTTTTTTAAAAATTTTCCAATTGTGTTGTTAGTTCTCAAAGCTGTTTTTGAACCACCTTTTGACAAATGTTTTGAAACTTTTCCACTGGGTTCTCCTATGTATGTAATTGTTTTGAATTGTTCGTGTTCTGTATTAGGTTTCGGATAAATAGAGTTTTTTGTTGTCTGGATTTGTTTTTTATTTATAATTTGATCGATAAAGGACGAGTTGTAGCCATTGTTCAGTGCAATTTGTTTAATGATATTAATAGAGTGATCCTGTCCAATCTCGATAGTGAATTTTATACGATTATGTAATGAGTTAATGTAACTTAAAAAAGAATTCAATTGTCTGTCCGTTCCAACAAAGCAAGCAAAGACATCAACCACGTATCTATACCACCATAGCAAACTTTTACTGAAAGGATGTTCTAGTATGATATTTTCCAAATTATCCAAAAAAATCTCGGCTATCAAAGGACTAAGTGGTTTTCCCATAATCAAACCTTCCTTAGAGATGTAAATTTGTCCATTAAATTCAAAATAATGTTGGTCTAAAGATACTATTAAGGAATTAATAAATCTTGTTTCACAAATGTGTTAACCTGCTTCCGAGCGAGGGTGAAATTTACTAAATTTATCACATCACATCACATACCGCAACATTATTGTCTTTTGATGTACAAAACTTATTTCCCAGTATGGATGTGATAGATTTAGTAGATTTCACCCTCACTCGGAAACAGGTTAACCCAGTTGTGAAACCAGATTTATTAGATTGCTTAATAGTATCTTTAGACCAAAATTATTTTGAATTTAATGGACAGATTTACATCTCTAAGGAAGGTTTGATTATGGGAAACCCACTTAGTCCTTTGTTAGCCGAGATTTTTATGGATAATTTGGAAAATATCATACTAGAACATCCTTTAAGAAAAGCTTTCTATGGTGGTATAGATACGTGGATTATGTCTTTGCTAGCTTTGTTGGAACGGACAGACAATTATTTTTTTTTAACTTACATTAACTCATTACATAATCGTATAAAATTCACTATCGAGATTGAAGAGGATAACTCTATTAATTTTTTAGATTTAACTTTTACGAAAAAGCAAAACAACTTAGATTTTTCCATATACCATAAACCTTCACACACGGACACAGTACGTAACAGCTCAAATCACCCTTATACACAAAAAATGGCTGCATTTCACCCTTTTATACACAGACTTCTTAATACGCTACTCTCAACAGAAAATTACAACAAAGAACTTAATATCACTAAACAAATTGTACTGAACAAAGGCTACAATGCGTCCATTATCGATAAAATTAAAACAAATTCAGACAACAGTAAACTCTAATTATCCGAAACCTAATACAGAACACGAACAATTTAAAACAATTACATACATAGGACAACCTAGTGAAAAAGTTTCAAAACATTTGACAAAATGTGGTTTAAAAATAGCTTTCAGAACTAACAACACAATAGGAAAATATTTAAAAAACAATAAAACGAAATGTCCAAAATCCCAAAAATCAGGTGTCTACAGGTTAAACTGTGGATCATGTCCTAAAATTTATATTGGACAAACAGGTAGATCCTTCAAGAAACGCTTTGACGAACATAAAAGAGCGTTTAAAAACAATAGCTTAGATTCTAATTATGCTACACACTTAAACACAGAAAAACACATTTTTCACGACAATTTTGATATTTTACTTACAGCCACAAAAAGTAGAAAATGAAATTTATTGGAAGCCATGGACATTAACAAAATGAGACATTCAAATGTATTGCTTAACGATCAATTAGATTTAAATACCTCTGCATTATTAAACTTAAATTCTCACAACAACATTAATTAAGATTTTAATGTCATTTTTCGGTATATATAGTAGCAGGTACTTTGTAAATATTACATATGATAAAAACACGGTATTGTCGAAACAATTGTCACGTGAAAATATATAATTTCACTTCAGTTCACGTGTGCACCATTTTTGCAATTTGAATATTACGCGGTTTTATAGGTAACACGATTGGGTAAAGGTCCGTGTATTTTTTCGGTGCATATATATTTCAAATGCCCAAGAAATTTTTGCAAGATGAAATTGAAAATCAATGGTAAAGTAGTGACGATGAATTTTATATTAACGCGCCTGCAAATGATAGACTAGATAGTGATAGTATTAGTGACTCTATTGGTGGTAGTGATATTATAGTTACTAAAAGACAGAGAAACATACCTTTACCATCAAGTTCAAGCAGTAGTGAAGAAAACGAGAATATAACACAACCTGGTAATTTTTTTGGATAAAATGGTAGGATCACATATTCCATAGATTTTTCAAGCTCTTTTTTACCAATGAGCTAATAATAAAATTAGTTGAACAAACAAATAACTACGCTAGACATAAAATAGCACAGAAGAGGTTGTCAAAACGTGGGTAGATACTGAGTTTACCGCATTTATTGGGGTTGTCCTAAATGTGGGTACGATAATCTTATCTAATTTCCAAGAGTCTTGGCGACAACATTCTAACGCCAAAATACCTTTTTTTAGTAGCATATTTAGAAGAGAACGGTTTTTATAAATTTTGAGGATGCTCCACTTGCATGAAAACCATCTCTCTTAGGGCTCGAACTCAGAAAGTCAGTCACTGTTTAGATTAATTGGACAAGCAATTCAAAGAACATTTTCTTCCATCAAAAGAGATATTGGCAGACGAATCTGTTGTTGGATTTAAGGGGTAAAATTAGTTATTTAACTTACAATCCTAACAAGCCTACGAAATGGGGGATACGGATTTATATAATGACGGATGCTAACACCGGATATGTTTATTCAATTTTGCCGTACTAAAGAAGTTTGACATCGGAAGATTTAGTGAGACCTGATTTACCTGTAGGCACAAGGATAGTGTTACATCTGTGTCAAATATTATTAGACAATAACACCGATAGATACTATACGAGATTGCCACTTGCAGAAGAATTATTAAAACTAAATGCTCATTTGACAGGTACTATTCAAACCAACCGCAAATTTATATCTGATTCTATCATATCTATCATGCTGTTTCCTGAGGAAGTCTTTAAAATGGTGGCGAAAGTTATTTTTCTGTGTCAATGCATATTTATTATATAACATTTCACAACGGGGCCAAAACAAAAAACCAATGACACAAGTTTGTTCTGGAATTGATTGACGAGATGACAAAAAACTTTCGGCAGGGGTCCAAAATTTCTGGCAGATCATGATCTGTAGATACACAAGAGCGGCTAAATGGTAAATTACATATTTTACGCCAGAATAATGGATAGAAAAAAGACTGTGCGGTATGTTGTAACCGTAAAGTACAAGGCAGCAGGCGGGAAACTAGGTATATATACAAGATTATATAAATTAATTTAATAATAATGGTACTGACTATGATAATAATAATAAAATATTGAACAAAAAATCCAATAATTTTTATAAAGCGATTTTTTTTATTAAAAAAAAAATCCAATATAAAAAAAATCGGAGTAGACAGCAAAATAATAGCCCGAGCGCAGTGTACTCGTGAAATGACATATATTCGAGTGCAAAGGGTTAATTATTAACATTCAATTAGAAAACAACCTCACCCGATCTCATTGTGCAAAAACAGCAAAAAAAAAAGAGGTAAAAATATTTGTAGAAAAGTTTTATGCATTTCACTAACAACTTAATATACAAAAAAAGATCTCATTGAATTTTTATCGATTGATTGATTGAACATGAAGAAAAAATGAAATAATTGTTTTTTGTTTCTTCGTTTTTTACCCAATTTTTTCCCCACTCAAATTACGTCATCGTAAACGATTATGCATTCATTAAACATGATTTTTAAAATAACATTTGTGTTCTTTTGCTATTGCAAATTATTTATTACGAATATACGAATTTTATTCGTTGAGTTGAAAAAAATGGTCGAAAAAGGAAAAAAAAAAAACAAGGATTTAAATTTTTCTTCACGTTAAAAAAGTTTTAAAATTAATATTGTTCTTTTTCGTTTTCTCGTGAACGAGGCGTAAAGCGTTCTGTCAAATTTCACACCCCACAATATTTGGAGGCAAAAAAATTAATGAAGGAAGGATTGAATAATTTCTCAGATGAGATGCTTTATTTCTTTTATGATTTTCTAGTTACTACTTAAAACGTCAACAATTACTAAACTTAATCTTTAACAAAGTGACTGAAGCTGATTTTTTTTTATTTTAAAAAAAGTATTAAAACCCAACGATATCACAACGTAGTAATTCGCCATCTAGTGGCAGGGCACCTAATCGCAATCATCTCAGTAGTAGCACGACTCTCTTTTAAAAATTTACCTAATAATTTTTTTTTCCAATTTTTAGGAACTCTGTTTCCCCAATACCGTACCTCGTTGCTCTTACTGGGACACCCGGAATTTTAAATTGTACGTTACGTTAAAATGATCTTATTGGGTAGCCTGTACAACTTACGACTAGTTCTCGATGTAGTTAAAGTTGCTAGGGCGTTGTTGAGATGGTTGTACTCGTCCTGGGCCAACATCAGTCTCTGGCTTTTTACTTGGTAAATATCCTTTTTGGCCTGCAACAAAATATAACAATTATGCATAAAATTTAGGCACAGATTAATATTGCACACTTGTGTCTAATTCATATGTTGATTTTCAATCAAAGTTAAAAACAGGTTTTTCTTGTTTAATTTCAGAATTTTTAACAATATTTGTTTCGTTGTATATACATATGTGCACGTGTAGTGATAAGTTAGTAGTTATTATTTATTAGTAAATTCAAAAAGTATTTTTTAAAATTAATTTGGAACATTTTTTTTTGAAAAAATAAAAAAATGAAATATTTTTTTACTTTTTTTTACTTTTTACAAAACTTCTGCATTTCTCCTGCGTCGGTTTTTGCTAATTCGAACTTGCTGACGTTTCACCAATCATCCTGTTGGCTTCTTCAGAGCTTGACTGAGAGTGGCATAACTGGCAGAAGTTTTGTAAAAAGTATTACAGTAGCCTGTGAAAGTTTCTTTGAAAAATCAAAAGAAATATTTTATTTTTTATTTGAAAAAAAAAAGGTATTAAATCGATAAAATATTTAAAAGTTAATTCAACTCTGTCGAGAGTACGATAATAGATATACAAAAATCAAAATCAAATTTCTGGTTATCAAAACCATACACTAATAATTTATAAACGGCATAATTTCCAAAAAAAAAAACTTGAATATTCGCGAAAATTTACGTCACTGTTGACATTGGTTTGACTGAACGAATGTAAATTACTAAAGATGCATAGATGGAAAATTTTTAAAGAGGGGATACGGAAATGAGATGCAACAATTACGTTTACAAGTGAGGAGTTGCAAGATTTTATAGTGATAGATCAGGATTTGCCTACAACAGAAGACTTGACAGAGGAAGCCATATTACAACAAGCAAGAAAGGGTGAGGAAGAGCACCAAGAGGAAGAAGAAGATGAAGAAGTTCATCTGGGACCACCACCAACCATTCAACAAGCCCTATATTCAATTAAGCTGCCCGAAGAAATGGTGGAAATACAAGCCAAAGTACGAAATGCGTATTGGCATACTAAAAAAATTCAAAAGAAAATGGCCGATGATTTGAAACATTAAATGTAGTTCTTAAATATTTATATAAAATGTAGATGTTAAAATATGTATATAAAATAATTAAATATTAAAGAACACATATGCGTATTGTTATTTTTCAAGTGGCAGTCCCGTCAATTTAATAGCAGGTAGCCCTTTTTTTTTAAATAAAAATCGTTTATTATTTATCTTGTTATGATATTATGTTATTTCATTAAAACTGTAAAGGTAAAAAAAACACTTTTCAAATTTTCTTTTTCTGAAGGACACAGTTAATTGCGGCGTGACGCATGCGCAAAAGATCCACACCTTCTCTACGAAAATGTCATAGCCACCTGCGGCGCATCACTTTTTACCGTATTAGGGCCACTATATTATCTTATAGCTATATGGTTTAGCCTAAAGAAAGAGCTTTGGAACTAATCAGTAACGTTCTTTTTAATTAAATACTTTTTAATAAATAATGGTAAAATTTGGTTAAATTGAGTTAAAGTTAATCAAAAAAAAATCATAAAAACGCTTAACCCGCTCCTACGTTCATATTGACATTTAATATAATCATATAAAAATAAAAATCACGGAGCAGTCTTAAAGTGTCTGCTTTTTAAGCTTTGTCTCTTGCCAATTAGTAATTCCAGCATTTTTAAATAACTTCTGGATTCTTCCTGCGAAACAGTTTTTTTTTATCGAAACAAATATAGCGAAAAATACCGTTCGAACATACTTTATGCGAAATTTTACGCCCTACAAAAAAGGTTTGAATACTTTTTTCGATAAATTCAACCCTGTAAAAGTTATTGGAAGATTAAATAGCATTCATAAATAAATTCATCCTTTTTGAATTTTGAATTAAATCTCAATTAAATGCATACGGGTAGGTAATGAAATAGAAAAATATCAAAATTAGGTTCAAAATAATTTATATTATGGCTTATTAATAATAATATTTAGATAATTATTGTCCTTCTATCAATTTTACATTTTTTTTGTCAAACGTTCTTTAGTCAAACGGATATTTGGCTCTGTATTCACTTACAACTTGAATTAAATATTGTTTCTGGTCTTCTTGAGTGGTTAGTCTATTAATATAATCTTGTGTTAACTGAATAGCTCTTTCGGCGACATCGTTTACTACTTGCATTTAAATAATCATCATTACTAATCCACGTATCAGCATTTGTTTCCAAAAACATTTTATTGATTTTGAAAATTAAATCTATCAAATAATTTACCGTCTAAAAGGATCGAATTTTGAATCTTCACTATTCTCCAACGCTATAACCATTTTATATTTAACATCAATAGACAGATTTAGATTGAAAAATGCTAGAGCAGCTGTTTCAGCATTTAAATACCATAAATGATTTTTAAATTTCTGCAAAACAGCTTAAAAGCAATAATTTTTTTTGCAATTGTCTACCTAATTCATAAACATTTGGAAATATATAGATTTTTAGAATATAAATCGCAGGAGCATGATGGCTCCTGGTTTGTAAAATTTGACTTTCTCGGCATCCATTTTACCAAGGAAAACTTGGCATAATTCCAAGAGCTCGTTCTAGTCATCACGAGGTAAGATTGAGCATAAGAACTCTTGAACTTTGGAATTTGTTTCTCTAACCTTTTTGAGTAATTTTCGAGGAATTTTATTTCCTACTAAACCATTCTTGTCCTTGGTTTGATCAAGATTATTCCAATTTGCCTGAAAATTCTTAAACAATGCAACATTTGCCCCATCAGTACCTGGCATTTAGTTAGAATCATGTGAATGAAGTTCTCTCAGGTTGCTAATAGATGGCGTTTTTTTTTATAAAAGGGAATTAATTAAAAACGAAAATTTATGTTCAAGTACGTTAATATACAGTCACTTATGCGCCTATTACAGTTATTTCATAATTTTCTTGCAAAAAAAAGATAGTAGATAGAAAAAAAAAGTAAAACGATGAATTTATTTATGAATGCTACATAATCTTTGAATAACTTTTACAGGGCTGAATTTATCGAAAAAAGTATTCAGACCTTTTTTGTAGAGCGTGAAATTTCCGACAAAATATGTTCGAACGGTATTTTTCGCTATATTTGTTTCGATAAAAAAAAACAAATTGCAAAAAGGGCGAAAATCCCATGTTATTTAAATGGGAAACGGATTATGATTTTTATAAAAAGTATTACAGCAGCCTGTGAAAGTTTCTTTAAAAAAAAAATGCCGCATTTCTAACCGTTTGACCAATTATCTCGACACTTACGAAAACTCCAATCTCGGCGACGGCAGCGTGGTGGTATCCCGAGGGATACCTCCTGTAGCGGGAACCGAACACGTAGGAAGCCGGTAACGTATGAAACCGTGCGATACCACTTTCCGACGGCACACCCTCGCCCAGGGGTGGCAACGTACGCACCCGGAATACCGTCGGCGGAGCCGTATGATGTACCAAACACAAGGGCCACATCTTCGTGCCGACTGAGGTACCGTGAGGCGGCCTTGGGCCGTCCTTCAGCTTTCGAACGATAATTTCCGTGTGCATTCCACACGGACCGGCCATTGCGACGCGATGGAAGGAGAGGTAGAAGGGCATTGTTTCAGATGGCCGCCGGCCGGCGTCCGTTAATCTCGTTGCCGTAATTAGGACATTTAAATTTTCGTCTGCCCCGTAACGGCGATGCTTTAACGCTAATGCCGTTTTTCGCGTAATAGTTCAAAAACGACAAATACACGTGTTGTATAGGGTGGGCCGTTTATCTTGGGACACTAAAGTCTGTTCATAGTTATAAGAAAGTGACTAACTGATACGAATTTAGGAAAGACCCGGGCACATGCTTTATACATTTAAGTTTAAGATTCCGGAAGAAAACTTCACTCCTCGTCATTTGTTTAAACAAAATCAAATTTATTTATGACGCGCCGCGCTGCCGAGCGTCTCGCACTGTATTGAAGGTTTTATCAGTGATAATTGAAAATATTATAACAAAATATTATTAAAAAACAAAATTTATTATTATTTATGTTATTTTTTTTTAACAATGTTATTTTTACCAAACAGCGTAAATTTGGAAAAAAATAATCAACTTTAATTTTTTAAAACTGTTATGCTCTATATCTATTTTTTCAAGGTAATTTAGTAAATTATTATTTTTAAATTTACTAGTCAACACTTCATCTTCAGTTAACAAAAGAAAAATCGCTCCGTTACGATTTTCATTTGTTTTTCGCGTATCCAAGTAAATAACAAAATCATTTTAGAAGTCATTCCTGTCTATTCGTGACATAAGTTTATACGCAGAGCATGAAATAATTTTAAAAATAAAAGCTGTAGTGTTGTTGAGTTGTGTTTTTTTAGTTAATATTTTAGTATTATAATTTTTAATTGAAATAATATGTTCTGTGATTTAAAATGGACCGAGTGAATTATGAACTTATGTGATTAAAAAATTAGTTTTAATTATTATTTAAATATAACTTTGCCGATTTAGTTAATCATAAAAATGATTTTGGTGTTGATGCTGATTGGACTTTTTTCGCTACATCTCATGGCAAAGGAGCGTGTGATCGCCTAGCAGGGAATGTAAAAAGACAAGCTTATTGTGCTAGTCTCCAACGTGATAAGAACAACCACATAACAACCCCACTTTCCTTTTTTCAGTTGGTCCAAAGTTTAAAAAAAAAAAATAACAACCACGATTCGAACGCTTAACTACAATAAAAAATACTCGCCAATTTCATTATTACAAACCATTGGAAAATTTTTCACTAGAATGCACGCTCGTTTCAGAGGACGAAAATGTATTTATTAAAAAAAAAAGTTTAAAAAAAATTAAAATAACTGACGACAAATTTACAATTAAATTATTTAAGCTTGTTTGTTCTATTTAGTATGTTATGATTGTTAATATTGTTAAAACAAATAAAATTTTATTAATAATATTTATAATAAAATACCATAAATAATAATAAAATTTGTTTTATAATAATATTTTGTATTATTATTTTAAATTATCACTGATAAAACCTTCAATGCAGTTCGAGACGCTCGGCAGCGCGGTGCTTCCGCAGCGCTCGGCGCCCGGCGCGCTGTCGAAGATAAATTCATTTTGTTGCAGTGAAATTTTCTTCCAAAATCCTAAACATAAATGTGACCGATAAAAACAACATGATTTTTTTTTTACCAAGAAATGCTGCTGAAATTTCATAAATTTATCTCTTACGGTTGATTTTGAATCAATTTTTAATTAAAAGTGCATACATTTTTCATTATAAAAAAAAAAGTTGTTAAAATCAAAATTTTAAAAAATCGTTTGAGGGATCAATTTTCCAATATAAGTACTTATAAAAAATATATATATAGATTAATTTTTTATGATCGAGTGGTAACTGGGGGGGCCACGTGACGTGATCTACTATACTTTTTCTAAGACCGTTAGTTTTTGGGTACATTTTCGCAAAACAACACAAATACACTCACTAAAACGACCGTGATTGCTCCCAAACGCGTGAGGTTATAGCCCGGAAATGTCCTAAGTGGCTCGAATCTGTGGGACAAGAAACTCGCGGGGTAAAGTGACGCTTCCCGCACGCTAGATCTGCGTATAATTGGGTATTTTACACAAGAGAATAGAAAAAAATATTCTCACTCACAATCTCACTCTTTGGTCTAAGCTCCAAGGTACTGAACCCGAAATGTTTAGCTGACACAATGATCTCCATCGATGTGTCTTCAATGTGCAAGTTTACGAACGAGTGTATTTATCCTACTTGATGTAGTGTCGTTTAGAAGTGGAGGTTTTGGGGGTTTTATTTCTTATAGATCGGAGTGTTTGACACAGTTTTTGATAGAAAGCGTCATTAAAGTTAGAAAAAAAAATATTTACCTTAAAATTTAAAATATAATCGGATGGATTTGTAAGAGAATAGAAAGCAACTTGCGGTGGTTTCTTTTACAAGTGGAGGTTTTGGTTAAATAGTAGTGGTTACAGATGAGTCTTGAGAAAACAGAATACTTGGTAGTAAACAGCGATGGAAATTTAAATATCTAGGAGTACTTGTGAATAAAAACGGGGCAGGAGACACATAAATAAAACACAGAATGCAACAAAGTAGGAACTCATTCCAGTGGGATAAGAATATCTTAAGTAAAAACAAAAAACGAGTGGCGAAAGCAATGGTGGAGGCAGTTTTGAGATACGGATCAGATGCTTAATAAATCCTTCTAAAAAGAAGGATCTTAACTATAGAACGATTAGAAAGAGAAACCAATGAGGAAGTAAGAGCTCGAATGAGAACAGAAGAAACGGTGATGGATCGAATAGACCATACTTGAAATGGTTTGGATACTTATTAATACCAAAAGAATATTTTTGAGACCACCAGGGAAAAGAAAACGAGGCAGACCAGGTAGATCGTGGATGGAAACGATCAGAAGAATAATGAATGAGCGAAATCTACAGGAAGAGGATGTCATTAACGAAATATTGTATTTGTCTTAAAATTCACAATATGATATCTGGATGGATGGATGGATATCTAAGAAAACACAAATGTCTCAACAATTATTCGCATTGGTATGAGGCACGTTTAGCTGAAACAACTGAAGAGTACAGGAAGGCTACTCTAGAACATGGTAAATAAAAATAGGATTTTGGAATATAATTATTGCTAACTTGAACTAAAATACTTTGTGACAGAATATACAAAAAATATATAAATTGTCAATGAAAAAGTATAAAAAAGAAACTTTAAATCCAATACACAAAAACTTGGCAATAAAGATGAAGGTCCATAATCTATGATTGCAATCTTATCACTGTGGTATTGCTGTAAAAAAATCATGTGCTTTTTGAGAACAGAATCTTTTCAGATGCTGTAGGTCTTGAAATTTAGCTTTGGATACAAGTATTGGCCCATCATAAGCTACAGTTGGAAGCAAAAAACACATTTCAGGTAGCGAAAGTCTTTTTCTTTTATGTTTTATGATAACATTTTCAAGTTCTCGACCATTATAATTTTCCCGATGTATCATCATATGAGGGTGATTTTCGGTTACAGTTAATTCTATGACCGGTCTTGAAGGGCATATAAATATCCGCTAGAATTTTGGTTCAACTCTTAAAAATGGACTGGTCTTCAAAAGAAATAAATTTAAAAGGGCTTGATTTTGTTCGGGAATCCTGCATTCCATTCTTGAGGCAGTTCAAAGTACGTCTTCTATTTCGCTAAACTCATATTTCTATCGCATTCTACACGGACAGGAAAACCCATTTTGATTGTGTTAAGTTTTTTTACCGAATGAGTAACATTCTAAACACCGTGAAATTTTTATTTTGTCCACAGCATGAATCACAAAATATTGTAAGCTTCTTGACATCAAAATCCAGATGGTTAAAAATGTAATCCCATAGCAGTGAAGGAACATCATCGGCACGCTTTTTCCTGAAACTTGAGTATAAATATAGAAAAGAGCTCCAGAGATCGAAACGACATGTATGTTGAACATGTAGAACGAAAATTGTCTATGATAATCCGTGTCATTAGTTGTAGTATTCGGCAGATGAAGATTTTTTCGAAAATCCATTATAATAGCTTCCTTGGTTTTGTCTTTTTGAACCTCAAGCCTAGAAGCTTTTTTACGTTTACAAAAGGTGTCTGCTCTTTTTAAATGTATTTTTTTCAACTTGCAAGATTCGCAGTTCTGTGTGCAACTGCAGTGCATTGTGATCATCTGCACTTTGATTTTTTTTTCAATGTCGTCAATTTTTAGTTTCAACTCATCGCATGTACTACCCAAGAGCAATATTAAACTTGGTGTTGAATATTTCTCTATATTTTTCATAAGAAACTAATTTGTCAGGATATTTTTCTTGGTACATAGAGTACATGTTCTTAATATTGAGCTCAGTAGGTAAATAAACCTTTGTTGTTTTAGCCAAGTCATAGTGAGACTTTCTAACTCTAAAAACATCTAATGTGTTCCATGACCGAATATGTTACTTCTCTAGAAAGTCGGTTAGGTCTGGAAGAGTGCTTTCCTCGCATATCTAATGGCGCTGAACCCGTTGATTTCAATCCGCTTTGTATAGTTTGTAGCCTTTTTGCAGTTATGCCATGTAAGGCTAAAAATGTTTTATAGCACATTGGGATTTCACAAAGTTCGTTGTTTCTTAACAATCTCACGTTATAGGTACAAGAAAATTAATGGAAATCAGCTTCATCTTCAGATTTCCTGGGACGATAGAGTGTTATTAAACCACTCGGATAAAGGGATTGTTCATCATAACTTTGTAGTTGATTAAACTTAGACACGATCGCGCTTAAATCGGCTGCAGTAAGATTTCGGAAACATTTAAGTTTTGAACATTTGCAGTCTTGTCCAGTTTGATGACTACTTAAGCGTAATTTTTTAGTCACATCCTGCATTCGTCCATAGGATTTTCTTTGCATTGTTTTTTGTTGCACAACAACAAAAAATACACCACAAAACTTTAAAAACAGAACAATCAATAATTACACCAATAAACCAGCCAGCCAGCGAAATACCTCGACTGTCATCTTTCTTGCGCACAACCTGTGATACCTTGACCTTTTGTGCCCACTACCATATATTTTCTTATAGGTGGATAGTGTTTTATAGCCGATATATTATACGAAATAACTGTCTTATTTGGGCAAAAAATGGACCCTCACCTTTGTTCCCCTGTACTCTTCAACTGCAAATGACCTCAATATATAAGTTTATGAACGAATCACCCCGTGTATTTGGTTTGAGATGGTAGCAAATGGTCGAATGTTCAAATTGTCGAAAATACCGCAAACAAAAAAAAAAAAACTTAGTCTACGTAGTCTACGTCCAACATCGGAGATGGAAGGACCTCTGAAGAAGCTCGCCACTCGTGCTAGCGAAACGTTAGGAAGTAATTACAAC